CATTTGAGATGTGCGTTTTCTTCTCTTTACGCTTTACGCACTGTCAGTCTGCAAACTTTTTCGCCACGTAAATCAATTAGTATCAAGGTTCAAACACCTGGTGACATTGCTCGATTAGAGTGTGCCTTCCAATAGATGGCATTGAAGACGAATGAAATAAAAATAAATGTGTGCGCGTTTGTGTGAAAGCGATACAAAATCTTTTAAAAATAATTGAAGAGGTGGAGCTGCATCTGGCAAAATATTATTTTTATATACTCAAGCACCTTTTATTACTATTTAAGATACGTCTGCCATTTGATTCTTCTGTGCGCTGTTAAGCATCATTCTCAAGACCATATTCCCTGGGGTTATTTTCACTTTGCACTTTGCAACATTCTTTACAGCCATATAAGGCCTTTGGACTAAAAACAGTCAAGCAATAGAAGCCCCTGCAAAAGGCTATCAGGTGCAATAGCGCAAAACTGCAAAATTGCAAAATTTCGCTTAAGAAAGCGTAAGAAAAAATTAAATTACCATTTTTTCTCCGTTCCACATTATTTTATTTTGCCTTCATGCCCTCTCTTTTGATTCACACGATATGAAATAGCAGCTGCTCTTGGACTTAAAAGGCAATCAAAAGTGCGTATCAGTTTATTTTGCTTCTAATGGTTGAGATGAAACTCCACCCTCCGATTGATTTATATGTTTTTGATGGGAAGGCACATTAAACGTTTTATGTGGGAAATGAAATGTGTATTTGAATTCAAAATCAGCTGCATCATGTTGAAGCTTTGCTCCTCAACCACTTGCAGAATCAGTTTGAGAAAACAACTTAGTTAAGAGTACTTCATTTAGCCCTTAATTACCAGAAACATCAGATGGCCACACACAACAACACCTCAACACATCACTCTGGGAACAATCACATTGCGAACACCCACACACATACACTGATGTATAGATAAATGAGCACAATCATGACTATGTTGAATTTTGCACCTGCTCGGCAAACAATATAAATTATTTATAAACCTTTGCCGCCCAACCATCCGTTTTGTTATATACCATATTGTTGTTGTTGTTGTTGGCCTTGTCTCTTCTGTTGTTGCTGTAGTTGCAACAAGTTGTTTCCTTGTTTGAATTTGTTGCTTGCTCTTGTGATTATGCGAGACGAACAAACAAACGAACCCACATACAAGTACATACATACATACATACATACTCGGAAACATAAAATGAAGGCCAACAAATGTCGAGGATATCCTTTTTACTTTTGTGCTCACAAAAGCATGTCATACACACATACCTATAAGTATATACTACGTGTACTCACACCACAATGCAATTGCCTTGAAGGCACATCGTTTATCGGAGGGTATTTTCAACGCTTATTAGCCAACAAGTTTGCGATATTGGCTAATTGCGGGCATGTGCCATAACTTTTGGCCGCACCGACAGCAAAAGTTAATGAAAGTGCTTAGGGAGCAGAAAAACGAATGCCACTTACCACAGCCTTTTGCTGCCTTCAACAGAGCGATAGCTGCCCACTATTTCAGCACTTATTAAGCAATTGCACAATTTAAAGTGAAAACAACAACTAATTAGGGAGTGTCCGGAAAGTTTGTAGAACGTTGCACTTCAATTTTCGCACACAACTTTTAGATTTTGTTAAATGATGTTTTCGGTACTTCTGCACCTAAATGACTTACACATACACATAAGTATACATATACATATGTGATATGCCATTTTTGTTAACTAATTACTTCATTGTAGTTCTTACTTTTAAATACTATTCATTACAGCATTATTGGTTTGATAAATCTGCGTTTAATCTTCGTTAAGTCGTTAACTTATAAAGAATTTACTATATAGTTTTCTTAAATACCTACATAACTTACAATAGAGCTCCGAAATTAACAAAAAGTAAACCGGATTTAAAAAAACTTTTGAAATTAATTAAAACAAAACGATTCCTGAATTAAAAGACGGAAATTTCTCTACTAGGAAAATGTTGTTGAATTGTTAGATTTCTCTTAATATGTGTATTATGCCCTGCTAGACCAAGAATTTATTTATTTGCAAATTCTGCGGTTGCCTAAAATGTAATGCACATGCAAGCACAAGCTTGTCAGTCACCCACACACACACACACACACACACACACACACACACACCGGCCCTACAGAGACACACATACGCAGGCACACACACAGACTAGTGGGAATTGGAGGCTGCACTGTCGGTGGCAGAACTGTCTGCGCCAGCGAAAGGAAACCGAGTTAAGGGACAGGCTTCTAAGCTCAACAACTTTTTGACATTCATTTGACAAGCGACAAAACCAACTTACAAAAACAGATACCAACGCAAGACATTATTGTTGTACTCATTGGTGTCTTCCTTGATGTCCTTGCTAGTGCTGACACACACTAGACGTTGTGAAACCAACTTTAAACTCTTGGCCGCCTATTTATTTTAATCGAATCGTTAATTACCTTTACACTTAATCGCCTCTACTTCGTTTCTCTCTACTTGCCTTTTTAAAGCCCACCTTTTTCACGCCATTTCTTTATCTCGGCCAATGGACGCCATTTCGTAAATTAACAATAACATTCAATTTGGAGGAGGAGCCCATTTATTGCATTATGTATGCATATAACTCAACCTTCTCACTTGACATCCCGTTGATTTGCCATTATTCGAGGAAACTTCCCTCAGTCGTGGCCATAACGATATCCATATCCATGTCTATGTCCAGCGGGCGTTTTGACAAAGGAGCTGCGTGCCTGAATTTTATAAATTTGCCATTTTATTTGGCGTTTGAACGTGTTTTAATTATTGCTGTAAATGCAATTAGTCAATAAATTTAATGTAAATTACAAATTCCCATGCAAACAGCGACCACAACAAGCTGTCCTGATGCCCCTCGGCGTGGATGTGCGTGCGTTTCTATCAGTGGCCATAATTTTCTTGCCAGCAAGCGACGCGACTGTGTCCATCGATCATGATTTGTGGAGCTGTGGTGAAGGGTCCAAGGGGGAACAACAGAAGAGAGGAGCACGCAACTTTGGCAGACAGATAAACGACTCGGCCTGTTTACACGGACAAATAAAACCCGACTTGAGCTGGAAAGAATGAACAAATGTGTGTTTTATCGAACATTTAACATTTTCGAGTAGTTACTTAATGACAAATTAAATGGAGTGTTCGAAATAATAGAACAGTTTTAAGAGATCGTAAACAAATACATATAAACATGTTTTTAACAATAAAAACTAAAAGTAAATACAAAAAAAAAAATTAAATGGTGAAAAAGTACATAGGCATTACAATATGAGAACATTTGGAAACGTGTTCCAAAATGTTTTTCGTTTTAAATCATTACCCAAACTCCAATTTGAATATGACATATAAAGATTGCTTCTATGAGTATAATAACCACATCGCATAACCATATGCGCACCTTCCATTCTGATGAGCAATGAGGAATATTGTAATTCTTGAGAAGCTTAGCTATGTACCCGTATATCAGAATACTTTAGCAAGGAAACGTTTTTAAATTATTGTTTTTTGTAGGTGCAAACCAAAAATCTCTGCGCTTGTTTTAATTTCTACAAGTAGATTTGTTCACCTTTTCATTGTAAGCTCTGGCGTATAAACAACACAACAAACTGGCATTTGTCCCTCTCCACGACTCTGTCCAACCTAAAAACCAGGCACACAAATTTATTAACGCCGCATAGTCTGCGACCTTGACGCGCTTTAAAAGCTGCGGGCGAAGTTCTGTTGCCCTCAGTTTTGGGATATTAAGTTAGGTATGTGTGCGGATTAGCTTTAAAATTCGTTCTCTGTTGTGAACGAAATTGAGGAGTTTCTTTGACGAGATGGGTAACTAATCAAAAACTGGAAAATGCAATTAAATGTATACATTTGTGCATAGATTTACTAGGTATGTGCATTGTACAAACTATACATATTTAGCCAATGTTGCTCGCATGTGTGTAACAAATGTAAACACTATTAAACTGAGCTGCAGGACAATGCGCAGAACAATGCCAATAACTATAAAACAACAAGCATTTTACGTATTGTAAATAACACAAAGCGTAATTGTTACATTTTACAAAACATGTGCGAAACTAGCACACACATACACCCACACCTTCACTATTGTTATTCAGATACATAAACAAATAAAATGGACATGAGATGGCGCACTTTTTCTGCTGTTCTCTGTTGATGGCGCGCATACTGCGATAATTGAAATGCTTCCGTTAAGCGCTCGCAAACTCATATAGGCACGGGCGGGCCCCATTAGCAGCGCCGCAGTTCTACCCCAGTAACGACCCCACCTCCTGGCTCACCCACAGAGCGAAAAGCAAATCAAACTCAAGGACAGCGACGGTCGGTTTTTGAAACAATGTAACAAAAGCAGCGGGAGCGACGCCGAAGCCTTTTATTTTGTAATTTTGAAAACATGTTCATTGTTTCGCAATTCCGAACAGCTGCCAATGCACACTGATCTAAAATCAATAAGAAACAAGACCCATCCAGCGGTACTACTCGAAATTGCTCACCTTTTCTGTAAGAAAATTGTGAACCAGTTCCCTATTTCTATGGGTTTGTATCATAAAATGTTACTTTTGGTATAATGCCAACCTAAAGCTAAGCTATTTATTATTATTTATTTAAATATTACATATTATTTATTTTTGAACTACTGTGCATGCCTGCAGGTCTTTGGTTTTTTTATTTATAATATATTTATGTTGTTATTGTTGTTATCGCAGATTTTGTTGCGGCTGCTGGTAGACGTTTTAACTTTATTGGCAATTGTGCTGCTATGACATCCATGCGCCTCGATAAGGCATTTCCTCTTGCTTTAGAGGCAACAATGTCCTCTTATGAAATGTTGTTAAAGCTATTTAAAAAAAAAATACCGAAAACAAAAAAATGTTACCGCAAGCAAGTCTTTTTTTACGTTGCGCTTGCACAAACGTCTGCGTAAGCGGCTATAAACAAAAAACAGCTGATCTGTTGCTGGTGGCGAATATTGACAATGAATCGATTTTTGCAAATTTTCGGAAAGCAAAGATGCAAAGTAATTGGCATGATACATGTGGACGCGCTGCCAGGTGGAGAGGAGCGAACAATAACAACAAAAAACAACATTCACTTGAAAATTTGTTCATTTTAGGCACGCCACGCTACGCCGGCAATTGGCCGCAAATCATTGAAAAGGCCATCCACGAGGCTCATCTCTACAAAAAACACAAACTGGTAGGTACAATGATAAGAACGACTAAAAGAAAATGGCATCTGGAAAAACAAGATATTCAACTTATGGCTCTTCGCAGGATGCTGTGCTCATTGAGAACATGCACGACGTACCGTATTTGCCGGAGCGTCAATTGGGCCCGGAAATAGTTGCTGGCATGACACGATTGGCGCAGGCAGTGCGCGGCGCAATGCCAAATGAGACTCCCTGCGGCGTTCAAGTGCTCGCCTGTGGAAACAAACAGGCGCTAGCTATCGCCAAGGCCAGTGAGCTGCAGTTTATACGGGCGGAGGGATTTGTTTTCGGTCATGTGGCAGATGAGGGTTACACAGATGCTTGTGCTGGCGAGCTGTTACGCTACAGACGTCAAATTGATGCCGAGAATGTACTCATTTTTACGGATCTCAAGAAAAAGCATAGCTCACATGCCATCACTGCCGATGTTGATTTACTGGACACAGCGCATGCTGCAGAGTTCTTCCTTACCGATGGTATTGTCATTACGGGCACTGCTACAGGTTCAGCGGCCAGTCCCAAGGATCTGGAACAGCTGGCGGGCAAGGTGAAAGTGCCACTACTCATTGGATCTGGCGTAACGGCGGAAAATATTGCGCTCTACTTTTGTGATGCACAGGCCGTTATCATTGGCTCCCATTTTAAGCGTAATGGCAGCTGGAATGAGGATATTAGTGAGCAGGCTGTTGAAAAATTCATGGGTAAGATTTGTCAACTGCGACATGCTGTGTAAATAAATGCATTTATTGATCGAAATATCGGTGGTAAAAATGATAATGGCATGTACCCTAGTTTTAAAAGAGGTTGGCAAAAAAATCGTAGACACGCTCTCGCAGAGTTGGGCCCTTGTTGCTATTTCCCACCACACCGCTTGGAAATACAAATGGCTTCGGTTCATGATCGGTTAACTCGTCTAGTGTTTCATCAAACTTGACGCGCTTCTTTTGCGGCGGCGAGAACACCATGTTCCGATTGCTCTCCTTGAGCGGCTGTGCAGGCGTTGACCAACTGCTGCCACCACTTTTCTGGCTACCCCCACTAGAGCGTAATGGAAAGAGAACATCCTGAAAGTTGCCATTGCCCAGCTCAACGTCGGCAGCAAACAAGTCCTCACGTTTTACTGCCGTCGGTATAGTGTTGTCCACATTGTGGGCTCGAAAATACGATTTGGAATCGGAGAAGCGACTCGCAAATCCATAACTGGGATCCTGATCGTTGCTTGTGTTCGCTTGTGTAGTGGTTGTATTCGTACGTTTGAGAATTCCACGCACATTGGCCACCTTATCGCCATTGGCAATCATTTTGCAAAGCTTCGATATGCGATTCTCCTTGCAGGACGTATTCAGTGAAGGTTTCTGACGCAACTGTACGCCAGCAGTAAATGTTGTCGGTGGAGGGGGTGGTGGAGGTGGAGCTGGTCGTTTGATAGCCTTGACTGAAGACTTGGTTATGTGAATGCCTGTGGTTACAGGTCTCGGTTTAGGAAGCTTGCGCTTCCGTGAAAAACATCCTCCATTCGCATTGTCATCAGCCTCATCCTCGGAATCCGTGGCGCGATTGTTGTTGCGAAATACCGTATCGTAGTCCTAAAAATATAATTAATATCATTATCCGCGTCCCATTTCTTGTGACTGGACTCACGCTTTTGCGCTTGTTTGGGCTAAGCACGTAGTCAGCGCCAAACTTTTTTACGTCCTTCTTCCGTATGGGTGTGCGCTTACTGGAGTCCTTGCGCAACGTCTTGCGGCACTGGACATGCAAGTCGATGGCATCGCGTATGAATCCTACCCAAGTGCGTGCCACCTGCAAATCACTGGTACCAAAGATAATGCCATCGTTCTGGCAAGTTAGCTTGAAATTTCCGGGCAGCATTTCGTACACTTTGCATTTCTTCAACGGAAAGATACAGCAGCATTCGAGCGAGTTCTCCACCACAGTATTCGGCGCACGCTCCTTCAGAACCTTGCAGTACATAAAAATGTCCGACATGAGTACGCAATAGCGCCTGATCTCGGTGCCCTTATGTGTGATTTTCTGGAGCATACCTTCCTTGATAACACGCCTTGAAGGATTTACAATGTTAGGCGTACGATTCACAAGCGAATTCTGCAAATGTATCAAGTACTGCGTCACTTCCTGCTCTTCCACACAGGAATTAATATGAGAAGCAGTTGCTTCGATCTCCTTCACAGATTCTGTTAATATAAAATTAAATAGTACATGAAGAAGAGAGACAATCTGTCTATTTACCCTTTAGAAACCTGTAGTCTGTATCCGCTGGACTAGTGTACAGCAACACCTGCTCCAGAAGCAGCTTGTAGCGTGGAACACGCTGTATGGGCACAATCATTAAAGAGTTGAGTTTACGCTGTACCTCTGGACGACTTTCGGTTTGTTCAAGAAATTTACGAAACACCGGATTTTTGCTGATCAACTCCTGCAATATAAACAGCGCGCTACGATAGTCGAAGGCATACACCGAATATAACTTGAAGAAGGGCGCCATCTTCAGAAAAGCCTGCGAAACATTCTCTACGTTCGCCTCCAGCTCACGCAGAAATTCGCCATTCAAATTGTATATCATTTCGATCTGACCAAAGAGAGCCGTATGGTTGGGACCATCGATGATGGCTTGCTCCTTTATTGGACGTACAAAGTAATTCATAAGCAGCTCCAGCTGCTCCAAATACGATTTCTCTGACATAACAATCTCCTCTATGGCCTGGCGACGAAACCCCATACGCTTGCCCGCCTCTGCATTGGGATTCGGCGAGCCAATAGGACTGCTAGAATTACTGTCCAGCATCCGACATACTGAAACATAGTACGTATCACAATTGGCTATAATAGCAGCTGCTAATACGCGCGCACATTATTACGCATGCCTGCTTACCTTTTTTCCGCGACTTGGCGGTCAATAAGTTACGCTCCTGCAGGACTTGACGTAATTCGCGACTAAAATTCATTGGAGTGTGTGGCGAATCGCCATAGCCGACCTTTTTTTGCCTCGGCGTAAACATTTTTGCGCAGATTTCCACACAATTAAATAAAGAAAAATGCGAGCGTCGTTCGCGCTACAACACAAGCAAGGACGCCGTCACAACACCTGTTTCGGTTAGTAATTCAAACAAAGCGCTTGTTGTTATCGAAACGAGTGGGGTGGCAACGCTGAACTTGAATGCAACCATGTGGCCGCGATTTGTTTATTTCTATACGTGGTGACGTGCGTGGCTGATATTTGTTTTTATTATTAATGTTGCTTTTCGGACTTATAGCATAAAATGCACACTAAATTAAGTGATATGGAGGTACGCGTAGTGGCGCGACTAAACGAGGAACTCGGCAAGGATGCCAATCGCCTACATCGTGCCGCTGTGCTCATTGAACATTACAAGGAACAGCTACAGGACTTGCGACAAGAAGTAAGTTAACTAAGGATCTTGATTTGATGGACAACGGTTTATATTAATCTGTAATTTGCAGTTAAGCTACGAGGATCCACAAAATGTGTCCTGCTACAAGTCCGCGTTTCAGTGCCAGCAGCAGGTCTGCGACAGCATCGATTTCGAGCTCGAAAAATTGGCACAATTCAGTGTGAAACTGAAAAACAAGCTGCAGGAATGTCAGCCGGCCATAGCGGGTGTGCAAGAAGATGTGCAGCAGGTGCGGTATCTACAGCGACTGACACAGTATCTGCGACTGGTGAAGGACATACAGGAAATAAGCTCTGCACTCTCCAACGCCATCAACGGCAAGGACGAGGCGAAGCTGGTTAATATATATCTGACACTATACGAAGGCAATGACTGCGAGCATAGCGTAGTAGGACGGCTTCAGGGTGTGGAGGCTCGTGCACTGAAATCATTTGCTGAGCGCACTGCAATCTATTGGCACAGGCTGCTTATGCAGCGTTTATCCAACGAATTTGAGGCTGTGCTCAAATGCATGCGCTGGGCACACATAGAGCAACAAACACTCAATTATTCGCCCAGTCGTGATACGGCAAAAGCGCAGCTGCTGGCTGAATATATATTCCTCATTAAATCGCCGGCCGAAGAACATGAGCCCCTTCAGAGTATTACGCCAAGCATTGTGTGTTCCCCAATCAGTCAAGTGGCACAACTACTATTGGCACCCTATCGGCAGCGTTTCATGTTTCACTTTACGGGCACGCGGCAGACAAACCGACTGGACAAGCCAGAATGGTTCTACACACAAATACTCAACTGGGGAAAGGAGACACATTTCTTTGTGGGTAAAACATTTCAGCCGGCCGCCATCAAGGCTGGAAAACTGGACTACAACCTCAGAGTAAGCTTTGGCGCATTAAATTAATCCGCAGCCTTATGTTTTATTAACCTTTCATCCAGCTGGAATTCATGCGCGGTCTGGTCCAACTTGCTATTGAAAAACTGGCAGTGGACATTGAGCAAATTGTTGATGACGAGATTCTGTTTGCTCATCTTCTGGATGAAACACTGGCTTTTGAGGCAGAGCTGCGCGAAACGTTTGGATATCCGGCCAGCTTTCCCAGCGCCATTTGTGTGCTGACACAGCCCATGTATCTGCTTCGCTGGATTGCACTAGAGGAGCAATGTAAGCATCTGATCCAACTTAGTAAAACAAAAGCTCGCTTATTATCAAATATTTTTTTACAGTTTGCGCAGACAAAATGGACGAAATACTACAGGCTGAGGAACCCTTTCAGCTCATAGACCCCAACACCTTCGAGGATGATCTGAAAATACCCAAATGTGCCGATCAGTTTATGCGATTACTCGACGCCATTAAGGATCGGTACTATGGTCTAATACAGCCTGGTCATCAATTGCAGTTCCTCCAGCTACAGCTGGAGCTTATCGACAGCTTCCGAAGGCGTCTCGTGCAACTTCACAGCAGCGGTGCCGTTCCCAGCATAGCTGCTCTCAACGCCCTCAATTATCTAATAATGGTGCTGCGTGAATGGGGCGAGAACGTGCATTACCTGCACCTACATACGGCTCTGGCCGGACCCAATGCCACCGAAATTAACTCTGTGTTCGAGCATGCAATCAACGAGCTGGAGCACTGGTCCCAAAAACTAGTGCATAATCTGGCCACCAAGGCTGTTAACGAGATGAAGGCCAGATCAATGAGCTATCGCCACGATGCATGGCCCACAATGCCAGAGCAGAATAGCAAGGAACCTTTCATACTCTCACCAAGTGGCGGGGAAATGTTTCAAGTGCTGGTCACACAACTTCACAATTTGGAGCGTGAACTTTCCGCTAATCTGTTTAACCAAACACTGCGTCTGATGGCCCGACAAATTGACGATTTCATGCTGGACAGCATGATTATGAATACTAAGTTCGCCCCGGCAGGCGCTGCTCAGTTCAATTACGATATGACGCGTAATCTGTTCGCGCTGTTCGGTCAATATACTCGACGGCCTGAGCTAATTTTCAAGAAGTAAGTGTGTGATAACAAAAGGCTGCAAAAGGCAGACGTTAAATGATATTTGAATAATCTTCGACAGAAATTGATGAAAAGAATATGAGTCATGATAGTCCGATAAAATCATTTTCGTTAAGTTTTTAATTATCAAGATGAAATACTGCAGTTTATTCGTGTGCTAATATGTCGAAAGCGACCGTCACAGGTTAGATGGCTATAAAAATGATTGCTCAGCGTCTTGTTACAAGCAAATATTTTGCTTTTATATAAATGGGTTCACCCATTGAACATTTTATTAAGAATGCTTTAGTAACTTTATGCAATAGTTAGCATAAGTCGTTAGAAACACAGATTATTATATACATTTTGTTGTATTTTGTATTGATATGTACCACATGATATGCGTTTGTTGTGATTTCAAGAAGTACTTCCCAGGTTTTTTTTCGAAATATTCTAAAATGAAATTATTTTACTAAGCTAAGCTGTTATTTTTGTCAACCCACAGAATACATGACTCCAGCAAATTGCTGACTGCGGCACGGGGCACTGCTTTACTGTTGTTGGAAACGCTGCGCAGCACGCAATCCGTAGAGGAGAAAACGAAACCGCTGCGTGAACTTGGCGTGGTTAGTCTGGGGAGCAAAGTTTGCATTGAAGTGTTGGAGCGACGGACGGACATCAAAATGTTCTGAGTCATTAATGTTGGCATGTTAGCGTGAATAAGTGGTGCGGAATAAAAGTGTTTTGAACAGAAAATTATATGCAATTGGTTTTTTATTTTTGTTAAAGATCTACTTATGTGGGTACGGGAATTTAATTTGTAAAACAGTTCCACTCCGGCTGCTCAACAAAAACACATTCATTTTAGTAACTGTATTGATAAAATTGTTCTAAAAATATAATAGCATTAAAGTAAAATAGATGTATATAATAATCATCATCATCAATTTCACAAACAATTGCAGTTAGTATTTATCGTATTATTTGTAAATACCAATTTGCGACACATTGCGCACATCACACTTCATCACATCATCGTAGACAAGATCCATAATTTCGAGTTGCCCGCATGAAATAAATGCGCCTAACTATGATAAAAACTGCTGGTACCCACTTCTTTGACTCCATCCCCATCTCTGGCGCACTAGTCTATTCGAAATTCTGATAGTTAGTCACGCTGACGAACTGGGCGCGTTGCTGTGGCGTCATATTGAGATTTCCGCGGTGCTTCTTGTCGTAGGCCCAAATGACACAAGTAGAGATCAGCGCAATTGTCAACCATCCCATGAAAAAGAGTTCCACCCACATATGGGTGCCATCGCTCTTGTCAACAATGATGCCCGCCACGATGGTTATGGAGGCTAGGCCTAGATTCTGTATGGATTGGCAGAAACCGTAGGCGGTGCCAAGCTGATATTCTGGAATGATGAGCGCCACCAATGGCCAAAGGCTAGCAGCCAGCATGGAATATGATAAGCCCATTATGGTCATGCCCACATAGGGATTTACTTGCGTGAATGTAAGCAGTGCATGCGCGCCAATGGTGGTCGTTGTGGCGCCCATCACCCAGGTCACATTCCGTCCCACTTTGTCAATCACAAAACCGAAGAGTGGTGATGAAACCGCAGCAATCAGATAAACCATAGCATTGACGTTGTTGGCTTCCTCTTTCGTATAGTGAAAGCGTTCCACAAAAAAGCCCTGGCCCAGCGCGATGAAGGGAAAAATGGCCACATAGTAGGCCACACATATAATGGACACCATCCAAAAAGGCGGTTTGAATGTGAACACATCCGTCAGCTTGGGTATCTGGCCACTAGGATTGTTGTTCCTTTGCAGAATTCGTTCGGCACGTTTGTCCATCCAGCCGAGAATTAGGGCACAAATGAGCGACATGATGCAGGTAAGCGTCGCCAGCAACAGAACCACTCCGAGTGCGGTGTGATCATGGTAGAAGTTGCTGACATACTTGTAGATTGGCTGCATGACCCAGAAATTGACTGTGCTGCCAAAACGTGCCACAGATAACTGGAGACCGAAAACCATATTCAGCTCCTTCCCTTTAAACCAGAGCACAGCATAGCTGTTTTGTGCCACAGCCAATGACTCAGCGCCAATGCCGAAGATGAAGCGGCCCATGATCATCAGCCAGAAAGCATTCAATAAAGCTCCGCTGGCGAAGAGTAGCTGACCGATTAGAAGAATGAACATATAGATGATCGTTCCCAGTCGTATACCAAACAGACGATCCACTAGGAAACCACCAATAAAGCACAGCACAACATTAGGCCACGAATAGATCGAATAGATTAGCGTGAACTGAGTCTCAGAAATGTCCAGATCGTGTTTGAAATCGGCATGCAGGGCTCCAGGGTTGTCGTAACAGAAATACGAGCCAAAGCCGAGCAGGCACATAAAGATCAACGCCAAGAAGCGATGGCAGGTGCTGGATGGCACGCAACAGGGACTGCAGCCGCCCGAGTGCAGATCCAGTTCATTGTCTTGGCGTCCACGTTCCGCTGCATTAGATCCCGTTGTCGGCTGCTCCTCCTCCGGTACAGCTACTTCGGAGCCAACGATCGGCTGTTCATCATCTTGCGCCATGACTGACCAGTTCCCTTACAACTTGAGCACTGACCGGCCCACGGATAGTAGCCCGCTCGCACCAACTCTCAAAGAGGGCGTAATTTACAATGTATCTGCTATTTTGCAGCCGTTTTTTTGTTGAATACACAAGTATGTACGTGTTTTCGCTTTTTCTGCAAATATGCTGTTGTATCGAGTTCCACACACACCAGTGCAAACTATTTTAGTGTGTGTGTGTATGATGAACTCTTTTGTCTGCTTTTATGCTTATCTCGTTCGTTTTTGTTTACTGCACTCGTTGTACCCTTTGTTTCTAATGCTGTTGTTCGATTTGTTTGTAGAACAGCGCTTATCAAATTTCACAGTCCAGTTACATCAATAATTTACTTTAGAAATTATATTACGAGCGGCGGACGGACGTATTGCAGCTCGCACCCGATCTTTATTAGCGCTGTAATTAAACTAAATTGATTTCTCTCCTACGCTTTAATTTGCTTGCTAATTACGCACAAGATGACACAAGTGCTGGACAGTGCCGGAATATTACATTGTAGGTCAGTGTTGTACAATGCGCATGCTCGCGACCAGGGCTACAGAACAGAACATAACGCTATCAACAAGTTTTATTTATTTATAAACAAAAAATTCGTAAAAGCACCACCTCAATATGTGTGCTCAATAAATATATAAGTTAGTAAAATATTGAAATATATAAATTACAAGTGGAATAATTTTTGAATAGATATAGTTTTGGCAACTTTAGCAACCCTAGGTAAGAAATACCGCTGTGAAAACTCATGTTTATTCTGCATAAAATGTTGTAAATTATATAACGTCGCACTGCAAAGGATTCGGGAGCTTGGTAATGGCATCATCATCTTCAATCGACACAAGCCAGCGCAAGCCAAGAAGGACTCGAGGCACACCATCCTTTCATTATCGCAATCGTTTTGCCGCTGCTTTTATTGTCGTGGGATCAGCGCTCTTTGGGCTTTGGAAGTAAGACATTCCCTCTTTTCCCTTTTTATGTATTTATGTAGCTTTTTACTCTTATTTCACCCACAGCTTAACGCCCATACAACGCATATGCAACGAAAAACTGATTAAGGCGCTGGAGACAAGCGAGACAGAAATTGATCGTCACGCACTCTTTGATTTCCCAGCACCTCGTCCTGGGAAATTCATCAGGGAGACAATTGAGGAGGCGGAGAAGCTTAGGGTTGAGCGTTAAAAATGGACAGGCAAACACGAAAAACTAATTTTAAAAAACTGCAACTACCCGCGACCACAAAGCTGCGGTAGGTAGCAGTATCCACTTAATTGTATATATGTATACAAATAGTTAAATTTGTTGCAGATGTAGATTATAGTGAAATAAAAATAAAATCATAAATTAATAGTTTTTTCTTATCCTTAAAGATCCACGCGCAGCAGCAAAAGGAACACAGAAACTCTTACACTATCCAACTACTTCAATACCCCAGAGAAAGTCAGCAATCAGGCAGATCAGGTTGAAGATCAGTCCAAGGAATCGGAGCAAACAGCTACAAAGACCAATGATAAGATTAGGGCCGCGAATTTAGAAACATCGCCAGATGAGCCTAAAATTAAGAAACCACGTGAAAGCGATGACTTCGAAAAACCTGGCCCTAAGCCCAAGAAAGCGCCCAAAATCAAGGCAAAGGCACCACGCCGGGGTCGCAGTAAACAGCAGCCGGCTATTAGCAATTTTCTGCGCAACGAACAACTCTTTGCGGAAGTGACGGCCCAGCACTGTATAGCCGACAACTTCAGTCCGGATGACATTGAAATGGCGCTGGCGCTTTCCAAGTCCGAGGCTGAAAAGCATGGCAGGCTGCGGTTGCATGAATCGGACGATGCGGTTGTTGATTTGATCGGCAATACCGACACAGAAGAAGGAAACATCCAGAACATACGCCTCAAGCTGCAAAAATATGGCTTTCGTACAGCAGCAAAAGAAGGTAAGCATAACGATATGCTTCCAATAGAGTAATTATATAAATATATATTCAACAGATTATAACTCATTGTCTGTTGCCATTTTGCCAGGCGTTAGACGTGGTGGCAAAAAGTGCAGGTGGGCCAATAAATTTACAGCGCTGACGTTGCGAAATCCAGAGATCCAATTAAAAAAGTTACAGAACAGAGTTGTGACTCTGCTTGCAGAACAGTGGATTACAAAAGAAGCGTCGTCGGAAGAGTATTCACTAACATCATATGAGCTGATAAGCACAGATCTTCGTCTATTGGAAGCCAGTGACGAGAAACGGATTACCCACGAGCCCAGCGAACAGCCTTTGACTGATTTAAATGCCTATTATGTGAGGGATCTATTCGAAGTAAGCAAGACGCCTGCGAATCATTTGCTAAAGGATTGGTCAGCCATACAGGGACGCGACCTGTCCCCAAAGCGCTTGACCACTCAAAGTAGGCGACGTAAAGAGCTATTAGAAAAAGTGTACTCTGAATTGGAGGAGCTTTTCGGTAACAAACCTAAGCCTGAGCAGAAAGTATCATCAAACGAAATGGTAATAAATAATGGACTGCCCGAACTTGCGAAACTTATAAAAGAAAACAAAGTACCATCGTTGGAAGTAGAAAACAGAGTAAAACCTGTAGTATCTCCAAAAGCAAGATCACTGGAATCACTGGAAGTAAATGAATCAGATGTCAGAGCTAACAAACAGCCTGAACTAGCAAAGTTTTTTAAAAAAAATGCAAAGGCTTTGGGAGAGGAGTCCCCAGAAATAAATGAACTATCCAACATTAATGAATTATCTGCATTTGCTAAGCTCATCGAAGATAACATTGTCGAAGAAAAGTCTGCAGCCTGCGCAACTCAAATTGAAATGTATCAAATTAGCTGTAGTCCTATGAACGAACAGCCTGATAAACGCGCAAGAATTGGGCAAAATGAAAAGGAGAATATTAGCCCCGTTACTGATTCTTTGTTGAGTATTCCTTCGCAAATCACACGCTGTACCTCGCCAGATTTATTTGCAGATTCGGATGATGATGGTGATAGTATGCCCGAAGTAGTAAGCAGAGAAGCTAAAGAGTTCGAAGACTTCTCATTAAAGCCTTACAAAGACGATGAACAGGAGCAACCACATAGTATAACTACCTACGAGAACTATTCCAGTGATGATGGTGGGTGAGAAATATAATTATAAAATAAAAGATTAACGTTTTTGTTGTTAAATTTCAGTAAAGACTGCTGTCATTACTTTACCGGCGAAGAAATACATTAAAAGTGAAGAATATCAATTTATAAAAAACCCAAATGAGGCTATAATAGACCTGTCACAAGATTCTTCATGTTCAGAGCCTGAAAACAAAAAAGCTAATTCGTTTTTCGACAATGATCTCTTTGATTCACGCCCAAATCTTGAGTTCGATGAATATGTAGAAGAATGGAAACCGGATTATCAGGAAGTGATTGATTTTGATTCCCGGTTAAATGTCAGTGATAACATTTCGACAATTTCAAAAACCTATTCCAAATCATCTCTACATTTATCGTCAACCAACTGCAAAGAAGACTTTGACAGCTTCAAAATAATATCTCGTATGGAAGAGAAAAATTGCAGCGACGATTTTAGCTTTACACTTCCAAATTCAAGACAAAACAGCGATTTAAGGATTAAAGATTCTGAAATGACTTCACCAACCAATAAGACCTCACAGGACTCTGCAAAATCATTCGCTAAACTTGATGAAGCAGCATTCCAGCTTCAAATGAGTGCTTCACAAAGCTTCAGAATTAGCTGTAATCAGACCCCTAACAAAACAAAGGCTGTAGAATATGAGCACGGCTTTAAAAGCCCTGTACAAAGTTCTAAGTCAAACACATTTAACGATGATTCTATCTCGGCGTTTGTTTCGCCTTTCAAGCATTCGCATTCCAGCATTGATTTAACTCAAGACAGCAACGATGAAGCGGAAATTGAGACTGAGAACGATGGCATTCTGCTGTCGGATGATGAAATAAATTACTCCATTTGGAAAGCCGATAAAACATTTCACACGAAAACAATAAATAGCGACATTGACAATTGTAATGATATACAAAAGAAATCCAGTTTTCATAGCGCCTTCTCATTCGAAAATCCTGTAGTTCTCAGCAGCTTTCATAGTGTTGACGATCTACATGCAGATCTTATGGCGTCCCCCACTATTTCTAGTAAATCTGGCAATTCTCACTCGCCCAACAAAAGTGCGCTGAGCAAAGAACGAGCAGAGTTTGGAATTTTGGATGCTGCTCTTTCGCAGCCCTTTACATTCTCACAGTTGGACAGTCCGGCAAAGCTTTCCGATTCAAAGGAGGAAATCGACTGGTCGGATGCATCATTTTTGGATGTGATTCCAGAGGTAACTTTCAAACGTTACTCCAGCAGCCACAATCACAAGTTTAATGAGCTACTAGCCGATGTTTTGGAGTCCGAAAAAGCGTTGAAGCCCCCAAGCCCTCCACCAGTTGACCTTGACTTTGATGAGTTTGATCGCTTGGTCTTTCAAACTACCAATGATTCAGTTACACCTACTGCATCAGACGCCTTTCCAAGTGGACTAGATCGTCTGCTGAAGGGCGAAATCAATTTGGAGACGCTTCCCCAGCCCACAACGCCTGTCAAACAACGAAGTCCTAAGAAATCTCTATCAGTACCCGATCAATTGGAAGTCAATGGCCAAGTATATAAAGTGCGTGTTTCTCATTCGCCTAAACCTGATTTTATAAAGTTATCCGAATCCGAGTTGCTCAAGCAGCTTTATAATTATGGCATCAAGCCATTGAAACGCAAACAGGCTGTGAAAATGCTCGAATTCATCTACAATCAAACCCATCCCAAAATGTTCGTGCCGAAAATTGAGGAACCTGAACCAACACAATCAATTATCAAAAAAACGTCCTTGTCACGGTCCAAATCCACACCCGTAGGTATTAGCAACAACAAGAAGCAGGACAGGTTGCAACAAACAGATAGCCTTGACTGTCTAACTCCCACCGAATCCAGAGCTGAAGGGAAACTGCAACTTCGCGATGCCTTCGGGGATCATCTCTTGCGTTTCTCGCAAGCATTACCCCCAACACTTTGCGATGATTTTGAGTATTATGTGCTGCAAACGAATATAACAAAGAAGACGCCACAGCCTTTGGTTCCACTTCATATAGCTTGGCATAATCTGCTTCTTGCTAATCCTGACCTGCATGAAAGCATCCTTATGTATGAGCCCATTGATTTGCAAGAAATCTATATGTATTTAAAACAATTGGGGCATCGTTACGAACCCAAGGAAATGAAATGTTTTTTCGATCGACGCTCTATTATTTTCCGCTACGAGTTAGCGCCGAATGCCAAACAAGCGGAGCGTCATGTGCGCAAAAAACCGAAAAAGCCTGTCGCTAGATATTAGATTATTGAGCAATACATATGTACATTATATAGATTTTAAGGGATTATTTTCCGATTATTATATTCCGTTTATTTGTATATTTGACAATTCAATTTCTGCGTCTTCGCATTTTGGCATTCATGCATACATTTGTTATTCTACTGTAACCGAAAAGCTAAGTTCTAGATTTTAGATTAATAAACAATACTTTTTTGTATTCCATCACTTAAAAGCCGAAGTTTTTTTTACATTATTACATTTTACTGCAGACTTTCTTTTTAATATACATTGGTAATTGTAATTATGCACTCTTGAATTTTGGTCTTTTGCATTAATAAATTTGCTATTCTACTAGAACAGTATGTCCTCCAATAGACGATCAATGATCACCTCAATAATGTGATCAAAGTTGGGCGACAATTCCTTCTGGTCCATTAGTACTACCTCGCTTTTAGTGTATTTGTCGACATGTTCGAAGCGTCGCTTGTGCTTGCGCTTGCTTTTGAAAAAATCTTCATAGTTTTCCGCCAATTCGGTGGGTAACTCATCCAAATCCAGGTCAGGCGAAGGCTTGGACAAAAATGGACAGCAATTGAGGAGCGGTCGCAGACAATTCATTTTGATTACAAAATTACGTATCGACTCGAAGCGGAAAATATGAAGTCTGATTTTGTTTGCTTTCTATAAACAAGTTTATTTTAAAATGTATGTTAAGTCAATTCACAGAGAAAATTGGACGTATGTATTTCAACTGCCTTGTGAGATTACGTACTCCCCCAAGCTTCCTACATATGTATTTATGTATATAAGCGTTGCACTCAAAATGCAATTGACCTTTTTTCATTGATCTGTGACGACGCAGTGTGTGATGTGTGAGATTTGTTTTGTACTCTCTATAGGTAATATAAATAAATATGTAAAGTTAGTGTTTAAAATAAAATATTACTCGCATTGCAAGTAAACACGAAACCATTTCAAAACAAAACTGTTCCAAATATTCTACATATAGCCGCACGAAAATTTGATCACAAAATTAAAACAAGAATATCTGTTAAAAACAAAAACAAGTCTAGGTCAAGTTACAGGAGCTGCTGCAACTATTGAGCGGTTTGCTCTTGCCCAACTGTATAGCCTCGTCATCGTCGTCAGCTGTGACATCACTGGAATCGTGGAGGCGCTTTAACTCCATGGCCAGACAAAAGAAGGCATCTTCAACATTGGTATTCTCCTTGGCAGATGTTTCCATTACGAACAACACCTCAGGTATAAACTGACTCACATGGCGCACCTCTTCGAAGTCCACCTCGCGTTCAGTTTCGAGATCACATTTGTTGCCAATCAATATGATTGGCACATTGGAAGCTGTATACCGACGCACTTCCTCAATCCATCTCTGTAGATTCGAGAAGGAAGCACGTTTTGTGATGTCATAAACTGAAATCAGAAGCACAACAAATTAATTATATGTACTTATAAATGCTCTGCGCAATTAGTATTGCCATTAAGTAGGAAACGCTGATAACGGTGCCAGTGGCAACCATAGCGAATGCTGGCAGGTCGTTAAAATCATAGCCACTTTGTGATAAACAAACACTGGCGATAAAAAAGTTCACCCTTATCGCAAAGAGAAATGGCAAGACAGAAGGCTTTGCCATTTAACCGTTTTTTCAGCGATTGCAATTTAATGGGCGTTAGCAGCAGAAAACTCACCGATGATTACGCCATTGGCTGATCTGTAGTAGCTTTGAGTGATGGTGCGGAAACGTTCCTGACCGGCAGTATCCCAGATTTGTAGCTGCAACAAGGACAATTAAAAATGGAGTTGGCGTGGCAATATGACAGGATTTACCTTCACTTGTTTGCCATCGACAGCAATAGTTTTCATCGAGAAATCTACGCCAATTGTATTGCCATGTCGGTCCACGTAGTTTCCAGTTTTGAAGCGTTCCACAATGCACGTCTTACCTGTCCCACAGTCGCCAATCAGGACAACTTTGAACAGAAAATCAAAATTCTCCTCGCTCTCCGCCATCAATGTTTCCGGATTACGTCCCGTCATTGCTTTCCGCTCTTCTTGCAGTGCTCGAAGTTGACACTGCGCGTAAAATTCAACTATCTCCTTTTGGGCATGCAATATGTTTTGATTCTGTTTTGATTACAATAAAATGCGTTGCACGAAAAGCAAACTTTTGTTGTTTTCAGTTGTACGTACGTAGCAATATGTACAAATCAAAACCTGTTTAGGAACTACTCTGACTGAAGTAGTTCAACATATGAAAACCTTTCAAATTTTCCAACACTGTTAAAAGCATTACTCGGAAAAAGGCGCGCATTTTATTCAAATTTAATTACCTTGATTTTTATACTTAGTCAATTGTCATTGTAAAAAAATAATATTTGTATGATTAAATAATAAATGATATATAAACAGCTTTTTTGAACATTTTACAAAATTGATGTAACCAATATATATTTAAACGAGAACTTTATTGATATCGAGAGCGGTTTTAGGGCAGCTATATAAAAAGGGGTATTATTCTTAAGCATTTATATGAATACACAGTAAATGGGAGGTAATAAATGACTGTATATTTATACAGAGTTTATCAAGATTTTTTTCTACTGAAACACACAATTTTTCCTAAAAAAGTTCGACTAAAATTGTGTTACAGTCGAATATAACTCAGTTTGAGGAACCTCCTGGCTATCTATGAATGCCTGCTATTTACTTTACATTTCGATTGATGAACTTGATTTTAAACAGATCAAGCTTGTGAAAGATGTATGTATAATCACTACCAAGATTCATATGTAAATATTTAAAGAATTTATTATAATTTTAGCTTCGCAACATATACGCTGAGAAGCTTTTCCAAATGCCAATAGGGAAAGCGCTAAAACACAATCGTATGTGAGAACATGTAAATTAATAGAGTTAAGTCAATTGATTTGAGCAGCTCAATTATGCCAGCCAACACGTACAAAGCCTTTCTTACATAGGAGTTTACTTACGATTCGTAAGCGACGCTTATGATTTCCACCACGTACCTGGCTAATACCAGTTTAGGGGATTGCGCCATTTAGCTTAAAAATGGCGCTAAATAGTTTACTTAATTAAGCTGTAAAAATTAATACTCGATGAACCGTTTGTGTAATTTTCACCAATGCAATGAATATTCCCATTAAAGATTCCATTTCCATTAAAGCAATCTTTATTGCCTCTCCTTTTGCAGAACCTTGACCTAATTTTAAGCCTAGTATGCTTTCGGTTCTAGACTCACTTTCTTCGAGCCCGCAACGGAAGCCAGAACCAAGCTCGTTGCCGTTGATGCATGCCACAGAAAACACGTTAGTATGCAGAATAGTAGCAACTGAGGCATCATGCGAATGGATAACTGCAATGATTGCCAAGCGAATTGGAAAACCACATACAGATTCGGCTGTGAGCTGTGCAACCGACATGGAACGCACTATCGCAACTAATTCGTGTGGAAAGTTTAATTGCTAACTGGCTGTCTAAGAACTTGTACATGTAAGTGATGCGCACACATGGCGGCAATTAGTCTTGGGGCCATACAAGGTTTCAAAACGAGTGCAATAAATTTGTTGTTTGTCTTATTTGTAAATTGTTCGTCGCCTGCGACCTAAATTTAACTATGATGACTCATTGCTATATATATTTGCCTTTGTACTTCCTGTTCCTGCTCGTAGTTCAAGTTCAAGCCGCAGCGGCATCTCACAGCCTGCCAATCCGCAGGCAAGCGGCTAAAAGGAAATCCAAAACCAAATAGGCAACACGCACACACAGCCACCTAGCTGTTTTTTTTTTTTTTTTTCATACAGGTTTCATTTTGGCTGCGGGTATCTTCTGCTTCTCCGTTTCGCACTCTAGCATTGCATTTTCGTGCTGCTGCTTGCGCGCTGCTTTTTATCGTCTGCCTCTTGTGTTTTTCAGTTTAGTTGAATTTCAAACGTTTGCGCGCGCGGTTCGAATCGTGCGCTTGACTTAAAGTTGTAACGGTTCTATGAGAAACACAGACATCGCTGTGGGTGCAGCGAATAGTGAAAAACTAACTTCCAATTCCAAGCGTCGCATAAAAATACCATAAGAGAAGTGAGTTTGACCTTTGGTTGCTATACGATAAGAAAAAGTGACAGTTCAAAATAGAGAATGGCTGCGCTTTTTACCTAGTTAGAGTTTAGGAATTGCCGGAAAATTCATGAATATGCCTTGCCCTAGTTGAATACATTAAGTAGTGTTGTGATTTGTCAATCATATATCCATTGTCGTTAATGTCCTCTTTGCTGTGTCGAATAATGGCTTGAAGGGATGCTAAAGCGATGCCTTTCTAACAAACATTTTGTATTGAAATTTACAGATCAGCGATCAAACTGTTCTAGAGTGCTATTAGTGTATTAGTAAATACATACAAGTATTAGTAAACATGTATAAGAAGAAAACCAACAAAAGATCGTCATAGGCGTTAGGTTTAGAAATTTTAAGAAAAACATTTACATATAACCTTGTATTCTTTTATAAAACTTATGGATTGCATTTATCAAGTATAACCAGAATAAAAGAACATGGACATTTGTTTGTGGTTATAATGAAAAGTAAATTAAATGATCACATCACCGAGTAAATGGGTTAAAACAAAAAGAAAAAAAATGCAATTGAAGACCATGTATAATATTATCGCTTTGCTGGAGTTATTTATTTCTAGTGCCAGTTAGGCATGATCATTGATCAAAAGGTTCAAAAGTTAATGGGAATTACTGATGAACGTGCTCCATAAAGTCAATTTGAATTACAGTTTTCATGTAATTCATCTAAATCGTAAAATGATTGTCATCTATCTAGTTCAAGTTCATTGTCATTTGCATGTAATTAAAAGCACTTTAGATTTTCCCAAACGATTGAAAGCTAACTTATGTAAGCACACAGAATTCGAATTAATGAGGTATACGTACATGTATTTCGAGTTCGCTTAAAACCTCGTATATTTCCGATGAATTTGCTGGATCTGCAGGGCACAAAAAACTCACAAATCTCTTTTTTTTTACCTACCTATACATGCCTGTTAATTGGCATTATAATGCGGTACGCGAAACGGTAGCGCCGCACGCAATTAAACTTTCTACAATGCGACAACCACTACGACGACGACGACACATCAAATCCATTACCGAATCAAACCTTTGGATACTTTGATTGATTTCATTAAAGTGCAAGCGCACGAATTGTTTTGATAGCGCGACCCTTCCCCATAATTTGCATTCATGTCACGCCATTTGCCAAATATGCAAGTGAGTGGAGTTCATGTAACTTTGTAACTACTCGTACACTATATGTATGTGTGTACGCATATGTATGTATGTGCGTGGGAGTTAATCTGTGCTTGTGGTGAGTGGACTTGCACTTTCCTTCTGGCATTAAAATCAACTGTCGCAATAGTTACTGATTAATTATGCATCGCCATCACCGCAAAAACGTGCCTAAAAACAAAAGACTCGAGTCACGAACTTGCTATAACATTCTTCTTCTTTTTTGATACGCATAAAAATTTCAATATTTAAAATATGTTTATAAACTTATTTTTTGTTCGACTGCCACTTCACCTGCTAACCTGAATTTCAATTTCATTTTAATTTAATTTTTTTCTCAACAACCCATGAAGTAAAGTGTTTTATTGAAATTAAATGGCCTTTTGATTGTAGTAACTGCCTGATGTGTGAGAGCAGGAAACAGCATTTTTGCAGAAAGTGTGGTTCTGAAAAACCAACAGACCGACAGCCAAACATGCAGACAGTCCATACCTGAGAACTCCAATTAAAGCGCAGCTGGACTAATTCGCCATAAGTCGGCTGTCCTGCTCTCGCTCTGAGCCGATAAGTGTTTGGTTGCATTCCAATTCGACATTTATTGCGTGTCTCTTGTAGTTGTTTGTTTATGTTGGTTGTTGTTGATGTTGATTTTCCATAGAAATCAAATTCATCCTTTACAAATTTCTGTGACCATTCATAGGAATAAGCGAGAGTATCCAGCAGAGTCGCATCTGTTCCGAGACTTGTCCAGCCAGTTAGGCAACTATGTCGGCATCGCTGCTTCTTCTACATTAGAAATAAAAACAATAATAGGAACAACAGCACACACCGATCAGATATGAGACGAAAGCTTCTTACAGGCAGAACTCACATAAAACGGTCAATTTAAAAATTATGGAACCAAGTTGTTGCTTCTGCAATAATTTCGAAAATATATACTTCGCCTTTTAATGATAGAAGACCAGATAGCAGATAGCACAAAATTAAAAGTGGGGCCAAAGGTAGTCAAAAGATAGACAAAGTCGTAGAGATATTGTACAAGTATCTTCCGTGTTAGAAGAGGAAACATGTTCTACAATTATTAAGATTCGGAAACAGAAACCAAACAAGGTGTAAAAGAAATATAGAACTTTGATTTTCATTTACTTGCATTATGGAGACCTGACTGTACTTCGAATTTTAAAACAATTTTTATGTGCAGTCATCGCTTCTAGGCCCAACCTTGACAGTGGACTGCAAGCCTCGGCTTTGTGACCCAATTTCGTTTTCATACCAGCAATGGCGCCAATTAGTTCTTGCTCCAGTCAGTCATTCAGTGCCCAAGGTGACAGCCGTACAGGTGTCGAGTCTCATGGCTCATAAAAAACTGCATCTTTACACGCTGCAAACGCCTGATCCGACTGAGCCGGCTGAATGGCTAAGCTGGGACTTAGTGTTTGTTTGCTCATTTGAAGCCAATGGCTGGCATCGAGCCGATTAACCAGTTATTAGCCAGCTTTGACGGATAACTGACTACAACTGTCTACAATATGTCACGCGGCATGTAATTGGAGAAATTTTGGGAGAATTGTGCTTAACCCTTGACTAGCCAAATGTTTAATTAATACCAATCTTGCGATGCCGCCTCAAGTCAATTCATGCTTGAACTAGATAACGTGAAAAGTGACAACCAGTTTGGTCCACAAATTGCAGCCTTTGGGAAAGTGCATTAGAATCTAGAGGCGCCTTAATAAACGCCAACGTAGTCGCTCGCTCGTGTAATGGTAACACGCTCTAGCTCTATGCCCCAAACCGGCTAGCTGCAAAAAAATTGTTGCATCATCGCCCGACTTGGCCATGGCTATGAATTTGATTATATACACAGATGTGTGGGTATGTCTCTGACTAGCTGGGTATGGCAAATATAGGACATTGTAAGCGAATTCATGGTAAAAGTGCGTCGTGAAATTTTCACGCCACATTCTGAGAGTGCTATAGATATCAATTTAAAGTGTTCCATTTTGTTTGATTCTTGCGAGTGCGTTTTTGGTGAAATCCACACTCCACTCACTCACTCCATGCAGACTCGTATGAGAAGCTCAGGTCTGAATAAATCAGTTTGTTTGTGTGTGTGTGCTTTCACTGCACTTACCCATATAAACAAATAAAGATACAAGGACGTTTGACAGCCCGTTCTTGAATGCGCCAAATTTGTAGCTATTGTTGCTAACACTATACAACTGAGAGTAAAGTTTAAGGTCTCCCAAAGATGCAGGTGTGGCTGAACAATATGGCAAGAAATTTGGACATTTTTATCTGCAAGGAAGATTTCTCGTTTTGTATTTAAAACTCTTCGGTTTAAAGATATAGTTGTTTTCCATTTATCCATTCAATTAAGTGTGCCTGTTATTCAAGGGTGTTTACTGACTCACAAACCCGAAACTCTGCTTCTTGTTTTTGAGTTTGCTATTCATAATAAGAATTTCATTCTAACGGTGCAGAAATATGCCATTTGTTTTAACAATGCAGCCCCATGCTTGCTTTCCCAAATCGAGCTGTTCGACAGTCGCCAGAGACGAGCAAAAAACAATGCCAAAGCCGAAACCAGTTGCGAATTGTTGTGGAGTGGGGAGGGGGAGGGAACAAACAGCTGATCGGACGGGACTGGGCTGCAATTTAGTCATCTATACAATGTACATTCGTATACGAGTATGTTGAGTTGTACACTGATGTTAACCGAATTTCAGCGTTTGTGGGGCGGGACTTGCAGAAAGGGGCGGGGTGCAGCAGCCGTTGCACTTGCTGTTATACAACTATAGGAATCTATTAAATAATCAGTGCCATTAGATGATTGTTGTGGACCAAGCTAGGCATGTAAGCGTTCCAAGTTTGTTGCTTAAGTCTTTCGTTGTTCTATTATGTAGCATGCATGCCACAATTCTGAAGAACAGTCTCCAATGTTGTCTGCTGTTGGCGCTCACCACACTCGCAATATCAGAAGCAGATGCTGACAGATCAGCAGATAATGCCGCGCCATTCAGCGATCAGCATCTCAATACACTCGCTGATGAACTGGCCGCGGAAACGGGATCGGACTCAGCGGCAGAAACACCACACATACGCAAAAAACGTCTTGTTTGGATCACCGATGATGGACGACTGGCATTGCCGCCGGGCACTTCATTGACTTTGACGCCAACTATAGCACTCCCATTGGTCAGACATCCGCCCGAGGGTTTCTTCTCCAATATCACCATAAGTTTTCCCGTCACAAGTGAGTCGTTGAAATTTGTTCGACTGTTCGGTTTCAATTTCTATTGCCCGCTCCTTACAGTTGACTTTGACAAATTGGGCCTGACGGATAACCAGAATCCTCTGGGCGATCTGCCGCCAATCTTTGCCCGCTCCTTTGGTCACGGTGCCGGTCACATGCTGGGTGAATATGTAGCTCGATATTTGCACGTCCAGCGCCGGAAACGAGATCTGAGCGCTCAGAGGAGCAGCAGCTTCGAAAAGCCGGCTTTTGTCGTGCATGAAGACCCACAATATCCTGAGCTGCCAGCTGGCTTTAAGCATATCTTCCACGGTGGCGAAAGAGTGCTCCTCTATGGCGTGGTCGAGGACTTCCTAGCTACCTTCGGCATGGATGGCAAGGCGTGTCTGTTGCGCACGATATGTGAGATGCACTCGCGTAGTTTGGAAAAATTTGGCGTGTTCGGAGAGATGACAAAGCTGTTCCTCACGTGAGTAAATTAATTGCAAGCCTTACTTTAATGAGCCTGTCAGCAAATAGTTTCAGTTAGATTTTCTTTTAAGACCTGAGCTCAGGGTAATATTGTTAATTAATTATAATTATAATCTATTATAATCTAAATTTAAGCAGTTTCTAATCGACTTTTGCAGCTCAGTTTTTGTTTGTTTACAGTTCATATAATTAACAAAATTTTCGTTTTGTTGTTCCTAATTTTGATTACGAGAGATAGTTTGCGAAGTTAATGTACTGAATTATTTTGGAGATTTTAAAATGAACTAAAATATAATTAATTTAGTGACCGTGATTATCTTGCAGTTTGTTAAGCTTAAATTTGCTTTAATCACTTTATCCTGCCCATTTGCAGAGTCACGAAGTCGCCCTTTGCTGACCTACTGCCTGAATATGTGAGAGCGCAGCAGGTGGGCGAGGGACGTCAGGCACCGGGCGAGTGTTTTCCCTACTACAAGGCCTGCCCCAAGAGCATATTCAAGGCTTTGGCTAACAAATACCGAAATCCTACAGCAGCAACAACAAGAACAACCACAACTACGGCAAGACCGTCGGGCGAATATTATGAACAGGAAGCATTGGAGCTGCCTAGCAGTCAGGAGCACTTGAGCAGAAATGCGTTGCCCATGGAGCGGGAAACAAGAGTTGTAATGTAACTGTGACCCATTGTTGACCTCGTCTAGTTTTAGGGCGCAACTTGTACAGGGGCGACTGCCGAAATGAGTGCATATTGAAAGTCATTTGCTTGTAATTAACCCTAATTACTGATAATTAATTTAAAATTAATTTATTGCTAGCTGTAAGCGTTGTTAACTTTCTAGCTTGTAGCAAATTGTTGTAATGTGTAAATAATAATAATATTTATGGCGCATGCCAACGCATTGTCTCGAACATGAACGAATTTAGCTTGGCTTTGGTTTCAAACAACTGAACCAGAAGCGTAATAAATGGACAAAAATTCCAGCTAACAAATGTTTTGTTGTATACTTTCCATAGCTTGAAGTAAATAAACAAACAAGTCGCTTGTTTGTGGTAATAAGAAACTCAGTAGGCCTCAAATATGTTTGCCCCACTAGTGTCCCCTCAGATGATGCCAAACAGGTGCTTCAGATGATCCAAGTGGATGCAGTTGATGTAATAGAACATCGATACGTTTCGGGCAATGCAGTCTAGCTTGAGAGCATTGCACATCCAATGTTGCTGAAAACCCCCAAAGGTCATGTACTTTTGTAATGCATCGTGGTACGTGATATCTGTGTGAATGTTGAGCAGCTGCAAGGAAGATAAAATACATTAGCACCGATATAAGTATGTAAAATATGTCCGCGATAACGTAGCCACACATTATTTAGTTTTCGTTTATTGGAATGTGGAAAAACCAATCCATTTTTCTTTTAATAATTTTCCTATAATTAATTCATATTTTTTCATTCAATTTGCACAAGGTTCTCAACACGTTCTAAATACATTAGTTATTTTGGTTCTTATAAAATTCTTGGTCATTAGTAACAGTACTTTTTATTTATATATTTTGTTGTCTGGTTGTCTGCCCTTTTAAGCTGATATTCCCACCCAAAGAGATTGACTCACCTCCATGAATAGCGTGGCCAGGGACAAGTTGCAATCACAAGATGTGCTGTAGCGCAAACGAAAAAAATGGAGACCCTTCAGTACAAAAATATCTGATATATCAGGAATATCATTGCCAATGCCAATTCGCATTAGGAGACGCAACACATTGCGATACTTAATCATGCGTTCGTCCTGAATGAGTTGCATGCGTGGCACATAAGGACAGAAGCTGCGATTGTCGTAGCGTGGGTAAACCTGCAGAAGGGCAAGCCAATAGAAGGAATCGCCGCAATGTGTCCACGCCGGGCTAGTGGGAACGAAGGGCGGTAACGGAAATTCCGTGATACTGAACTGGAGTGCAGGCAAAAACACAAAGGATATGATGCTTGGCATGCCAAAGTCACGTTGCTCGCAGGCCAGAATCTCATGGATAAACCCCTGATCGCCGATATCGTGAGTGCGATAGGCGAGCTTATATTCAACGCCACTGTTGCAGAAAATGGAGCTGAGATGGTCCATGGTGTCGCGCAAATTGCCACGCAGAAGCAGTTGTACACTCTCCGGATTCACAAAACTATTGCTGACCATGGGATGTGTAGTTGGAGCATAGAGATGTATGTAGCCCGGTTGTGCGGCATTAAAAATGGGCGTGACGGGAAAGGGCATGTGAAAACGCAAATACTGTTCGAAATCAAGGGGCACGTCAATCTTAGAGCCCCTGAAAAACGTAGCTGTATAACAAGAGTTATAAATAAATAAAAGAACTGACACATAGGTGCCTCAGTTTTTACTTGCCTGTGGCGAGCAGATGTTGCAGCATGAATTTGTAAATCCAATCCTTCTCTGACATTATGTCCGTAATGGTTTTGCATATAAATTCGGCATCCACGAGCCAATCAGCGTCCATATCGTCAATCTCCATCATATCCGATACATATTTAATGCCTTCTTGGAAGTAGGAATGCCCTTCGGGCAAAAAGAGAGATCCAGATTCAAATGATGGATTGTCTCGCTGCCTGGGAGATGATCCGTTTTGGGGAACCCTTGGTGATAATGCCTCTTTCTTTGAAATGTGGTGTTCCATTTTAGTTGTGCAGCCACACCTACCAGCACAAACGAACTGTGCACAGCACAGCTCAATTTGCACTGAGCTTCGCGGTACAGACATTGGTATAGCTATTGTATCAAATAACATAACTATGAGTGCGTTTTTGTGCATGCGAACAATTAATATTTATTTATTATTTATTTAAATAAATTCCCAAAATATAAATGCTGCAAGCTTTTGACTGTAAGTAGCAATAAAAATATTTTTTTGTTAGACAAAAATTCAATTTATAAATTAACGGCCCAAGTAACAAAATGCTCCGTTTTACCACACTGTTTTTCGCATTCATTGCACAGCACACTTACGCACATCGATATGACAATGCATCGATAACAACGATGCGTTTTAAACAGCTGATGTTTGGTTTATCACGAACTGGACAAAAACTGCTCTTTTATTTGGATGTTGAAGGAATTTAGTCAAACAACGCCGCCTGAATAACACCTTTTGCACTAATGAGTGCCTAAAGCAGCGAGCTGACCATAATACGCTCTTTGCAGGTAAGTGCGAAATCTGCAAACAAACAGCGAGCAGCGGATACATATATGCACAGCAACGCCAACCCGGCCCCAATTAGAACAACAACAACAACAAACCGGACTGAGTCAGGCGTTGTTTGCTTCTGGTGATTGAATTGGATTATCACAACGCTCCATGGATAGTTGTTGTTGCTCTTGTTTTTTCTTTAATTGTTGCCGTGGCTGATATTCAACGTGGCGCGATATATAGAATTTAATCTCGACGCGCTTAGCTGATTGGCCCTATATATTAATTTCGTTTTGTTTTTTTTTGCGTACGCATAGACAAAGATAATTAAACACACATCATTGCTGATTGTTGGCCATGGAAGTGGTCAACAGTATGACGGCAGATTCTACAGCTACAGCCCAACAGAGAGCCATGCATACGCCCCCGCCCTCGAATGTAGTGACGGACAACGCAGTGGGTTCCCAGAGCGAGTCATCCGAGGAGGAAGAATACCTGGACAATAGTGTGGAGTTGCGTGGCTATTTAAGCAAATGGACAAATTACATTTATGGCTGGCAGCCACGTTATATTGTGCTCAAGGATGGTACGCTCTCGTACTACAAATCAGAATCGGAATCGGACTTTGGATGTCGTGGAGCCATTAGCCTGACCAAAGCAACAATCAAGGTTCGTATACGACATGGGTTTGGGTTGGATTGAGAGTTTGGAATTGAAATGGCTTGGCTAGCGTTTTGCAAGTGTTTTTAATTGAACTAATAAAAAAATAATGGGCGTGTGTTGCTCGAATTAACCAACGACCCAACGACCCGCAATCAATGCAGCGCAATCAATTAAGTTCTCTATTTCCACCTCCGCGCCTTACTTTGCCTTCCTTTCTGTTGTCGCGAACATGCGATGTGTGTATGGACGAAAATAGTTGTTTCGAATTGAAGTCATCGTCAGTATAATTTGTAAGGTGGTTGCCAATGGGGGCGGAATACAGTGAGAAGGTCTCTTAGTGGTGCTAGGTGTACACGCTATGGCCAGCAAATGCTTTTGACATTGATGTCTCTTACAACTACAGTCTGCTCTGTTGGTCAATGGCTGCTCATTTCTTTGGTCGGTATTTACATGACAGCGCGTTTGTTTTCGTCGCTATCGTAACTGGGGGCATTGGGGGCGTCGTTTTTATAGGCGCTTTGTGTACAATATGCATACATTAATTAGATATAAGAGCGCGCTAAATAATGTAAACACACTTCGTGATTCATGGGCCGATCTATTTTTATGCTAGACAATTAAATGAAATATTCATTTGCAGGCACACGAGTCCGATGAACTGCGTTTCGATGTGGTGGTCAACAATCTGAACAATTGGTGTCTGCGCGCCGAGACCAGTGAGGACCGCATGCACTGGGTGGAAGTGCTGCAGCTCTACAAAGAGGACACAGGCAGTACGGATACGACCTCATTGCGTCGCCATGGAAGCACCATGTCTCTGCAGTCCAACACCATCTCGTTGGCCAGCGGTGGAAGTCTGAAGAAGACGCAACGCAACCTGCGCGAGAAAGTTGGCGAGCTGGAGACATTCAAAGATATACTATTTGGCCAAATCGAGACTCTACAGCGCTACTTTGATGCCTGCTCGGAGATCAACAAAAGCAATTCCACTCCCCTGGATCTCGGCGATGGTCTAAAGGCCATTGATTTTAAGGTAAAGGAGTCACTTCTTCCGCGTTTCTCCAAACAATTGTTGTTGACTTTTTCAGGGCGAGTCCATCACGTTTCGCGCCACAACTTCTGGCGTATTGAGCACATTACAGCATTGCCTTGAAATCATTGCTGAGAGCGATGAGTCATGGAAACGAAAACTGGAGCGTGAAATTGACAAACGTCGGCGGGCTGAGGAACAGAATAAGTAGGTTGACCTTGAGGCCATAAACGAAATTAAAGCAAATCGCCTGTTTGTCCTTTGCAGAAAGTTCAAAGAAGAAATTGAAAAGCTGAAACGTTTATCTTATCCAGGGCCCGACTTCGAGGTAAGTGTAAAGCTTTAAATTTCCAAGTGTTGTTACAAAGCATGCTCGCATATCTGAGACCAACAACGAGTTATGTTCACGGCCCTTTTTATTAGGCCAAATGTGTTTGCGCATCTTTGTGGTTAATGTGTAGGTCAGAAAATAACAAACAATATGAAGCGTTTAAAGCGTGTGCGCTATGCTGTTTCTTTTTTCGTTTTGTTTGCGCAGCTCGCTCGGCCTATCATTTTTGTTGTTGTTATAATTGCCAACCAGTTTTGTCTTTCGCGATAGACTCGATTGTTTGCTATTAAAATTTTCGACAAAAATAGACGCAAGAGGTTAACATTTCATGTGATTGACCGATTTCTATTTCTAGCTATCATTATAGCTAGAATTGGGAACTTTTTCCACGTTTGCCCCGATGGCATGTTGCCTTTTGTGCAGTTCTTATCTGTTTCCGGAATTTCCGGCACGCAAGCCATATTTATTGACTTTAATTGCTTTTGTTGGAATGTCTGTTGCCTATTTCCGCATGGCTCAGTGATAATTTTTTTTATTTATTTTAATAAGCGCAAGCAAATATTGAAGCAAAGAGAAAGCCAATTATATCTATTTATAATGCGTATGTAGTGAGATGAAAAATATTGATAAGTGTTGAATAAGTGTTGGGCATGGCTATAAGGTAATCTGCAAAGCTTGGCTTCACTCTGTTCAATACTTAAGTACTTACTCATAGTGCCCCTAAACGATTTACGAGTGCTACGATTCTCCCTTTATTCGTAGTGGACGGACGAGTTCATTCACTTGCTGGGCACTCAAGCACAAAGAGTGGGTGGCCGACTGTTTAGTTATTTATACTAATACTTAGTTTGCCTTTTGCTTGCGCTGATATGCACACAAAGGCAAGTCCACTAACTGGATTAAATATTCAGAGTTGAGCATATTAATTATTAAAAAAGATTTAACGAAATTGAAAGCTATTGTTGTTGGGTTGGGTTCATCTTCAAGTCTTGAAATATTATTCTAAATGACTTCAAAGTAAAATACGTTTTTTTATTATGGCGCAATATTTGTCCAAAAGAGAGATATCATATCTGGAAGTTCTATTATTTATGTTTATATGCAAAATGCTCGTGTGATTTTTTCAAATATATTTCTATTTTAAATTCAAAAGATCAATGTTGCGCACCCAAAAGGTTTCAAATGTTCAGTTTCTAAATGTTATTTTTTTTAAATCGCAAAATCTCAAACATATTTTATTGGTTATTTTGAAGTCTAATGGTTCCGAATGCAATGAAATGTGTATTTTTAAAAGGTGCACTATTAAAAAACTTCATCTTAAAATCAAACCGAGTATCTATAGATTTAAAACATTGCATTCCATGCTTGTTACATAAAATACAATCTCCATAACCTATAGTCGTACCCACCCACAGTAATTGCGGAATAACATGAAAGTCCAGCTTTTAAGCACGTGTTTGTTAGCTGCCCTTCCCCCTTCCCCGCTATTTAAACACCTCGAACTCTTGGTGGTTGGCGCGGCTTACAAGCTTATGACAGTGGCCAACGGGCCGCTCATAGCCAACATCGTCCAGTCAGTCAGCGGTCAGCAATCGCGTCGCGCACACGTACAATTCATAAACAAATAGAAGAGAGTAAAAATAGTAAACACCATAAAGCCACAAAGTAACTTTTTATAACAAATGTTACAAATTCGAATTGCGAAATTGTAGGCTTCATATTTACAAACAACAGCCTTACTTACACACAATTTACTGTTCAAAGCACGCGCACGGCTTTTCCAAAATAATAAATTACATATACATATAGTCGTATATACTTATAAAGTGTATAAAGCAATAAAAACCGTTTATAAACTTGCCTTTAAAATATGCCGTCAGTGCGTTTTTTGTCCAAACGCTACAGACTGCAGCATGGAAAGCAACTTGCGACGGTAGGTTAGTGAAGTGCGTGCCCCACATTCGGCATTGTTCATTGTTCAACATGCCGCACTTAACACTCGAATGGGAAGGGGTGGGGTGAAATGTTGAAGCACTTGGGTCCGTTCGGTTTGGTTTGGTTTACAAAATGCCGCGAATTGGCTTCATTTGTTTGTCCTAAAGCCGCAACTGTAAACGAGCAGCACGCACCACACCTACCAAAGCTACATAAACCACTAAACCACCTCAGCAACACCCACCCACATTGATTTATTATTGAAATACAAGAAATGCCTTCATTCAAAGCTTTTTTCGGGAGGCTGTCTAACCGTGAGTGTGTGTGTTTGTGAGAGTGTTTGTGCTTTTGGGCGCCCCACGCCTCCAACCACCTTAGCACACTGTTGCTCTCTCCCACGCGCTAACTCGCACGCACACACACACAGATGCAACGACTCTGTCGCTGCTCTGCCGCCCCGTTCAGTCAGTTGATAGCAACAGTTTGTTTTGGGTCCTCGTGCCCGGCGGAAGGATACGCGCTTCGATAACTCGTTCGTCCGTTCATTCGTTCGTTTGTTCGTTTGCTGTCGGTTCGTCCTGCCACTCGCTCTCCCACGCTTCACGCGCCATTCTCTTTTTTTGTGGCGTTTTTTCGCTTTCTTTGCGTTTTTCGCATTTTCCGTTTCTTTTTTGTTTCCTTCCTTTTTTATTTCTAGGCTCCTATTAAGTTTTGCGTGCGATTTAAACGATTCTGTGATTGAGATGCTTATAAATAAAATTACTGTCGTCTTTTAGGCGTTGAGGTGTCAACTGAGATTTACATTTTGACCAAAAAGCATAGCCTGGTAAGCAGCAGTCGCTCCTTTTCATCCTTTGTGCTGTGCCGTGCAATGAATATGGCCGCAGCAATGACTTCAATTCCTACGACGTGGCCCATATTTATATTTGGCACTTCGCAACGCACATACATTTGCCAGGCGCCAAAAACAGGGATTACTTCAAATAAGTAGTCTTCTTATAATTGGACAGTGCTCATAGATATGGTACATTCTTTTATCACATCGAACTAAAGGAAGAATTTAATGGTAGATGTAAACAAAATTAAAATATTAATTGGCCAGTTGGTTATAGAGTTCAATACTTCAATAGTTTGTAATATGCTGGTAGAAAGAGAATGAATTTGTGGCATACACAATAATTCAATACGATATGCTCAAAGTATTCGTATTTGTTGAAATCAAAACATATTCATATTCGAATGCAAATGTCATATCTCTAGTTGTTATAAAAATGTATATATATGTATATACTTGTATGTAGATGCTCTGGTTTCAATTCAATCCGATTTTACGTGGAAGTTGGAAAACTGATCTGAATTGAAATAGTTATTTATTAAATGTTTATTATGATTACACGATTAAACATAATTTTCTGCAACGCGAATTTTTATCATAACAAGTACTTGAAATTGTTCTTTAAACAGAAAAGGCTCGGGCTAGATCTTAAATTACACGCCTTAAACATTTATTTTTACACCAAAAAAAAAATAAATAAAAAAAATAGATAAACAATTGGTTATAGTGGCTTGTGGGTATTATTGTTGGATCCTTAGTGCGCGTGTCTGCATTAATTAATAAATTAATTTCCTAAATTCTATGCTATTATTCATGCCACTGCCCTGGGCGACTCAACGTTCTGGCCATGCATGGAATATGAGCCAAAGCTGGGGAAGAAAAGGCAGACGAGACCGCATCGCCGCTTTAATATTCATGGCACAATGGGAGTGCCCGCCTTTGTATCTATTATGCACGCCCAATTACGCATGCAGTCGCTGTCCAATACAGTCCAGTCCCATCCACATCAGCTTAGTTTCAGCTTCTGCTCTGACGTAGTGGCTGCCTGCTCCCCCATCTCCAGGGCTGGCTGCAAAATATTCGCTTTTCTTGGGTCGTTTGTCAGGCGTTGCTGAATTCAATTAATTTATTGGCAGCACGTACTCATTTCTTTCGCTGCTTTGTGCCTCCCAGCGTACAAACAGAAGGGTTTGTATAGTATGTGTGTGTGTGAGCGTGTTTGTCTATCGACAAATGTGGCAGTGGTTTTATTAAATGGTCTTGGCTCATTAAAATTAATTAGGCCGAACCTTCAAGATGTCGCTTAACGCCATAAACTTGACTTAGTTACGAACGCACGTGCTGGCATGTGTGCCCCAACATACTTACACGTATACTTATAGATACTTAGCTATCTAAATTATATATTGCAGGAGGGCCCACATTCCACATTGCCGGAGGATGAATTCTTCGATGCAGTCGAGACGGGTCTGGAGAAAATCGAGGAGGATATGCAGTTGCGCTTTAAACTGAAGCTGCAGTCACAAATTTCACAGTCGTTGGTCAATGTGCCGCATGAGGCGGTTGCCGAGGGGGAGGAGGCGCGAGAGGAGTTTGGCACGGGTGCCGAGGCCAAAACCCACGCTCTGTGGCCCGAGGTAAGTAAAAGGAAAGCAGGCATCGTCATCGGCACGGCATCGGAAATTGACATTTACGTGCAATTAAGTTGTCGTTAATGTATTTTGCGCCATATTCGATTTTGATTTCATCGCACACACACATTCAGATGGTATATAGTATATGTATATATTTACCACCCACATACAGATTGATCGCGTGTGCAAAGAGCAGCTTCATTATGCGCGCGAAGGCGTCGGTCAGGATGGCAATGGATGGCAAATATTTGCCGACGAGGGCGAAATCAAAATGTACAAACGCGAGGAGGAGGTGAATGGGATGGTAATGGATCCCCTGAAGGCCTATCATACAGTTCAGGGCGTAACGGCGCGTGAAATGTGTCATTATTTCTTTATGCCCGAGTTTCGCAACGATTGGGAGAGTAAGTGGCATGGCCTTGGTCTTCAACTTTTAAACTTAAAAACGTTCTACTTTTAGCTACACTAGAGGATTGCACGATCCTGGAGAAAATTTCAGCGGACACGCTGCTCTTCTTACAGACACACAAACGCATTTGGCCAGCCAGCCAACGTGATGCACAATTCTGGTCGCATATGCGCAAAATAAATGATGGTCTGGAGCCGGGGGCCACGGACACGTGGATTGTGTGCAACAATTCAACCGAATATGCCAAGCAGCAGGTAATTATGCGTAATTATGGTTTACTTCCGCTTTACCCCACTTAATTCTCCCCATCTTGCAGTCGAAGAATGGCAAATGCGTGCGCATTTTCTTGACAGTCATACTAGCCTGCCAAACACATTTGCCCGAGGGGTATGTCAAAGGTCAACCCTTGAATCGTGATGATTTAACCTGCAAAATAACTTACTGTTCTGTGGGTCAGTATTACTTTGTCTCTGCTTCTCCATTAACAACTTACTATTATGGTCTTATTTTAGTTAATCCCGGTGGCTGGGCACCTGCGAGTGCTCTGCGTGCTGTATATAAACGCGAGTACCCCAAGTTCCTGAAACGTTTCACCGGCTATGTGATAGATCAGTGCAAGGATAAGCCCATTATGTTCTGATATTTGTCATAGAAGCCACTAAGCAATCAAAACCCGAAAACCACAACAGCAAATTCTTTTAATATACTATAACGCTATGTATTAGGTTAAAGGATTCGTATTCTAAGACGCTTAACTTTAAAAAGCACACGCCCCAGTCCGGTGGCTTGGCAAACAAACACACAAAACAGAGAAAACAGAAATGGAAGGAACGAAAAACACGCTTTTCCCCTTTTTCAAGTCCCATTTTTATACTTGTTAACCATTACGTTTTAGTGGTAGAACTAAAAAAAGAAAACACTCTATGTCGTATAAGTGAAATGTTAGAAATATTAGATATTCCTTTTGTAAACAACTAAATAATGTAATCTTGTCTACTTTAAGTGATTTACTAGAACCTATGGATGTGTGCAAGTGGCTGCAAAACACAATCATTGTATAAGGCTTAGTTTTCAAATTTCAAATCTAAACATTTTGTGTAAATGCAAAACTTGAAATGCTTTAAATGCAACAATTGCAAACTGCTATTTGTAATGTTTATTGTGTAAGTGAAGTGCACTAAGTTGATTATTTTTGGTCCCCTTAAGCTAATTGGAATTGGCCAATAGTCTGTATATGTATCCTTAACTTTGTACGATTACTTGTTTTTCACTAATAAAACTGATATGTAAATAAAATACAAAATAAAAAAGGATTTATTGTAATGAAAGCCATGCCGCAAGGCAAAACAAGTGGTTTTTCTTTTCTTTACCATATTCATGTCATGTATTTTGCCTTTTTCCATTAGTTTTTCGTTTTGTTCACATATACATACATAACTTTGCCTTATGGCATGCGTACATTATAGGTTTTTATTTAAATTTGTTTTTTTTTTTTTTGTGTGTGTAAGTTTACAACTTGTTGCATATGCCTTTGAAAATTATTTGTAATATATATATATATATATTTTTTTTTTTTTGTAATGTGCCAAACATTGTTTGTATATTTTATCAATTTACAACCAAAAGCGCTTTTTGACGCCTTAAGAATTAGTAAGTTCAAAAACCACTGACTTCATTTTCAATTAGTTTTAGTTTCAAGGAATTTAAATGCCTAAAATTTGTTGTTGTATGGTGCAGTCTGAAAAGTTGCATTGCCAAATTTCTCAATAGATTGTTTAGTTTAATCATAATACATAAGTACATGCGGTTGGTTATACTCGTACATTTCCTTTGCCTTCAATATGCCAAATGCTGAATTGCTTTCTTGCTGTGTGAACTACAACGGTGTGAGCCTTCATATACTATATATATTAATTTTTAGTTTTTATTTAGTGTTTTTCGTATGTATGAGTATGTATGTATGTAATGAATGCTTGTATGTAATGGTTCGTTCATATTGTCATGTATTTGGTTGTTTGTCATTTTAGCTAAGTATTTGTTGCTTACAACTTTTGCGTAGCTGTTGCAAAATATATTTATACATATGCTCGCATGCTTGACTGTCTTTATGGTACAGGAGTAGAAGCAGTTATTACGCTGCTTTATAACTATTTAAGTGTGTACTCGTATGTTTGTCTGATTCGAAGCTATGTGTGTTTGTTTGTGTATGCATTGGGTTGTTTCTTTCATTTGGCAAAACATAAACCGCATCTGTCTTATTGTGGCTAATTTTGTGTTTTTATGTCCTGCTGCTGCTCTTTCTTGGCTCTTCTATGCTTAAATTTTGTTTATGAAAATGCATGCTGGTTTACGACATTGGCTTTTTCGTGTTTTAATATTCCCACTAATGTTTATATCATATATTTTGTATATACTTATTACTTTTCTCTATTATATGTATTCGTTTGTATAATTAAATCAGAGCTTCCTTGCTATTTACAATAGTTTCAGTTTCATAAACTATTAGATTTGTGTGTGTGTAATTGTAGTTTTTGTTAATTATTATTATTATTATTTATAAATTATTTCATTTAAATAACTAGCTAACATTTGTAGAGTTATGTTCAATCAAAACGCAAACACTTACAAACTTATACAAAAAGTTTAAACAAATAGCTCAACAGAATATTTTTACTACTGAGAATGTATTATCGTTTAGCACAAAGGCCATGTATAGTATTTACTTTAATTATTTCCTTTGTTTAACATGTAATTTAATATACCTTTTATTTGCAAATGCTCTACACAAATCTGTGAGAAACGCATAGAACGGCCCTCATAAATTGTGTAGCGCACTTAATCTACGGTCTGCCGTAGTGGAAAATATGATTATATAAGTAGTATGTTTTTGTTTCTTTACATTAAATGCTTAAATTACTTCAAGTTATTTTTAATATATATTTGTTTGTTACGCTTGGTTTAACTTATTTTTTCTATGCTGCTTTTCAAGTTCAACTAAGCATAATCAGTGTGTAAATAAGTCTTATTGTTTATTTCTTGTTATGCTCTATTCGATCGTTGTTGCATTTTTCTTTTCTTTTTTTTTCAGAAATTTACAACGATCTGCAAATTATTTTCGTTGAAAAATAAAATGCACTCGAAAAGTTATAATATTCGTTTGTTGTTGTAAATAGTTAAACGGGGTTTGTTGTAATTATTATAAATTTACGTTCGTTTGAATTGTTTAATTATTAGCACATTCGTTTATTAACAATTACATATCGTATTTAGAAATGCAGCTCAAGTTGCCAGTAGTTTGAAGTGGTGTTCATATTAATATTAGTTTCAATTTTCTTGTTGGTTTTGCAATACTTTTTTATTTTGGATGATGGATTTTACAACGATGTTTACAGATTCTGTTTCCTGGGCTTTTGTATAATAATGTTGTTTACTTTTACACGGATTTTGGTTTACATTAGTTTGTTCGTTAGGTTATGTGTCTCTAGACATTTATTTGGAATGCTTCCCTCTGTAGTTTCTGATTGGCACGCATACGTGGCGACGTTTGTGTCTTCGTCTTGTCGTTGGCATCGGAAAATCGCGCTGGTGGATTTATGTGGTCCTGATAGTTTGGTGGATAGTTGGATATGCTAAACATATAGGGTTCTAATTAAGCTTATAGAGCATTCCCACCATCCAACAAGAAGCAACTCTAGTTGTTTCTTACCTAAAAGTAGTTTCTTCATTATGGCTCGAATAGCCACTGGAACTGCGAACATGGCGCTTGCCACTGGTGCCCGGCTTGCCAGCTTTTCGTGCCGCAAATGGTGGCTTCGATTTGCGCGTCATGCTAGTGGGCGTGGTCTCCGATGAGGACGAGGTCTCATCTTGAGTATCTAGAATATAAAGCGCTGTTGAATGGGCCGAACACTTAGACGGGAAGTAAGGAAGTTGTGCTCACCACGTTGTGCGCGATATTTGGCCGAGTTAAGAGCGCGTGCAGACACATCATTGTCCGACTCGGAACCGAGTGTGTCATATTCTGTAATTGGTATGTGAAGCGTTAGGATTTTCCTAACTTCGGAATCTGTTGAACCTGGATTGTCCGATTCTAAAAAGTTTAGTACGATTCGATGGATTGTTGTTGTTGTTTAGATGAATTTTTGTATGTGAATGCTTACGGTTTTTTTTCTTTCAAAACTTTGTTAATTTCCAAAAAAAATGATATACAAAAAATGAGAACCTATAAATAGTCTAGTGGTATCTGGAATAGGGAAGTTGGTGAGTGGGAAGGGGGAGGGGGGAGTGGACGTATGATATGCGACATGATGTGTTAAATAATGAGCAAATTTTGGCATTGGACTTAAAGCTAGTTTTGGATGGAGGAGGATTTTGGTATGAAGACGATAACGATAACGATGAGCATCAAAAATGCATCTACCTTGGCTTTCTGAGTGTGGATCGCGTAGGCGGCCGACTTTTCGGCGCACTTTCGTATATTCCGGTTCCTTGGACTATGTGCAAAGAACAGTTTTTACTTGTAGTTGAATTCGAGTTTGCTTCAAAACTAACTTACATGATAGCTCTCTGGCTTGACATCGTGATAGACAAAGGAGCCCCGCACCGAGTGATAGGGCCCGCTATAGACATTGCCGCTGTAGGAGCTCTCGCTATAGGTTTGCTTGTTCAGCTGAAAGGTGGCATATGGACAGATATCTTCGATGTATTCGTTGCCCTCGGCCTTGCCAAAGCTGCCCGAGTCGTTGGAATTGGAGCCACGTGGGGCGGCACTGGCCGGATTACAGCGCACGGCTAGGTATTGTTGATCCCGATTCTGCTTGTTCTGCAGATTGGCCAGCGATGGTGACTCCGACATCGAGCTGGAGGCCAAACGTGCCTGATTGTTCAGTTCTGCGAATTGTGGAAAGGGAATTACATGCAACTCACCATCGCAGATATTAACAGAACTTTGTGGACTCACTGCGCTTGCGTAGAAAGAGCGCGGCTGCCACCAGGGCCAGCAGCATCATCAGCGATATGCAGATCGGCAGAAGCAGCTTGAAGTTGGCATAAAAGGGCAGATCGCTCATTTGCGAGACAGGCGTCGAGTGATCGTTGTTATAAAGCACTATGGGGGCGATGGAAAAAATAAACATTTAAGAACCATTAAATTAAGCAAAGCATTTATAAAAACTAATAAATAATCTCACGATACAAAGACACGAAAAGCAAAAACATTTTATACTATGAATGATTTGCCATTGAACCGTTCCTATGAAGAATACTTGAATATATTATTATACAAGTACAATTGTTTTCTAAGGGCTTTCTTATCTTTGAAGGTGAAATTATTGTATTGTACTTTGTAATATATACGTGTATATTTAAATGAGAGTTACTTTTAGAAAATGGTTCTAGATCTGTGTCTTTTACCATATTAAATACAATATTTTTTAAAATTTAATTTATCAGAAATTACAAAATTTTTAAAATTAAATATAATTTATCAGAAATTTCACAACTTAAATCTCGATTTGCCATCACTTAAGTACATGGTATGAGAATCGCAGAGGAGGGCGGCCACAATATTTTTTTATTTAATTAAATTTATCAGAAATTTCTCAATTTTTTTTAATTTAATTTAATATTTATGAAATTTCACAACATTAATCTCGATTTGCCATCACTTAAGTACATGGTTGAGAATCGCAGAGGAGGGCGGCAACAATATTTTTTTATTTAATTTAATTTATCAGAAATTTCACAACTTATTTTAATTTAATTTAATTTTTAAGAAATTTCACAACATTAATCTCGATTTGCCATCACTTAAGTACATGGTATGAGAATCGCAGAGGAGGGCGGCAACAATATTTTTTTATTTAATTTAATTTATCAGAAATTTCACAACTTATTTTAATTTAATTTAATTTTTAAGAAATTTCACAACATTAATCTCGATTTGCCATCACTTAAGTACATGGTATGAGAATCGCAGAGGAGGGCGGCAACAATATTTTTTTATTTAATTTAATTTATCAGAAATTTCACAACTTATTTTAATTTAATTTAATTTTTAAGAAATTTCACAACATTAATCTCGATTTGCCATCACTTAAGTACATGGTTGAGAATCGCAGAGGAGGGCGGCAACAATATTTTTTTATTTAATTTAATTTATCAGAAATTTCACAATTTATTTCCACAATATTTTAGTTGAATTTATCAGAAATTTCACAACTTAAATCTCGATTTGCCATTAGTTAAGTACATGGTATGAGAATCGCAGAGGAGGGCGGCAACAATATTTTTTTATTTAATTTAATTTATCAGAAATTTCTCAATTTTTTTAAATTTAATTTAATATTTATGAAATTTCACAACATTAATCTCGATTTGCCATCACTTAAGTACATGGTTGAGAATCGCAGAGGAGGGCGGCAACAATATTTTTTTATTTAATTTAATTTATCAGAAATTTCACAATTTATTTCCACAATATTTTAGTTGAATTTATCAGAAATTTCACAACTTAAATCTCGATTTGCCATCACTTAAGTAAATTTCAAGATTTATTTTTATTTATTTGAATTTATCAGAAATTTCACAACTTAAATCTCGATTTGCCATTAGTTAAGTACATGGTATGAGAATCGCAGAGGAGGGCGGCCACAATATTTTTTTATTTAATTAAATTTATCAGAAATTTCACAACTTATTTTAATTTAATTTAATTTTTAAGAAATTTCACAACATTAATCTCGATTTGCCATCACTTAAGTACATGGTATGAGAATCGCAGAGGAGGGCGGCAACAATATTTTTTTATTTAATTTAATTTATCAGAAATTTCACAATTTATTTCCACAATATTTTAGTTTAATTTATTAGAAATTTCACAATTCAAATCTCGATTTGCCATCACTTAAGTACATGGTATGAGAATCGCAGAGGAGGGCGGCAACAATATTTTTTTATTTAATTTAATTTATCAGAAATTTCACAATTTATTTCCACAATATTTTAGTTGAATTTATCAGAAATTTCACAACCTCAATCTCGATTTGCCATTAGTTAAGTACATGGTATGAGAATCGCAGAGGAGGGCGGCCACAATATTTTTTTATTTAATTAAATTTATCAGAAATTTCACAACTTATTTTAATTTAATTTAATTTTTAAGAAATTTCACAACATTAATCTCGATTTGCCATCACTTAAGTACATGGTATGAGAATCGCAGAGGAGGGCGGCAACAATATTTTTTTATTTAATTTAATTTATCAGAAATTTCACAATTTATTTCCACAATATTTTAGTTGAATTTATCAGAAATTTCACAACCTCAATCTCGATTTGCCATCACTTAAGTACATGGTATGAGAATCGCAGAGGAGGGCGGCAACAATATTTTTTTATTTAATTTAATTTATCAGAAATTTCACAATTTATTTCCACAATATTTTAGTTGAATTTATCAGAAATTTCACAACCTCAATCTCGATTTGCCATCACTTAAGTACATGGTATGAGAATCGCAGAGGAGGGCGGCAACAATATTTTTTTATTTAATTTAATTTATCAGAAATATCACAATTTATTTCCACAATATTTTAGTTCAATTTATCAGAAATTTCACAACTTAAATCTCGATTTGCCATCACTTAAGTAAATTTCAAGATTTATTTTTATTTATTTGAATTTATCAGAAATTTCAGAACTTTATGTAAAAAATATCAAAATATCGAAAATGTCGTAAATTTGTAAAGTCCAATAGAATAATTGTGCAGGTATTTAGAAACTTAAAGTAAATATGATTCGATTAGTTCGAGCTTAAGCCTTAAGCCCCTACTTACCGCCCTGTGGCGACAGTGTCGTAAAATTGTAGAGGGCCGTTGTGGAGCCGGCGTTGTTGTGCGCCGTAACCTTCAGCTGGTACTTGGTACCCGGCACCAGATCACTGACCGTGTAGATGCGCTCCGTGGGCGGAATGTGGTTGGAAACGACGTTCCAGGGGGAGCGACCGTAGATGCGTGACTCAATCATGAAGTAGAGTATGCCACATCCACCATCGCCCCACGAGTCCAGCCAGCAGGTGACACTCGTCGAGTTATTGGTAATCATTTGGGAGTGCTTCGGCTGCACCGGGGGATTGCCTTTTGTATAGGAGTTGACAATGTCGCAGGGTAGACCGGTGCCGATTTTATTGAAGGCTGTTATGTAGAGTTGGTAGCGAGTGCCGCACCACAAATTGCTCAGTAGATGGGAGTTGATCTTGGCGTCCACCTGCAGCTCCTCCCAGTCCCCATTGTCGCGCTTATAGTTGATCACATAGCCGAGAATGGGACTACCGCCGTGGCTATTGTCCAGCCACTCGAGGTGCAGACTGTCCGTGTAGGTGTTGACGACGGTCAGATTGGGTGCCTCGGGCGGCACCTTCACTACGATGTTGTACACTATTTCGTCCTTGCCCCAAGTGTTCTCCACACTGCATGTATAATTGCCCGCATCCGTGGCCTGACACTCGCTTATATAGAGGGTACCGTTCTTGGCAATGGTTTTGCGAGCACTCGTCTCCATGTTGTGACCATCCTGGCGCCAAATGGTCACCGGTGCGGGTGCGCCAACCTTGCGACATGGCAGCTCCAAGTGCTCTTTCCAGGGCGTCACTAGCCGCTGACTGAAGGACACAATGCGAGCGGGCACTTTATTATTCGGCGGCACTGTAACCACCTGTGTCTTCTCCCCCTCGCCCATTTTGGTCGAGGCCGTCAACCAGAACTGGTAAGTCGCCGACTCCTGAGTCCGCACCGTTTCGTGCATTTCGACAAAGGGTCCCAGCACCCGCTTGTGCGTGCCCTCCTCCCGTCCACCCTCCAGCATGGACATGTAGAATGTGTAGCCGGTCTGGGGAAAGCAAATAGATTCAGAGGGTGCGTTAATTTCCGCCTTATTAGCGTCAGAATTGTGGGCGTGGCTGCGGTACTTACAATGTCACCGTTGGGCAAATCGGGCGGAAGCCAAGATATGATGATTTTCGTGCTCGACGCGGGTATAGCCTTAATTGCTTGCGGCGCCGACGGCACTGCACCAATGTGCCGAAAAATCAAATACCACGCGAAAGACAAAGCACATTGCAATGAGAAATGAAATGTAGGAATAAATACATATAAAGCGCAACAACAAATCTACACTATACACATGCATATATATACTTGCACAGTGATTCAATTTTATAGATATTTTTTTCTCAAAATAAAGATGTGTTTTTTCTTGGACTTATTGTTTTCCAGTTATAGTTTTTCATCAAGTTCAGAACCTGGCTATGGAAGGGAAATATAATTTATATAATATATAATATAATATATAATATAATATATAAAATTTAATATTTTTTCCAGGTATTAGCGGAACTATTTAACTATTTTCTACAATCGGAATCAACAATAATTCATTCTGCTTTTTATATTGTAGGACTGTATTTGTTAATCTACATCGATCGGCATTTAAGACGTACAGATTATATATATATATATATATATATATATATATAGAAGATATGTATATAGAAATATTCTATTACAAGTATTAATGATTTTATTTCGTCTTCTGTCTCTTTTACTGTGGAACAAAAAATGATAGATCGATCTAAAGTCATACCAAATGGTACAATTTGAGAACAATGTTTTGATTACGCCTTTAATTATTTGTTTGCGATGAGATCTCTATGGCGCTTGGCCTATTTCCTGCACAAAGATGTTTGTTTTCGATATTTAAGAATTGCTTGGTTCTCTAATTGCAACACTTTCGAAACCGTAAGCTTAATAACCAATTTTTCAGTCTATACATTATTTATTATTATTTATAGATTTTAATTTATGTTCGCCACTTAAAGTAAAACGATTACTTTTACTTTGAACCACTGTGCAAAGATAGAGGCAACGGCGATGATGACGTCGTCATCACCGTCTCCATCATCTGCAAGCCGTGCCCGCGCCTTGACTCGTTTGCGTTCATTGAACTGCCGCTGTTGCTGTTGTTGTTTTTTTGTGTTGTTGTTGGAGCTGCAGCTGCAGTTGCCACTTACCGTCCTCGTGGGTGCGGCAATAAAATGGTTTGGTTTTCATGCCGTCGCCTACTTTGGTGTAAGCCAAAACCCAGACCGTATAGTTTGTGTATTTGCGCAGATTCTCGATGGTGACGTATTGATTTGTTGACTTCACAACCTCCGGATCGGTTTCTGTATTGCGGGTATTAACACGAAACAAAAACTGTCAATGAAAGGCCGGGTGGGCAAATAAAAATAGACTCTCTCACAAGCATTCACACACACACACACACAACTCGGATACTCTCCGATTCAGAATGTGTAGCACGCTTTTGTGGGCCGCTAATTGGAAATATGACGATGCAGCTGCCTGGCTAATTAGGTGCAACCTCCTCGACTTGGGCCACGCCTTCTTTTTTAGCTTTTACCCTTTCCCATTGCCATTTGGCCACGCAAGGTGTTGAGCATTAATGGTGTGGCATAATTGCTACGAATTCCCAATGCCGCTGAAGTAATTTGCAAGGCAAACATTGAATCACACTCCCCTACACAAACATACACGTACATACTACACCTAAAGGCGTAACTGCTCGCAGACACATGCACACACACACACACACACACACAGACACTTACCGTAAAGCTCATCGACCGATATGTAAAACACTTTGTAGCCCTTGATTTTGCCATTCTGTCCGTCCACATCCGGTGGTGACCAGGTGATATAAATCGACGTTGAGCCCAGCACATCGCATTGCGGCGACTCTGGCGGTGATGAGGGGACTGCAGAGAACAGAGAGAGACAGAGAGAGAGAAAGAGTGAAATGTAGTGGAAGAGAGAGAAGTAAACGAAGGGAGAGAAGAGAGTGAGTGAGAAGACAGACAAAAAGATTGCCAAGTTTATTAAACGTTTTGCGAGTGCCGACAGCTGCCAAAGGTCTGTCCATCGCCAATTGCACATAGTCCTGGACCTGGACCAGACGACAAAGAGCATTTTTTTGGTCTAATCTCGATACTCCAATTGCTGATCCTTAGTTCAAATCAAAGGGCACGATGCTAACATATTTGAAAACTTTTTCAATTCCTACAAATCTTTTTGAACATACCTTTTGAAAAATTTCAAGATATTAATTGAATTACAATTTTCAAAATGACTCTTATTCTTAATTACAAATCTGAAGTTAGAGATTCAAAAATTGTGTTAAGCAACTTGGATTTTTTATCTGAGTTCTTCTATAGAGATTGAATTATTTACAAGTAGGTTACGTTTTCAAAATGACCGATTTGGTTATTTACAAATGATTGGATTTCAATTAATTGTTCCTCATATATGGATCGTAAATTGGTTAAAAAGTTCTCTGGAATACAGATAAGATATGCATATAGAGATATTTGTAGAACGTTCGTCAAAATGCAACAAGATAGATGTAGTTTTTTTTTTTTTTTAATTTATAGACTGTTGCTTGGAAAACTTCACAGATTGTAAAAAAATTAATATATGGAGTTCTTAGGGCTTTCTTTAGGTTGGAGTTTCAAACTCAAACCAACGAATCCAAAATTGGAAACGTCCATATATAGTCTGCTCTTACAACTGATCGGTCAGCATATCATTCCGAATTCAGTTGATGGAAAATTGGGCAATGGGAGTGCCATAGATTTTTTTTTTTATTGTGCTTGTATTTTATTTTTTGCTATATTCTTTATTTTATAACATACTAATCTAAAAAGAAATGTTTTTCGCACTTTGTATCTGAAAAGTCCTGAGATAGAGTTAGATACTCTTCATCCGGGAGATGGATATTATAACTGTTAACAAAATCTGCTTCACATCCCATAGTGTAGCTATCGAGCGAGACAGGGACGTGTCAGTTTTTGTGCACGGGCAATTAACAAATCCAATCAATGTGTGCCGGCACAGACATGTAAAGTCCTTCGCCCGCTTTCCTCGGCACCTCCAGCAGCACCACCAATGCCACTACCGCCCCCATTCCGTCCCCGTCCCCGTCACTCACCATCCTCCATTGTTTGCACTGCAATTTCCTTGCTGGGCGGTCCACTGCCCTGGCTCGTGTAGGCCTGGACAATCACATGGTATTGTGTGTACTTGTTGAGATTGGCCAGGACGGTTTCGCCACCGAAATGTGAGCGCACCTCAACGGTTTTGAAGCTAAACCCCTGTGTGGGATTCACTTCCTTGTCCTCGGGCGTTAGCGACATCTGATAGCCCACATAGTAGCCCAGCAAAATACCATTCCAATGGTCACGGTCCGGCGCATCCCATGTCACCGCGATTTCCGTTGAGCTCTTGGGCTCGGCTCGCACATTCAATGGCGGACCCGAGGGCACCTCCTCCAGTGTGGTCACCTGCACCACCTCGGAGAATTCGGAGGCGCCCAGCTTGTTCTCAGCCGACATGCGTATGTGATAGGCCTTGGCCGGACGCAGCTGCTGGATGTTGACCACTGTTTGGGCGCCAGTGATGTCAATGTGTTCGGCATTTTGCCAAATATCTGAGACATGCGAGAGATAGTTATCTGTTGATCAGTTTAGAGTAAGTGAAATTCTTGAGCATTATAATATGTTTGCAATTTAAAATAATGACATTTTTTTGACCTTATTACATAATTAAATGAACATATTTTGTATTTCTGCATCGCTTATAATGAACGTTTACTATACTTGTAGATCCCTGTCTAGCCTTTCACTAGGTTTTTGTCACTAATCGATCAGAATAGAGAATTAACTATCTATAGTATGTTGTGTTTTAAGCTGTGTATTTTAATGCTCTACGTCTTTTAAAGCTTGACTTCTGTATCTCATTGATTTTTCGCTTTAATAAAGAAATCAGAAATATTTCAAATAAAATAATGAAATAATATATGGGTTATTATTATTTTTTCGGCTTTATGTTCACTGCCAATTCTTGTTTAGCTTAGTTTTTTCCCCTCCATTTTGTTCAATTAAGTAGAAAAAGCTGAGCTGCCTGTACTCTTAACATTAAGATATTTTTATCTCACTTGTAAATCCATAATGTTTTAAGAAAAGTGAATAAATTGAAATTGAAAACTAATCCTGCTTATACTCAAGATCTGTTTATATTTTAAAATTGATCTGAAAACTAGGTTCCCAAATTTGTATTCCATAGGGGTAGTACAAAAATATGCCAGTATTAAAACATTTGAATGATGTTGTACATTCAGATATGAACTTAATTGGATTTGCGTTAGGACTCACCTGTGATTTGCTTATAGAATATGTGATATGTCTCGATGGGGCTGTTGCCAGCAAAGGGTTGGCTCCAGGTTAGTTGCAGGCTGCGCGACTGTTGCGAGTTGATGCGCAAGTTTTTGGGCTGTTCGGGCACCTCCTGCACAATTAGCTGTATGGACATTTCGTCCTGCACAAAATTGAAAGTGTTTAGTAAGCAAATGGGTTAGACAAACAGCTGGCGAGTGCACATTTTTGAACACACACACACACACACGCACACACACTTCTGAGCCTTGGCATGAATGGCTGCAACTGTGCATTAAGACTTCATTTGCAGAACCGGACGGTGCAGTAGTTACTGTTTTTATTGAAATTTCGGGCGTAGGGTAAAACTTACGCCAGTTACAGCTGCTGCTGGCTCATTCAAATTGCCATAAATTAGGGTTAACAACAGTTGCCAGCTGGACGGGACGGGACAGGACAGGCCAGGCTATGGTGTGGGTGTGGGTGTGAATTGGTGGTCAGTAAAACTTTCCGCCAAGTCATTCACAAGTGCGTGTGAATGCGGTTATTTGTGTGTGTGTGTATTTGTGTATGTGTGTGCGTGTGTGAATGTGCAAATAAGCTGGCAATGCATAAAATTGTCACACAAGTCCTTACACACTCACCTGTCCGAATGCATTGCTGGCCTGGCAGATATAAATGCCCGTATCCTGGCGATATGTGTGCGAAATTCCCAATTCGGAGACCATGCCGTCGTCGAGTACTTGATCTCTTATTGTGTAGCTACACACATACGAGTGTGTATGTGTTAGTGTGTGATTTATATGCAAGTAAATGCATTAAAGACACGCACACGTACAGATGCAAACATTCGTATGTAGATGGGCAGGATACGCGTGTACGTGTTTGCGAAACGTGAGCGATGCATTCCAATTTTATAACAATGTTTTTCACGATGTTGTTGTTGTTGGTGTTGTCGTTGTTGACAAAGACGAAGACGTACGAGGCACAAACATACACACATCGTTGCACACGTTGCCATTTTAAAGTTGTTGTTGGTTTTGTTGTTGTTTTCGTGTGCGTGTGCAAATGACATAAATAAATAATATGCATGTGTGTGTGAGAGCATTGAGTTTATTTTGGGCAGCAGCGCACATGAGATAGTCAGAGTGAGAGACACAGAGAGAGAGAGAGAAAGAGAGGGGGAAAGTAACCGAAAATACACTTATATTAAAATATATTACATACTCATATAAACGATATACTCGCACATATACTATATATACACGTATGTATAAGTGGAAATATGTTCCTGGCACTCTATTTGCCCGATACCAGTAGAGCAAACTTTTGGTCACAGCCTGCTCTCAAAATCTACGTCTCTGACTAAATTGAATAAAAATATCACATATTTGGCAAGCGAGTGAAAAGGTAACACACAAAATATATATGTATATACATACATACATGCATTGTATATACATACATATGTACTTGCACTCTTGGTTGAATATTGCAAGCATTTTTTGCGACATTATTGGAACAGAGATTGCAATTTTAAAATTCTATGAGGAAAGTCCTAAAAAGGACTCATTTTAAATGCACATGCTGTTGAGCTGCACTGCAAGAAATTAGTAGAAAGTTCAAGTAACCCGAACCCGAAACATGTATGCCCTGAATCCACAATTTCCCCCACTTTACCCATTTATTTAATAAAAACTGTGCTGCAAACTTTAAGTTGCGCAAAACTCTTACAACCCAAATTACTTTAAGATCTCGTCATAAACAGAAAAGATTATATCCAATAGAACTATTACATTATAGAGAAAGTGTTGGAAATTTTTTTAAGAAATAAAAAACTTCAATGCTGCTTGCTCAGTCAGTCAATTTAGTAAGTCGGGTTTTTATTAAATTAGTGGCGATGGCACTACTACATGGTATGACACTTGCTATATATACTATACATATATATGTATTTGTCACTTTGAGTTATGTAATGCGACAATCGAATGGTTTCATACCTCATACGTCTTTAGAAGGAATGGTTTCTATACTTAAGTTTTGCTGACTTCCCCCATTTAAATAGGAACTGAAGTATGTGGCATTTATTCTCTTGGCTCGAAATTGAAATTCTAAGTTTTCAACCATTTGTTTTAGATTGTTTTTGTTTCAAGCTGCTTTTTATTCTTGTCCAGTCTGCCTTTTTACAATTTTAAAGCCTAACGAACCTTAGGACATCTCGATATTTCTCTCATTTTCTTATTAATATAAAAAAATATTATAACAATATATTCTATATACTTGTAAGTATATCTTAGCAAAAACATTATTTATAGTATAAACAATTCTTATTATTATAAGCAACGAAATTGAAATAAGTGTGCACCAGTCGTGTACAAATATTTTATTAGGAATTCCACCGATTCTAATCCATTCTTAATAAAATTGCGTTACTAAATACTAACAGTAAATTGCATTAAAAAATAATTATTTGTCTTCTGTCAATTTATATTATATGGCCCAGAGACATTTGTGCTCATCAATATCGTTAGCAATAATAGTTAGAATCAAAAATCACATTCCTAATTGCTTTTAGTTGCAAAAGAAAATATCAAAGCATCACAAAATTTGAAGCATAACTAACAGACCACATGTTTGCAAAATTTTGAGCTAGTACAAAGTACTTTCGTGTATAAATTCTAGATACAAATTGCGTTTGTTAGTCAGCCAAACAGACGCCTGGGAGCCCCCAGTTATGTGCACAGGTGGGTGGCCAAATTGTCAGTCAGGCACAGTCAGATATCAGCCCGGTTCTTATGCTATTTGCACAACTCTTTTAATTAAAAGCAAATTCTGCATGCAATCGACTTGAATTGATTTCGCAATATATAGAGAAACGAGCCACCTAGCCACCCAATCGACCAACCACCCAGCACACTGACAGACGAATGGAAGTGTGGGTGGAGACAGCCAGACAATCAGTCTGAGTCGCGGACTGAAGGACAGTACTAGACAGGTAACAGGTAACACATGAGACCCAAACAGCACCCCAACGCATACATATATAGTATACATATATACCTATTCATATATACACCTGCGAACACTTACCGTGAATCCAATGACTCGTCAAGATATTGTTGAGTTGCCTGAATTTTCCATTTAAAGTCGATTGGATTGTCGCCCTGCACGTTACACTGCACATGCACCTGCTTGCCCTTGGCCACCGATATTTGTTTCGATTTCGTTTGGAAGTGGGCGGGCACTATCAGATAAATAGGCAGAGGCAGTGGAAAGGACAAAAGGAGGAAGAGAATGAGCATCACATATCGACATATTTGTGACGCTGGCAGCTTTAATTACGCACCATTAACCTTGAGAAAGATAACTTTGCTAACTCCCGAGCCGATGCTATTCTTTGCCTCGCACAGGAAGTGTCCTTGCGACTCCTTGCTGATTTTCTTGAAGTAAATGGTGCCGTTGGGAAAGAGCTGTATGGTCGGCTCATACAGAAAGTCCTTGTACTCGCCCGGCGTTGGTCCAATGGCCTTCTTCCAGGTTATCGTTGGCTTGGGATAGCCCGAAGATTGGCAATGCAGCAACACATCCTGCCCCGCCTGGGCACTTGAATCCTTCGGCTCTAAGATCCACTTGGGTGGCACATTCACTGTCAATGGCACCGTGAAGCGTTCCGTGCCCGCCACATTGCTGGCAATGCATGTATAATTGCCGGAATGATCGGAGGTAATGTGCTCAATCACCAGACTTGCCGAATATTCATCCAGGCGGCGGAAAACTTCATTACTGTTGAGGTACAGTAGAGAAAATCAGAGAACACACAGGCTTAAGTTGTTGATTTTTAAGTAATAAACGAATTCTGTTAATTAATGGATGATTAACATTATAATTAATGGTTTAATATTGCCAAATAAATATTTATAGTTTTCAGAACAAACTATTCCCTGATTTTTTTCATTCTTGAATTTGATTCTCATTTCCAAATGTTCTCAGAAAAACAATCCCTAACAATTTTTGATATTATAACTTAAAGAAAAATATATATTTAGATTTTAGGTAATGATATTGAGAAACCTTTTTGAAAAGTTGGGTACACCACAAGTTACTAATTCGAAGAGGCTATATAGTTTGGTGTTGAAAATTGTTCAGAAAATTATTATTATTCAATTGAAAGAAAAACTTTTCCATATTTTTGGAGAACTTTTATCTGAGTTCAGTTAATTATATTTAAAGATTCCATCCTACCTCACATAATGTATTAGCACTTTTTACAGAATCTAAGAATGTCTTTCTCTCTTTTTGTTCTTAATTTGTCTATTCGATATATGTGCCTTGCCGTTTTCCCACGGTTTTTCAAAAGATTTTTGAGGTTTTGGAAGCTCATTAAACTTTTATAGATATATGGTAACGATAATTTGTTTCAGCTTTGTTTTTCAATGTATTTATAGTTGTTAACTCTATTTTCTATATATTTTGGTTACTTTTGAAAACATTTTAATAGAACTCGTTTCCATTTAAAGATTTCGTATAACTTTTTGAGATTTTTTAATAAATACATATGACAGGAAAAATATATAACTTTTCATTTAATAGACATTGTGACATTGTTTCTTATGTTTGTCAAAATCAAGACTTGTACAAAAAGTCCATTATAATTTTAACTGTTTACCGATCTCTTTTACGAGATTTAAGTTTGCTGGCATATTTCAAAAGAGGAGATAGTGTTACCCATTTGGATAAGTTCTTTAACAACGTTTTATTTATTTAAAGTATTACGAAGTATAATGTATAATGACGTATAAGTAGGATTACTTACCCAGTGCCAATCAGCGGCTTATTGTTGCGCTCCCAACGAAAGCTGACGGGTAAATCGCCTTCAAGTATTTGGCAGGATATGGCGGCGCGCATTCCTTCGCGCAGCATGTTCGTCATGGCCTGTATGGGCATAATTTTGGGCGGCACTGTAAGTGTGGATGGGTAGGCAATTGAAATAAGCATTAAAACTGTCGTGATAATGTTTTTTGCTGTCGTTTTTTGTCATATTTTTATTTTCGCTTTTTTTTTTGTCTACTATTATTGTTTTTGCCTGCATCTGGTCGTGTTGCAAAACTCATTACAATTGCCAGTTGGCTTAAATACAAAAGCCACTGAGTCTGATAAGCACGGCGAGGTGAATGGGTGGGTGGGGCGGCTCAGCAGCCACATCAATGCGGCTTAGCAACAGCTGCGCCAGTTTCGTGCGACAGAGCGAACGAGCTCTGATAACACAGGCAGTGCAAATTATTATAAAGAGCGAGAGATGCAGATAGGCAGACGACAGGCGAGTCGGCCAGAGCAGAGCAAAGCAGTGCAGAGCAGTGCAGAGGACCGGAGAGGAGAGGAGAGATTACTGAGCGGGCAGACCGTTAGACAGCCTCGCTGTTTTACTTGCACAAAAGTCAATGACTTCATTGTGTGCATGGCACGGCAGGGCGTGGAGGGGGGGGAGGAGGAGTAGGGAAAGGATTGGTTTACTGCATGTGCATTAAAAGTAGTCGCAGATGCCGTTGCATAGTTTTCTGGCCCGTCTAATTGGAATAGTTTCATTGTAGCAGCAGCTGACTATGTCTGTGTGCGTGTGTGTGTGTGTGTGTGTTTGAGAGCGAGAGTATCAGTGTGTGTTTATTTGGGTGTACGAGTATGCGTGTGTGGCTGGCATTCTTGCATCTGAATGAGCATATTTTTGTAGCAAGGCTTTAAATAATATGCATTTTAGGCTTCACTGAGGCTTAGACAGATTATTTCGTTTATATTTTATGTGGCGGTTAAAAATTAGACATAGTAAGACTTTACAACTTAAAACTTTAAAATTATTGCGTGTTCAAGCTTTAAACACGAAGTTCCTGAAGCTTATCAAGAATCTGAATTTTCTTTTCATAGACTAATACTAATATTCCTTACAATCAGAAACATATATATTTTTAAACTTTTTGGGAATTTTAGTTAACATGTGGATTCCATATGGTATTGATTTCGGCTTATTGTTTTTTAAAACCAAATTTGAAAACTTAGTAATTGTTAATAATATTGGGATGCTTTTTAATATGCATAAAACAAAAATTTCAACTTTTGTAGACTTTGTGGATAACAAAGCTAGAATGGTATAAAAACGACTAACTCTAATAGAAAAAATATGAAAAGGGCATGGTTTCATCAGAGCTAATACTTTTTACTGAACTGCTTTAAGAATGCATTATCATGTCTTATCAGAATTTGTCTCAACAATATTTTCCAATACAATTGATTCTCATAATTGAGACATAAAATCGTCTTAAGTGATGCATATGCAGCTAATATTGTCTTCGGCAATATTACGCATACGCCTTGTTGTCTCACTTACCGAGCACTTGTATCTCAACGTTGCGCCTCGAGGTCTGTTTCTGCTTATTCTGGGCCATGCACGTGTACGTGCCCGCATCCTCCAGACGCTGCAGCTGCTCGATAATTAGGGTGCCATTGTTATAGGCGCGCTGGCGTCGATTTATGGGCAACGTTTGGCCGTCTTTTTATGGCATCGTTGTTGTTGTTGTTGTTATTATTGTTGGCATTGCATGAAACGTAAGCAAAAGTTATGGCAATTAATTTGGGGTCGAGTCTAAAAACCAAATTTATGATTCTTGGTCTGCTTTTTACTTTCAACTTTCTCCCCCCCCCCCCCCCCCCCCCCCCCCCCCCCCTCTATTGCGCATCTGCTCACACAATAGGCAGTCAAACGCACACACAGTCATAAAAGCCATTTTGACAAATAAAGGCTTGGCCAGAGGGAAAGAGTTATGTTGGGCATTAAATTTATTTCAATAGCCACACATTTTAAAATGAGAAATTAAAAAATAGAAATAAAGAGATGTATAGCCGGCAGTCACATTTGATATTAATTTCTGTTTTTAATAATTTTTACCGCAACTCTCTGATATAAGCTCCTGTGTTTTTGTGTTGCATAAAAAACATAACATTTTTAATAACAAACATGACAGATAAATAAAAAAACAAATAAACAACAACAACGCAATAACGTAAACGCCAAAAAAGGCCAAGAAAAATGTTCAAAATGACAGCACATGCTCGTAAATTAATGTTAAAAAAATATGTGTTTTAAAAAGCGCAGTTTCGTGCATACGGGTCGTATGAGCAACAATATTACATTACGCAAACAGTTGGAGGCAGTCTCGTTAAAGTCATTTCCCATTTTAAAAACAAAAACAACAAGGATAATGAAACTTTGTTAAGGCACAATAGATATACGTATGAAAAATATAAGGTACCAATTAATATGTAAAGTATCAAGCAATACTTTAAAAATATTCGGAAATTGTTTAAGCTTCATAATAAAATATATAACACATTATTTAGGAAAATATTATATCAATACCCATTGTAGGCCAATACCTTATCGCTGCAGTGGCCATTAAAACTCAAAATTATTGAAAATGATTATTTTAGAAATGAAGTAGATTGCAGAGTTCAGGGACGGTTGAGTTCATGAATCTACAAAAATTCCATTCATCTCATACATGCTGGAAGATTTTGCAATCTATTTGAACCGGCAACTGCCATTTATCGTAGCCCTGGCAGCACTGGTCGACGAGTGATGCCCAACCTTGCTAATAATCGAGATACCTTGTCGATTCCTTTTTTTGGCTCGATAAAACAAAAAGAGTGAGTTGAGAAGCCGAAGCGAACGGACGTGTGGTGTGTGCGCGGAAGGAGTACGAGTTGAGAAGCCGAAGCGAACGGACGTGTGGTGTGTGCGCGGAAAGAGAGCGAGTTGAGAAGCCGAAGCGAGCGGACGTGTGGTGTGTGCGCGGAACAATAGCGAGTTAGAAGTGTGTGAGCGAAGCGAAAAGAGAGACTTTATATATGTGCCGGAACATTTTAGACATAGAAAATTCGGTGTATTACATTGTAGGTTAAGCTTGAAATTACAATAAAAGAAATAACGTTACACCCCTGAGCAGTTAAAGTCAGTATGCTCATCATTGCCGTTACAAACGAGTAGCGACACAACATTTTATGGTGGCCCATGAGGGGATCCGTTATTTCACAATGTCAAGCTTGCTGGTGTAATACATACAGACGTGCGGCAATCCCCAGTCTGAACACATATATAAAGGAGACGTGCGGCAATCCCCAGTCTCAGAATACATACAGACGTGCGGCAATCCCCAGTCTGAACACACAATCCCCAGTCTGAACACACAAATAGAGGAGACGTGCGGCAATCCCCAGTCTCAGAATACATACAGACGTGCGGCAATCCCCAGTCTGAACACACAAATAGAGGAGACGTGCGGCAATCCCCAGTCTCAGAATACACACAGACGTGCGGCAATCCCCAGTCTGAAAACACACATCTAGGAGGCGTGCGGCAATCCCCAGTCTCAGAATACACACAGACGTGCGGCAATCCCCAGTCTGAAAACACACATCTAGGAGGCGTGCGGCAATCCCCAGTCTCAGAATACATACAGACGTGCGGCAATCCCCAGTCTGAAAACACACATCTAGGAGGCGTGCGGCAATCCCCAGTCTCAACACAGTACATACACATAGAGGAGACGTGCGGCAATCCCCAGTCTCAACAGTACACATAGAGGAGGCGTGCGGCAATCCCCAGTCTCAACAGTACACATAGAGGAGGCGTGCGGCAATCCCCAGTCTCAATAAATACACTTAAGGACGTGCGGCAATCCCCAGTCTTAAGTTTGTTTTTTTTGTTTTGGAAGTTCTCAACCCGCAAACTTCACTCAAAAATACAGTCACTATCGAACTGATTTGCTGTGGTGTACATCTACATACAGACATTTCTAGAAAGGGTAACGGCCAACCACTCTCGGCGTTGCCAAGGTGTACACATCCAAGTGACGACGCATCAGTCTTCGGCGTCACTTATACATACATGCAACGATCACGCCACTCTCAGCATACACATCGAAAGTAACGGTACAACATTGCGTTACTCACATATACGACGACACACAAGCGTCTGAGTTTTCGCTACAGACATAGCAACAAGAAGTAACGGCAAATCATCGGCGCCGAACAGACACACGAATTTGGCTAGATAGCGACAGCGCCTCAACGACGACACACAGGCGTCTCATAGCAGCGAAAATAGCGGCGAAACATCGGCGCCGAACATACACACGAATTTGGCTGGACAGCGACAGCGCGTCAGCGACGACACACAAACGAAACATCGGCGTCACACACATACATCTCAACGATTCGCACAATTGAAGGCAAGAAGAAACAACACGCTACAATACGCTACAAGGCTACATACATACATACGGGAAAGGGGGTGAGTGTTTGTTTTTTGTTCTTGCTTGTGTTGCGATCAATAGTTTCTGTTTATTCGATTTAACAATCATGGCTCAACAACAGGCAAACGTTGGATGCCATTTTGATCATTCTTACGCAATCCAAATAGATATAGGTGAACAGGTACGCTGTTTATACAACAACTTTAAAAGGGAAAATTCACAGTCAAAATCTAGAACATTCTATACACACTTTCTTAAAAGGTTAGATGAATATGCCGCCGAGTTCAAACAAGTACATCGGGATCTCCTAATCTCCCAATGCCCACGTGATCATCAATATTTCACGCAACGTATTGCTGAAACCTTTGATGAGTACCATACAAACATATACTGCGTAATTTTAGAGGCTTATGAACAAACATTCCCTCCAATAGTAGAAATGGCAAATGAACTTTCTAACAATCAAACGTCGATCAAGCAAGCATCGCCTTCGTCTAGCGTACAGTTGCCCAAGTTGCCTGTACCCACCTTTTCTGGCAAATTTGTAGAGTGGCCAGCTTTTTACGATTCATTTGCACAACTCATACATGACAATGACGCACTATCAGGCGTTCAGAAGTTCCATTTCCTTAAGCAAGCCTTGCCAACAGGTTGCGACAGCGATATTCATCAAATGGACTTAACCGATACCAACTACGAAACAGCTTGGTCTTTGATTGTTAAACGATACAACAATCCACGTCTGCAGTTCATGCATCAGATGAACACATTTTTTGGTTTGCCTTCTCTAGCTAAGGAACATTCGGCCGATCTCAAGAGGATGCTCAATGTTACAAACGTATGCATTAACGAATTAAAACGTCTCAAAATCGACATGAAGTCTTGCGATCATTGGATGGTACATCAACTTGTAACTAAACTTCCGTCGACAACTCTACAAGCATGGGAGCACTTTCTTGGTAGCTCGTCTAACGTTCCTACATTTAGTACGTTGGAGCAATTTCTTAATAATCGCCTCATTAGCCTCGATATTATTGAGAATCGATCCAGCAGCCAACAACATCGTGAAGCGGCTCAAACAACTCAGCAGCGTACATCCAGCAACTATTCAGGTAATAGATTTCAGAAACGAAATAGTTTTCACACAACCACAAACAGCATGGCTTCACATCGGTGTGTGAATTGCAACGACAGCTCACATGTATTGCGTCGTTGTCCTGACTTTCTCGCACAAGATTGTTTTACTCGCAAATCTATTGCTGAACGCAACAAGGTATGTTTCAATTGTCTTGATTCCGCACATACAGCATCGAAATGTGGCAGCAAACGGAACTGTCAACAATGTGGACAACGACATCATACGCTCTTGCATTTTCCAACGAACAAACCAGACTACATAGCAGCTACGCAAAAGCAACAAATGATTACTTCAGATCAGGCAGTGGTCACAAATACAACGCAACTCATATCAGCAGTGACCAAACCTTCATCTCAGCTAGTTCGCACTGTACTTTTGGCAACGGCTTTGGTCAGAATACATAATGACGAAACTGGCCAGTCATCTATTGCCAGAGCGCTAATAGATAACGGATCTGAAGGAACTCTCATCACGGAACATGTGGTTCAATCGCTTGGCTTGAAACGTCATCCAATTTTGGCAGAGATTAACGGAGTCGGTGACAACTCGAAGAATAAATGTAAATGGACAACCCAGCTCAAACTTAGCTCGTGCACCGACCAACAGTTTAGCACGTACATCGACACAGCATATGTCTTACCATCGCTTACATCTCAGCTGCCGAAACAAGACATTCCAATACAGAAATGGCGTCACATCCAAGGATTACAACTTGCAGATCCACAATACTTTAAATCAAATAGAATCGACATAATCATTGGAGTTGACCTAATACCACATCTCATACTTTCAGACATCAAAAGAGGCAGTCCAGACCAACCAATCGCTCAAAACTCGCAGCTCGGCTGGATTCTGTTCGGACAAATCAACACACGGTCAACGCACACTATCACTATTCAGTGTCATCAAACAAATTTGGATGTCTTGGTTCAAAAGTATTTTGAACAAGACAGAATGGATACGGTACGACGTCTTACTGCAGAAGAACAATGTTGTGAGGACCATTTTCAGCAAACACACATACGTCAACCCAACGGCAAGTACATGGTACGTTTGCCGCTCAAAACACTGTTTGACCCTCAGCAGGTACTTGGCAAATCCCGTCAAATCGCTTTGAATCGGTTCCAATTGTTGGAACGCAAACTTCGTCGCCAACCTGACTTACAAGAACGATATGATGAAGTCATGCAGGATTACTTTCAATTGGGTCAAATAACTGCGGCCACAACTACCGAAACAGAACACATTACCCGTGATGCTCATAACAACATAGCATATACCTCATGTACTTTGCCTCATCATGCGGTAATCAAAGAAGATAGTCTCACTACCAAATTGCGAGTAGTGTACGATGCATCATGTAAGACAAGTAATGGAAAATCACTCAACGACATTCTTTGTATTGGACCAGCTTTACAAAACGATCTAGCAGGAGTTATTCTCAATTGGCGTCAACATCGTTATGTATTCGCTGCAGATATTCAACGTATGTATCGTTGCATCGACATGCATCCAGACGACATAAATTATCAACGCATATTCTGGTTCGACAAACATAACAAAATAGCAGAATATTGTCTTACAACTGTAACATTCGGAACTGTATCTGCCCCGTACACAGCTATACGAGTAATGCATCAGCTTGCAGACGACGAACGTGATCGTTATCCTCTTGCTGCACGCGTTCTCAAACATGAGGTTTATGTGGATGACATACAAACTGGAGATTCTACTATTGCTGGAGTCCTTGCCATTCGTGATCAACTTGTTGCCATCTTACGCTCAGCCGGTATGGAACTTCGTAAATGGTCGTCAAACTCGACAGCGCTGCTGACTGGCATCCCTTCAGCAGACCATTCAAATGCACACATTCTTGAGTTTGATAACAAAGACTCAATCAAAACATTAGGTCTTTACTGGCATCCCAACAAAGATTATTATGGCTTCAAAGTGAAGTTCACGTTGAATCAAACATGTACTAAACGTTCCATTCTTTCCACCATAGCGCGTCTGTATGATCCTTTGGGCTTTATCGCACCTGTCATCACATCTGCTAAAGTTATCATGAAGAATGTTTGGAACACAAAAATTCAACGCGATGATGGCAATTTGACTCCATTAGATTGGGATGACGACGTACCACATGCACTTCAAGAGCGCTGGCAAAACTATATCGCCAGCCTACCCAATGTCGAAAATATCCGAGTGCCACGATGGTTGGGAACCGATTCATCGCAGATCATTTCACTACAGTTACATATATTTTGCGACGGATCATCGTTGGCCTACGCTGCTTGTGCATACCTTCGCGTGGAAAACAAAGACGGATCAGTGATTTCGCATTTGCTGACAGCTCGTAGCCGCGTCTCACCTACTAAGCCTTGGACAATCCCTAGAATCGAACTATCTGGAGCAGTTTTGGCAACGAATCTCGCAAAATGGAGTGGTACATATTTGCGTACAAGCGAGCCCATTCCCACATTCTACTGGTCGGATGCCACAATCGTACTATACTGGATTAACGGTGACCCTGCCCGTTGGAAAACCTTTGTGGCCAATCGAGTCGTGCAGATTTTGGAATTCAGCACACCTGCACAATGGCGGCATGTTCCCACACTCGACAATCCCGCAGATTGTGCTACTCGCGGTCTTACACCTGATGAACTATATGACCATCATCTGTGGTGGAACGGCCCTCCCTGGTTAACTCAATCACCAGAACAATGGCCAACCAATTGCATTGTCTCACCAATGATGGACTGGGATTTGGAAGAGAAACCGGCGATACTACAGGCCAACCACGTTGTTAAAGAAGAGGCGTTTATTGCAAGGTTTTCATCATATAATCGATTGTTATACGTTATGGCATATATAAAACGTTTCTTAAACAATGCTAAATCCAAATCCATAAATCGTCTCATAGGTCCGGTATCAGTAACTGAATTGCAAGCTGCGTTGGTCCACATAGTGCGTATGGTGCAAAACGATGCCTTCAAATTGGAAATTGGCGCTCTCAAGGCTCATAAAACATTGCCGAAGTCAAACAACCTGAGCCAACTATCGCCAATTGTGGATGAGGAAGAAGTTTTGAGAGTTCGTGGCAGACTTCGAAATGCGTTACATTTGTCAACAAGTCAGCAGCAGCCCATCATATTGCCAGCGTCCCACCATTTTACTGACCTGGTCATACAAAACAGTCATACAAGCACCTTGCATGGTGGTACGCAACTGACTCTGTCTCACCTCCGACACACATTTTGGATAATTGGCGGAAGGCAAGCCGTTAAACGTATACTACGGCGCTGCATCCAATGTTTTCGTCATCGTCCAAAACCGAGCACGCAATTAATGGCGGATTTACCCTTGCATCGAGTCAATCCTCCCAAACGGCCATTTCTTGCAACTGGAGTTGATTTTACAGGGGCCTTTGAAATTAAATCTTCACGATATCGAGGTCACACAACCTACAAGGCCTATATTGCAATTTTTATATGCCTTGCAACAAAAGCCATTCATCTTGAGGCGGTGACTGGCTTATCTACAGAACAGTTCCTTTGGGCTCTACAGCGCTTCATTGGTCGTCGAGGACTTTGCGAACACATGTACAGCGATTGCGGAACTAATTTTGTTGGTGCGGATAAAGTGTTGAAAACTTGGCACAGCAAATTTAAACAGGAAATAGCAGACAGCATCGTTCCTGAGCTTGCCAAGCGTAACATACAATGGCATTTTAATCCTCCACACAGTCCCAATTTCGGCGGAATATGGGAGGCTAACGTCAAATCGGTTAAAACTCATCTTCACCGATCATTCAGCGGAATTCGTATGACGTACGAGCAATTGTCAACAGTTTTAACCCAGATAGAAGCTTGCCTTAACTCTCGCCCACTGTGCCCTTTGACAGCAGAGCCCGAAGAATGTATTGCTCTAACCCCAGCCCATTTTCTCATTGGAGATTCCATGTTGGCACCAGCAGTTCCTCAAGTCTTCAAATCCTCCACCGCTAAGGACTTCCTTGAGGGACAACGAATTCTTCGACAGTTTTGGAAATATTGGAGCAACGATTGGCTGTCTCATCTACAAGCTCGTCCCAAATGGCGTCATGAAACAGCCAATTTAAAAATAGGTGACATGGTCATCATAAAGGACGATCGACTTCCACCGAACGAATGGAAACTTGGCCGTGTCATCGAACTTCATCCAGGAGCAGATCAACTTGTTAGAGTGGCAACGGTTAAAACGACTTCTGGAATTTATAAACGAAGTCTTTCTAAAATATGCCGTTTGCCTTTGCCATCTTGTTCCTCCCAAGATGACACAACACAGAACTAACCACTATGATCGCTTCCTTGCATGCCATAACAGACACTTGCTTTCTTTTCTTTGTAGCAGGTTTCCGGTTCTTTGGTTTGAATGCTAGTTCCAGCATTGGGGGCGGCATGGAAGATTTTGCAATCTATTTGAACCGGCAACTGCCATTTATCGTAGCCCTGGCAGCACTGGTCGACGAGTGATGCCCAACCTTGCTAATAATCGAGATACCTTGTCGATTCCTTTTTTTTGGCTCGATAAAACAAAAAGAGTGAGTTGAGAAGCCGAAGCGAACGGACGTGTGGTGTGTGCGCGGAAGGAGTACGAGTTGAGAAGCCGAAGCGAACGGACGTGTGGTGTGTGCGCGGAAAGAGAGCGAGTTGAGAAGCCGAAGCGAGCGGACGTGTGGTGTGTGCGCGGAACAATAGCGAGTTAGAAGTGTGTGAGCGAAGCGAAAAGAGAGACTTTATATATGTGCCGGAACATTTTAGACATAGAAAATTCGGTGTATTACATTGTAGGTTAAGCTTGAAATTACAATAAAAGAAATAACGTTACACCCCTGAGCAGTTAAAGTCAGTATGCTCATCATTGCCGTTACAAACGAGTAGCGACACAACACATGCCGTTTAATTTCATTCAGACTTATATAAAATTTCGCCTATTCTATAAAAGAGCTCATTTTTTGTTTCATATTTTTTCAATTGTTGTAACATTAAACTTACCCCGCTCCCAATGTATTTTATCGATAGGGTAACCAGCCACAGGACATTTAACAATCAAATCAGAGCCAGAGATGCCCGTTATTTTTGGCATTTCGCGTATGTAAGGCAAGCCGTAAATATTCACTTTGGCACTGTGTGAGACCCTGTGGGCAAGATAAAAAACAAATGGTTAGTTTCACAATATGTCCGTGAGTATCAGCCGTCCCGTTGCTGTTCCAGGACTGTGGCGAGAGGGAGCAAGCTTGGGGATTGGCCACAGTAAATTGTTTGGGTTTTATATCGCTGTTGTGCCTGCAAACAATGCCTGACCCACACAGCCCCCCTCCTTGCCACCCACTTACTCTCTTCTCTGTCGCTTACTGGCAACTGAATTTATGATTTAGCATGAAAATGCTTTTTATGCTCACATATGCATGTACGGAAGTGTGTGTATGTGTGTGCGGATGTGTGCTGGTGTGTGCATTTTATTTATTGTATAGTATAGACAAACAAATTTGCTTGCGGCTACTCACTTTCCAATCGCATTCTGGGCCGTGCAGGTATATTCGCCACCATCCTCCTCCTTGACATTCGATATATTCACATGACTGATGACATCGTCGTGTATCGTAACATATTGACCCACTAAAAAGCGTGAGCTATCCGGTATCTGCATAGAACAATGTCAATATATTGTTTGGGAATGAAACTTTGTTTTATGGCCAATTTGTTAAGGATTCTATGGAACATTGTAGGCATAGGCAAACAGAGCTTCATATTTATTAGAAAAAGGAGTGTTAATAGACAATAGGGTGCAGATGGTTGCGGCTCAAATACGATTCATCAAAATCTAGCTATCGATGTGACATAATTGAATAATAAATTAAGTGTAAGGTACAAAATACTTTAGACATTTTTTGTTTTCATTAAAGCCATATTATTTCATTTCATATATTACCCATTATAGTCCCTTAGATTAATGTGGCTATGTAAACAAATTATTATTACTTAAATTTGTTGTTAAAAAAAATCTATTTCTTGTGCTGTCTCACTCTTATGAAAAAAAAAAACCTTACCACCTGATGCCGCAGTGATATTTTAAATGCTTTATAAGAGGCAAAAGAGATGAAAATAAAGCTAAAATCCTTTACTGAATTAGCTATAAATTGTGTCTGTTTCAAACAAACACTGATTTCTAAAGGATATCACAAATTCAAATACACGAATACGGTGTTTATAAATTGTATCAGCAATAAAGTCTGTGCATTACCTCATGAAGACTATATAACACAAGAGATGAAATGAATGAATGAAATCCAAAAAATGTGCTTATGTAACTTAAAACGGACAGTATATAATGGCTTATTCGCTCACGCTTTTTTCTAAATTTGGAATACAAAGTTTATGGCTCGCAGCGTGTGCCAGCAATGTGGAAATTCAACGAGCCCCATTTATAATGATCCAAATCACAAAGTAATGAGTTATCGGCCCAGTCCCTGATCTGAAGTATAGTTTAAAATCATTTAACACAAGATTTGATAACTTACATTGTGAGTCTCTCGAACAGAAAGTAGAATAAATAATATACACATTTTAAAAAATCTGCCCAAATATTGGGCTTTATTCTACGGTTTACTTCTCAATAAAGCTGAAAATGGTTTAAGATATGTTGGAATATTTGTTCGATTTTTCGAAAATAAATGAAAACCTGAACATTTTTATAGAATTTGTTTCCTTCATTTGCATATATTTATATTTTACTATTTATATATGTATATTATTTATATCCCCACATAATTCATAGTAACAGTCACTTGTTATGTATTAGCAATTATTGGCAATTAGTTTGTATTATACGTATAATATGTATAGTATAAGGAGTGGCAATGAATTGCTAAGCAAAGGCGTAACGTTTCTATAGCATACATTCGTGCGCAGCAAACATGAAATCAAATCAAAGCACTTGGCCAGCAAACAAACAAATGTATACATACATTTGTATATACATATATGTATGCTGGTATATATACTTATAAAAATCAAAAGAAATGAAGTGAAAATCAAAATGATTTGGCTGCTGATGCTGGCGCAAAGAAATCACTAAATAAAAAATGAAAAATTCATGTAAATCGAATTGATTGAAATTGCATAAAATTTGCAATGCGCCAAATGGCAGCATCCTGCGGACGGGGAGACGAAAAGGGGCTCCAGCCTTGGCCAAAGACAAGTCGGGGCGAGATGTGGACCGAAGTGATGCGGTGGGGGGATGTTTAGGGGCTGCCATGCTGAGTGTAGCAGTCAAAAGAAAATGGAAATTTATGCAAATAAACGAAACAAATCCTTGAAAATACGCTACCATGCTGAGAAAAGGGAAAAAGCTGAAAAAAAGTGAGAGAAAATAATGTCGAGTATAGAAAGAGAAGCAAAGCTAAAACATGGCATGTTGAGTATGCAATGATTCGTTTTTTTTTTGTTTTTGTATTTTTACAGTTTCTGGAAGCGCCACTAGAGCGATTTTGTTTGTATATTTCTTTTTTTTTTTGTAAGGAACGTGTATAAGTAGCTCAAGTGAAGATTTCGTTTTTATTTTTGTGAGGCAGAACATTTTGCGACGCGTTTTGAAAACATTTATGCATATTTTTTCCGTGCGTGTGTGTGGGTGGGTGTGGGTGTGTGATAGCATCATTGCTCAATATGTGACGATGTGCTAGTTGGGTACTGTTTCAATGATACGTAGAGGTAAGGAGTGGAGGATGGGAGAGGAGGCAGCAACATACGGCGAGCACGTTTCCGTTTCGTCCGCTTTTCCTGCTAAGTAAGCGCTTAGTGCAGTCGTGTGTATGTGTGTGTGTATGGGCTGCTTAAGTATGTAAAAGTAGCTACTACTATATTGCATGCAAGTTACGACAACCAGGCAGGGACAGTAGACTAAGGGAAGCGTATATTGCAGGGCTGGGATGGGCAATTGGAACCGGAGCGGGAGCAGGTCGGAGTGTTGATGGCTTCGCTTACCGTACTTACCGGAAATCCGTCCAAGGACCATGTAAATTGAGGCAGTGGATTTCCGGTGGCTACGCATTTCAATGATACCGTTGGACCAGGCTGCAATGTTTGTTCCGAAAACCAATAAAGCAGTTCCGGTGACGCATCTAGAAATGACCACAAAAACGATAGTTAATATTTACAAGTAAATGGGGCCATAACTAACAGTACAATACGAGTATAGATGTGACTTAAAAATAGATTGCCGCCATTTAGTTATACCCATAACTACAAAGGCGTACTGTTTAAAATTGTTTGTTTGTTTTTCTATTTTTAAAAATTAAGTTTTATCGATTTAAAAAATTTAAAATTATAGACAGAGCTATGTTTAAAATTAAAAGAGTACTTGCTTGCTTAAGAGCTCGAGAGTTAAGCTTTCTTGGCTTTGAAAGGCAGTTCTTAACGGACAAGAAATTTATTGACATGAAGCTACAAATACAATTTATTGGTATACTATTTCTGTTTATAGTGTGGAAAAGGAAATGGACTTTCCAGTTAAAGAGTTTTTTAATGATTAATTTATATTGACTTTTATGCTACACAGACATATAGCCGAGTATAGGTGCTTAGAGGAAAATCTGCTTGCTTAGTTCCATGAGTTATAGTCCAATACCTTTATGTTCATCTAGGCAGAAAGGCAGATTGGCGAACAAATTGATGAGCGAATGCTGACAGAGATGCGGATATTTTAATACCGACTTGCCCCCCCCGTTTTAATCAAAACAAACTATTTTGACAGCAAGAATGGCGTTCGCATCCATAATTAAATTATATGTTTAAGTAAATGTGGGTTTAAGTTGCTTATTAAAACTAAAGGAAAAATTAATTTATCGTATTCATTCACGTGTGAAAACAATTAACGTCTTTTCAGTGGCACGCAACTCAGCAAACATAAATTTGTTTGACAGCCCTGAGCTTTCCTAACATCCACTCCAAACCAAACTGGAGGTCATTACAATTTTATGAAATTTTATAAAAAGTAATATAAATGTAATCTTAGTTAATGGCCAATCGATCAAACACTTCGAGTCTCTTGTGTCAAAACATAATTAAGTGCGCTATGAAAACACTAATTTTAATTGTATAACTGGCAATGACAATGTCGGAATATTCTGCAGACCTCAACCATTTGTACAAAATGTCAAAAGCAGAAACATTCGCACATTGTTTGTGTCTGGACTATTTATGAATAGAAATTCAATAGAAATCAGTCAACCGTAGAAATAGAAAAGCAATATAAATTGCAGAAATCATTTACATATAAAAAAGGCTTGTCATAAAAACAGCATTAGTATAATGTATTTAACAACAACAACAAAATCACAAACAAATAAATTAATGAGAAATAATAACAGTAAATAACTGCAGAGTTCTCGTGGATTTTTAAGGACATCGTTTTTTATTTAAAAAAGTAACTGCAATATTTTTGCTTTTAGTTCATAGAATTTAAGAAGCTTATTCGCACGAAATAATGCAACATTTTCCTTTAATGTGAATTTGTTTGAGAGGGATTGCCATTGCTTTGCATTTACAAAATGTATTCTAGTATTTGACGTTGCTAGTACAAAAAGGATATCAAGGTAATTAACTCAACAAGCTATCAAATATCAGCTTTAAGCCTGTTTTCAAATAATGGAATATTTTTTGAGTACAAAAAACATTTGCAGATTATTACATTTTTTTTCCATGTCAATGGCAAATGTCCTTGCATAAAAGTTAGTGTTTTTGAACGCTATTTAGAATACCCCAGCAGTATGCGAATATAACCTTTTTTAATATAAAATATATGTGCATTATATTTTCAAGATTGGAAAATGCATAGCATATGTAAACATCTGAATTTGTCTGCCAACTTGAGCACAGCTACAACTTTCTTGCTCAGCTCGCACATTTCCGCCATCTAATGCAGACCGACATACACTTTTCATAACTTGGTTTTCTTCTTTTTCTTATTCGGAAAAAAATTACAAAAAAGCAGAAGCAACGTCTGTAGAGTGCAGCGAAGAGGCGGAAAATGTGTTTGACAAGGAGGCAAACGTTATCCAGCTGATGAAAATTGTATCAATTTCCTTTGCGGCACAACGCGGCACGGCACGGCGTTGCATGCAACGCGAAAGAAGCGCAAGCATTCGCATCAATTGTGGCAAGATCTGAGCTTACAAACGAAACATACATCCTATGTATACACATGTGTTTGTTGGTACATGTGTATACATAGGATGTATATACGCGTATCTTAAAATGACATTGCTGTCTGTTATAAGCTGGCTGCCATATTTATTTGCACACACATACAAACACACACACACACACACACACATACTGTCATGGTATTGACACAATTGCTGCCATATCCGGTCGCTTAATGGCGCGCACGCCCTTGGGGCCACATGGTGTGAGCCTTTTGAGCTTTTAACACTCCAAGCAGCCATACAGCTAACTTTACACATTCTCGTATGTATGTGTATGGTTTGTGTGCGTGTGTACGTTGGTGTGTGTGCGAATAACATATCGAAATCAATTTCCGCTTGCGCCTAAAAGCAAATCAAAAAACGTTGCCAAAACAGCCACTGTCTGTTCCTGCGTCTGTGTGTGGCGTGGCTTGAGGCTTTGTTGTTTCCTGTTAAATGTTACAATGTGCTTATGCGCATATATATACATATATATATACATAGATCTGAGTGTGTGTGTTTGTGTGTGCGCTTATGTGCGCTAAGTGGCAAAGATTTTTAGTAGTGGTAATAAAATTAAGTTCGCCCAGAGAACGTCGTCGCTTTGGTTTTTATGGCAGCCGTATGCTATTGTTGCTCTGATTTGTTATTGTCGTGTAGGCGTTTAAGGGGAATGGGCGTGGCTGGCGCAAATGCGAGCAATTTGCTAAATTAGAAAATAATGAAATGCAATTATGACAAACATTTATTTGTGCGGTCTGCGGTCCATTCGCAACGGAACGCGTCGCAAATGACGGAAATTACGCTTTTGATTTACTAGACGCATATGTGTGTGTGTGTTTCTGTGTGTGCGTCAGTGTATTTGTGCACTCAACTGCTTATTAATGGCCCAACCAGCCAATAATAAATCTATTGCAACAAATGTGCGACATGGCGACATTTCAATTTACGTTCTAATATAAATTTATTAATAATACGACCCGTTGCCACACTCACCGCCCAACTGCAGCTCGGCTGTTGATTGTATTTGCTCCCATTCGTTGGACACAAAGCACTGATACATGCCAGGATCTTCCTTTTGCACCTTCTTTATAATCAGTCGTGGTGGATCAGTGAGTATCTGTGGAAAACAATGGCATGGAGTTTATATTGAAATATTGACTGAGCTATATATTTAAAATAAAATGCAAATGATTATTGCTGAAAAACTAGCAAGCTGTGAGCTCTTTTAAACTCAAAAATGAAATGCCAGAATAAATATTGTCATTTTCCAAAATGGATTAGCCAATTCATTATTTAAAACGAACAACGCTGCACATCTGGAATGAATGGTTTTAGTTTAGGAAAATAAAAATAATAAAAAAGGTTGCCAATTAAACAAAGCACGCCTCTCTTTAATGTTCCATCCAAAATGTGGAACGCATGAGGGTGGATGCTGTTTAAGAAATATAAGAAACAAATAACTCGAACCCATTTCTGACAAACAAATAAATAAGATACGATAACAATTACAATTACACCCAATTTTGTGTTATCGCGTTTTTAAATGACAGTTTACTAATGGCAGGTTTTTACGTTTTTTCAAGATATTATATTTCTGAATATGTTTTTCATAAACAACATTTCTTGACGATGCCTGTTTACACCAGAAACTCTGTAATATCTGATTTCACTGTATTGATTGCGTTCCACGCTGCGTATACATTATGTCTTTGTTTTCTGTCGGCACATCGTGTATACGCACCATTAACTAGCATATATAGAGTGGTAATTTGGTTCTGACTTTATGACTTTAAGCTTACCTCCACGCGATTGTCACGCAATATTGGCTTGCCATCGTGCAGCCAATTGACATCGTGCACCGGATGGCCCGAGACAATGCATTGGAACTGCGCATCCTTATCGACGTCCACGGTTTGCACTTGCGGCTGCAGATGTGCGGTCAGCGGCGCTGCCAAAATAGACGAAATATTGGGTTACGCAAGTACGCCGATAGGAAGAGGGAGGAGAGAGACTTACCCGTCACGGTGAGCGACACTTGTATGGTCTCCTCGCCGGCTGTGTTGTTCACCCAACACAAATACTTGCCGCTATCCTCGAGGCGAGCCTGCAGCGAAAAGAGACAACATAGACAATCCAAATATTAAGCGTACGTATGATAGTGGGTAGTGAGGAGGTGTGTGGATGCGCACCTTCGTGATTTTCAGCAGTCCAGCAGAGACGATGCTAATACGTTCGCTCAACTGTAGGGGCAGCAGCTGCTCCTTTTCTTCCTTGAACCAGCTGGGGGGAAATACCGAAAGTAAAAACAAATGAGACTCATTAAAATGCATGCGAATACCAAATGCTGTGCAAACAAAAGGCGCCATCAGCACAAACATACACTCAGGCACACATATGTATGTACATAATATATTTTCTTCTTTATATGAAAGGCAAATGACAGCTGCTCGACCAAGAGAGCCCACAAAGAAACAGGAAACTGCCATCCATTGTTATTTTTAACAAATTGAAATGAAGATTTCATTTTCAGTAATTTGCTGTCGGGATACGCCAAGCCGTAGGCTTTGATTGTTGATTTATGGCCACGACATCGTGGCTCGATATTCGATGGTCATTGGTCGTCGTTCGTTCCACGAACGCATTGCGCACATTTCCAATAAAGCGGAAAAATTATTGCACTCAAGTACGGACTATGTAAATGTTGTATATGTAAATATATATACATATTTATATAAGTACTCAGAGACACGCGTACGAGTATATATGATGATGATACAGCTGCGTGAGTTATGGAAGTATGTAAGGAATGTTTGCGCTCGTCTTATTTATTCACGATGCGCTATTGACAGATGAGTATGCTACGAACTTATATCTAATATAAGTAGCGTAGTTATGAACGACTCCAATTCTTTATAACCATATAATACAATATAAATTCTAAACGTATTAAGCATCTGCAAACAAAGATCCTAATCGTATGTTATGAAGGATTTCAGATTAGTTTTTAGCTGTGAATGGGTATAGCTGGAAAGCTACGAATTGATTATAAACTAAAATAATATATAAATTTGGTTACATAAATTCTCTTAACAAAATCATGTAGAAACTTAACTGAAAACACTTATGGAAGCTTTTAAGACAACTGCCATTAGTTATGAACAAGCGGCTTAGAGATTTCCCAATGTTATTCATTTTCAATTCAATAATTTTCAGTTATTTTGAATTTGTTAATTTTTTTATTTGATGTTAAAAGACTGTAGCTGACTGTGCAGGAATATTAAATTCTCGCAAGAGAAGAAATGGTGGTTATGAAGATTTTAATTTAATTACTAATTTTAGCTCTTAGTTATTTAGCTTTAAAATTTGTGTTTAAAACTATATACTTGTATTATTTTAATTATAACATATTTACCAACAAAAAAATTGCAAAAAAATTGTAATGCCCAAAAAAATAATTTTAAAAAGCAACTTGTTCAAATCATTATTAAAAATATCTTACATCTGATCTTTCTTATGAGTGTATTAAAATATTTTAAATCACATGAAACGTTTCTTTGAGAAAGCAGCAGTTTGCTTTCATCTCCTTGTTAATCTTGGTTAGAGAATTTTAAAACTCACAATGCTCGCAGATGTAATCTGCTTTATTTTTATGCAATATCACGCCGTCATAATCTGTTTAACGTTGTTGGATGATGTTGGCATGGAATTTGCAGCAGCACTTGCCGCCATTGCTGTTGCATTTTTAATCAAGTTATTGATTTTAATTTGGCTTTAATTGCACTTGAGTGCATACTGCGTCTTATGAGGGCATGTGCATTGCATGGCATTTCTTAATTAAAATCATGGAAAATATATTCATACACCAAGCGCACAAGCACACACATACACATATTTTTTGAAATACATAATCGGGGTTGGCAGAGCAGCCACAACTTTGGACCATTTGCATACGAAATGCTCTTATATTCGAAATATGCCCGGTGATTATCAGCATAGTGCGGAGCATACGTCAATATGTTCCATACACACCTACAGTCACCCACAGTCACACACACACACATGCACACAATGAACGTCAAACAAAAGGCCAGCCCGAAACTATGCAATAAAAATTTATTTCAAATATGTATTTCTATTTCAAACAAAAAACACAATGAAAGTCAAAAATGAAAAAAATAAAACAAAAAATAAAAGGAAAGAAAAAAGGAGCGACAAAAATATAAAAGCCAGTGCCATGCTATGCTTACCAACTATTTTACATTTATGAGCAGCGTTGGGTAAACAATGCTTGGCATGCCATGTCGCGGGACACAAACAGCAAGAGCAACAGCAACAACAACACCAACAATAACTAAACAAAAGTCACACAAAAAATGCTGCGCCGTCTTTGCTCGTTGCACAATGGGAGACATCAAATGCGATGTCAGCAACAACGACGCATAGTGTGCTGTTAATGCACGAAAGTGGCGCACTATTTTTTCTTACCGTTCCTAAGTTGTATAATTGGAAAATCTTATATTTTATTGTATTTTATTATATTTATTCATTTATTTAATAAACGTATACCCGTTACCCAATATTTTCCTTGCTACAACCTTTCAACTAAGCCTTGTTATACTAATTATTTATATGACCCGATATAATAGGTACCCAATTTTGATTAAACTTAAGATTAACGGCATTCTAAAAATATTTTATAAATTACAAATTTGAGTAAAATATCAATATAAACAAAAACTGTTTGTTACTAAGGAGTTCCTCAACGATGGCCCTGGTGGAGAAATCATAAATGTCTCATAAGCTTAAAAAAATTGGTTATGCGTTTTTATATTCCAAATTTTTGTATTCCAATCCCTGATTTTTAAGGTGCGTCATTTCTTGATGATCACAAGAGCATTTTAACAATATCTTTTATAAGGTAAATAATTTCAATAAAATTTCGAGTAAACAATACTCTAATATACCAAGTTGGTTGGTGGAAGTTTTTTTTGTCAGGCGTGCTAGCAATGTGTAATATATATAAAAAAAAAAAAAATAGGTAAATAAAAATAAGTAAAAAACCGGGAAACAATTCTTAAAAATGTTTAAAGTATTTTAGGTATTCTCCACTTATTTCTACATTAAGCCTAATCCATATATGAACTGGTTGGTTTAGAAATATAGACTAATAATGGCACAGTTGCCTGATGTAACAGGAGTATAGAAAATGATTGATTGTCTGATAATAAAGTAAGAATAATATATTCCGTGAATGCTTAGTTCAATTTGGAAAACAATTCTCCGTCCTTTTAGGGCTAACTTAGTAATGGTTACTAAAACGTTCGAATATGATTACTTCAAGTTATTTATAAAGGCGTAGTTATATAAAATTAAATGAAATTCCATTGATTCGGGCTTACTTTATTATTTCTGCTATACATTGGAATCATAATTTAGTAATAAACTGTGCTCTAGCCGACTGTTGTTGGGTAATCAATCGTTTTGATTAATGACTTCTCTGGGTATTTGTTTTTAGATATATGAAGTTTTAAAAATCTTTGTATAGCCATGTTGAAATCATGTAAGACGATTTTGAAATGATTTCCTCACTGTGCAGCGACTGCCAGAAACTGTAGCAGCATTTGCGAGAATGGCAACGGCAACGGCGCATATCCTGCGCATTTTTTATGCATGCACCAGGCGAAGGACGCCCCCAAAAAGCTTAGTCTCTCCACAGTTACAGTCGTCACAATAAAAAGTTAACATGCCACGTCCTTCGCCTCACCCCACCATCCGCTAGTTCCCATAAAAAGCAATGCAGTTTTCAGTATGTAGTTAGAAATGAGCAACAGCAGTAAAATGAGGAAGAAAAAAAAGGAGAGGGCACCGGAAATTCTGCAGTATTAATGCGACCGATGAGCAACGGTCATTGCTGTGATTATGAACCGAGTAAGGGCTGAGCGACCCCCTAGTGTCAACGCTTTCAAAAAGCAATTTGCTATTTTTTCCTTGCTTTTCTCTGCTTCCTTTTCAGTGGTCGTAGGAAGCGCCATTTTGATTGATTTGTGCCGCGAAATGCCAACTAGACGACAAAGTAAACTGCGTCCCTAGGGGATATGTCCTTAAGACGCGCGATGTCAAGCAAAAAGACAAATGTCTGCATTTGTGGCTTGGCATATCTAATGGCGCTCTTCTCCCCCTCTCTCCCCCCTCCTCTGACCCCACCAGGGCCATGTTAACAGAACAACAACAAGAAGTATCAAACAGCGACACATGCTCAAATGCCAATAAACAGCAGCAACGATGGCAACAACTTTATGGATGATACGGCAGGGAATGGCAGGGGGGGAGCAGGGAAGGAACATGTCAACGTTGGCAGCACTTAAAGTTCGCGGCAGAAAAAGTAGAAACTGGAGCTGGGGTAGCACCAGCAGCATCAGGCGGCATAACTTACACTTGAGCCGACTCAGCAGAAAGTGTCAAGATGAGGGCAAAGTGTTTCAAAATTTGTTTGCAAATAGCGAAGCAGCGTAATAACTACGAGTATACATTGCAGACTAGGTGGGTGTATAGATATATATACACTTAGATGATTGTGTGAGAGTATATACATATCAGCATTTGGGAAACTCATCAACTTTGTCTGTACGCTTTCAAGCAAAATGTAGGCCTGTGTGTTACATGAATGTTAATTGAGCTCGAACTTAAGTGCATGTGTATTTAAATGTGTATTACATATACAAGTAGTATATAAACATTTAGAAAGCTTATGTGTGAATTAAATAGAACTCTGTCCAACTTTTTAATAATTTATTAAGTGATGTCATTATATGTGAGCGCTTTCTATTTATCAACAGTAATGTTTTACAGTGAAGTTAAATGAAAATAAGTTCGGCTTCAACATAATAATGAATTCGCATTTTAGGAAATCATTTTATAATTCTATTACATTACCATCCTCTTTTTCCAAGTGCTATTTTCATAATACAATTTTCTGCTTTCAGACAACAAAGTCTTAAATGAGTTATAACTGAATTTGAAACGTTGTGACTTGCCTTTATGTTTTTAATCAAAAGCTAATCTAATACATACCTTTACATATTTTATTTTCGAGTTATACAGAATTAGCTAAAATAAATCTTGTCAATCGGAGCGATTTCTATTGGTTCAAGGATAGTTGTTTGTTGATGGGCTAAGTAAGAATATAAAAAGGGCTAATGGTTGTTGGTTGTGTCCTAATAATAATTGGCCTAATAATTGGCCTAATAATTGGCCGATTTAATTAGATAAAGAAGATATAATACACTGCTTGAAGTATTTGGAGAGCTTGAAACTATTTTTGCTTCAAAATTATCATAAAAGGCTTTATTGTAATTGCATATATTTTCGTTTCATTCAATCACTTCAAACATTACTTGATTTTCAAGACTCAGAATCAAATAAACATGGTTGTAAAAACAAGTCTTAGGGAATTCGATTGCAAATTTCTTCTATCGAATTGTTACTCTAGATTTTAAATTACTAAAATTCCAACATTTCTTAGTAAGCCTTTATTCAATAGTTCAAGTTTTAAATTGCAACGCATTTAAAAACAAAATTTGTAAAAAGATAAATTTGTAAAAGGTAAGAAGTGGAAAAAAATTATTTCAAATAGTTGGTATTCAAAATTATCCTTTTATATACTACAGACATACTGCAAATGTCGCTCTTGCGCCACATTTTGAGTCGAAGAGCTCCCCTATGGCACGCGCACAGAAAGGCTAACGTTTTTACAACACGTTGGTCATCCAGCGAAGATACCGTGCCATTAGACCTTAACACCGCTTTAGCGCGACCCGAAGAAATGAAACATCGTAAGAAGCTGAGTGACAAGATAACAGTGCCCAAGGCTGTCGACCTAAGCCCCATATCGGGCGTTCCCCCAGAGCAGATAAAGCAACGTTCGGTTCGCATCCATATTCCGGCAAAGAATGCCATGCAGAGTGGCACAAATAATTTGCACACATGGCAAATAGAGTTCGATAATCGAGGACGCTGGGAGAATCCGCTTATGGGCTGGGCCTCAACTGGTGATCCTTTGTCCAATATGATCCTGCAATTTGGCACCCAAGATGAGGCTATCAATTATTGTGAACGCAATGGCTGGCGCTGGTATGTGGACAGCGAAGTGAAGCCCAAGAAACAACGTTTTAAAAGTTACGGAATTAATTTTTCATTCAACAAGCGCACACGTCTTTCCACAAAATAAGAACCGAAATACGTTAATCGAAACAATTGTCCATTATTCTAATAACTCAAATGTATGCTTTTTCATCTAAATTATTCACAATGATAACAAATGGAATTAATCAAACATATGTGAATTTTACTTTTTAAAGAAATCATAAATGAGCGCTCAGTGATAAGAAAGTACCTTGAAGCTTTCCAAGAATATGAAATCACCTTTCCCGATTTCGTAAAAGGCTTTTATTTCCATTGCAATATAAATTCGAATGTATCTTTATCCACAACTGGAGGTAAAGCGAAAAACAGTTTATGTAAAGAGCAGCATATTTTCAGATAACTTTTCAACTTTCGATTCTGGGCTAGATTTGAAGAACTAATAAAATAATTACAAAAGCAAACTATGAAAAAGTATTTATGTGGTAACAGAGAGAAATATTTAATTTCTGTAGATGAAATTCAGAAATTTAAGTACTACTTGCAACATTAAAACCTTTGAACTGAAGAAATGATGTTCTGAACAATTTTTGTTTTTAATAATGCCGAACATTTGGAATTTGGTTTACCTTTTCTGGCACTTAGACGTTCAAGTGCTTGTATACCACTTATATAATTACAATTCTTCATATATTCTGAACGTATTTTGAAACATTTACAAAATTGTGAAACATGTTAACCAAACAATTGTGAAATTATAATTTTCTCTTATATATTTATACTTGTAATTTAAAAAACGTTGCTCATTTCTCTTCACAAAAATGAATAAAAATAGGACAATTTTCCGCATTTAACTCCCATAACATGTGTAAATGATTTGGTTAGCAAATAGGTATTTAAAGTATTTAAGCCAGCCGCATGGGACAAGCTTGAGCGAAAAATATATATCAAGCTGTATTTCTTTTTTTAATGTATTAAATATTTCACATGGCCATAAAGTTGGTCGAATTCTCGCATTCTAAGCCCCAACAATAACCGCACCGCACCAACCACACTTCCTGTCCTGCAGCACCTGTGTCTACGCATCTCAAATATTCTGCGTTTGGGGAGAGCGTGTGTTTGTGCTTGGCCATAAGCTTAAAGGTGTAGCCCTAACAGCACCAGCCCCCGGACTGGGTGGCAATGCTTTTTAAAGCGTTGGAGTCAGCGACAGCGACATGTTACTCACCGATATGTTGGCACCGGATGTCCTTGAGCAATGCACGGCAATGTTGTTTGCCCATTAAGCACGACATGCCGCATCGAATGCTTCTCCACGTTTATGCGCGGCTGTACCATACCCTTGGGCTCTGTTACAATAATGCGACCGGGATATGTTGAAATTTGTATTTCACCTGTGTGTGAAAAAGGGAAGCAGAAAAAATATGTGAACAAAATTACTCAAGTGGCAGCTGACACTGGCGACGGCGACAGCGACGGCAACGAGGACGTCGCGTCGACCGTCTGGCATTTACTTAGATTTAAAAGCGTTGAAATTTATGTGGCATACTTGCAGGCGCACTTGCGCACCCACATACTCACACAGGCACGCATGTGCGCGCACATTTTTTCTTCTTCGCATTTTTCATTTTTTATTTTTTGATGCATGGCATCGGTTTCGCTCGAGAAATATGCTCATATAGTACGAGTATGTATATTTTTTTAATTAATTAAAAGTAAATGAAAGCAATAAAGTTGATTGCACAGCCACGCAGAGTACACACACATACACACACACTCTGCTTGAGGTCAGCTGAGTAGGCAGTGAGGCATTGAGGCGTTTTTATGAGCGTAGCTTCATTATGTATGTGCGTTACTTTTTTAAACTTTTCCGCTTTTTGGTTTTTTTAATAGCCATAAGCGAGTGTGTGTATTCGTCCAGCTGACCAGCGCACTGCTGCCGGCATTTGTTGTCCCACACTCAGAGAATAAGAAAATCAATTTTACGCTATGAGATAAAACAAATATATGTATATTTAGCAATTTTCAATAAATGCTTTTAGGCAAATGCCACTTTTTTTCTGCATCATAGTAAATCCATCTAAAGTAATCCAAATGGTATTTTACAAATTGTGTTTTACTGATTTGAGGCACTGTTCATAGATTTACAAAAACGAGCTCAAACAAATCATCAACCTATGAGACAATATGAAGATCATTGATTAGCTTATCAACAACATAACCTTTCAGCCTTTTGGGAATTAAGAAAACTTAACTAAAAATTGTAAACAAGCTAAATAGTTGTTTATGTCTGCGTTCAAGCTTTCCTTTTATGTGTGGTCAACCATTCATTCATCTAGGTGTTAAAAACTTACACATCAAAAACAATATTAATTTTACTAATTAAAATAACCTTTTGGATTGGGTCTGCTAGCTATAGAGCCCGTTCTTGATCTTATTCTTTAAACAAAATTGCAATAGTGTTTTCTTGTAATCATGTTTCCTAAGATCTGTTAATAAATCAACAAACTTTAAGGCACATATTTTCGTATATAGATGTAAGTAAACATTGATCCAATAATTAGCGTTTTTTCTTATATATATTATATATTTCTTTTTTGTTTTTCAATGCAATAAATGTTCTAATCTTGTCAATAAACGACCGCATTTTTCTTCGCTCCTCCCCTTCTCCTATATCCCATCTTTAATTGATGTATGGAAAACAGTGGCACATCTTAATTTCTCTAAGTGTTTTTGTTTGGCTTTGCATTAATTAGTGCTGCTCTCTAAATCATGTTCGAACATTTCCCGCCATTTATTTCTGTTAACACAACATGACGAGTAATCTAACGCTGCTGTCGGGCCAATCCTGGCCAACTAGATGCGACCGACTTCCATAGTAAGCTAGAATAGTGACCTCGTGCCCATTCAAATCTGTTTAAAATTGCAGCTAGCGCTGCCATTATTTCCAACTCTGTCTAGATGTATGTGTATGAGTGTGTGTGAGTGTGTTCGTCGCACATGCATAGCAATTTAATTTATAATTTTACCGCGCAACAACAGCAACAAGGGCATTAGCAACAACATCTTCATTACGATGAGGCAAGAGCATCAGCTAACAACATAATACGGCCCATAGACACTTTCCAATGTGTATGTATTGTTCCGTGTGTGTGTGTGTGTACATTAGTAGTCGTATTATTGTTAGTCACCATTGTTGTTCCAGTTATTGTGCAAAATAAATGGATTTTTGGTTTAAATTGTAATTATGCCACCAGCGTGCGCAAAATTGTTGCCTACTTTTGTGGGCAGGTATGCACACGTCCAACCCACAAAGCAACAAAGGTTCGGGAAGAGTGAAGAAGTGGCGAAATTTGTGAGAAAGTTTTTAAGACGTCGACGACTGTCAAATAGTGTCTTATTAAGGTGACCTTAAGATCACTTAGCTTGGTTGTCATATTTTTTATTGTTCAAAGGGGAAGGGACCCCTTCAATGCATCAATTAATAAAAGTCATTTACACCAATAACATCTGAGGTGAGATGGGAAGGAAACCTATAAAACCACAGTTGTAGACCTAATGAAAACATTCATCTTCCAATTACTTCTTTAGTAATATATACAAGTAATAACCTTTAGAATATTTTCTGAATCTTTTAAACAAATAATAAATTGTTCAAAATACTCATTGGCTTCTTTCTTTATTTTTATTTGAATTTATATAGATTCCCAAAACATACATCGCATTTATTATTTAAATAAAGCATAATCAGCTGCTCGTAATACAATATTCCTAACACGCTAAAGTATTTCAGACAAAAAGGCCCAACCTAACCTGAATCTGTGAAAAGTTTATTTAATTAAATATTAACTTATTTTATGGCCAATGAATTTTCTCTTTTAATTATTGACAAACTAAGCATCAGGGTAGGATATTGCCAACGAAACTTTGGTCGGTTGGCTGTCTAGCATCACTGTGCTACTATATGTGTGGCCATTATACAATTGAGCTGATGTGCTTGCGGGTGTGTGTGCGTGTATGCATTTGTTAAATGAATTACACACCTCACCCCTTGAAGCCGAGCTTCATATTACACTTTTAATGAGTGCACTCTAAGCAGTTTTTAATGCTGGCCACACAATATAGCGAGGCAGACGGCGTGACAGCCAGTCAGCCGGCCATCCTGCCTGCATGTGCGGTCAGGGATATTTGGAATTGTTTGGACGGCATGCTGTGCTATCTGAGTCTGGTTCGGCTGTCATGGTAATTAATATGGAGCCGCATACACCTAATAGCCTACAAAGATTTTAGCCATTTAATTAATTAAATATAGAATTTGTTAGCTTAAAGTTGGCCAATTGTGTTGTGAGAGCTAGCCACAAGGGCAAAGGAATGCAAAAGCGGAGCAGAAAACATAAATTAAAGTTCAAGAAGCACAAAAGAAATGAACGTATACGTTGTAAATAAAGACAGACATGTGTTTGTGTGCAACTTTTATCGTATTGATTGATGATGTGAAATATAGTATGCGCACAAAGGCTAATAGAAATTCAGCTTAAGCACATTTTCACACACAATAAACTTCAAATAAGCAGCACAATGTATCCATTCTTACATCCCTCTCGAACGTTTTGTTGCTTCGTTCCTTCGTCCTTTCATTTCTTCAAACTTTTGCGTTTGCTCCCCCCTCTCGTGTGCATACGAATTACAGCTTTGCGTGACCCAACATTTTTTATCGTGAGACTCTTGTGCTTATGTACCTTTGGGTACATCGTATAAAAACAGACTCTCACAAATCGATGATTCGTTTCAAGCGATGAAATGAATAAAAAGGTAAAAAAGTGTTAAACAAAAATTGTTTAAAACTTGATCAACTTTGCTTGGGAAAAGTACATCTTTTATTGAGAAATATAACTAAAACATCATCATCAATTGAAATATAATTAATTCGAAAAAATCGAACACATCCCTCTTGGGATTCAGACCAATTGTTTAAGAACAAAAATTTGCAAAAGTATAAAAATAGCAGACATTCACAAATCAATAGTTCGTTTAGACGAAAAAAACAATTTTTTAAATGAAGATACTAACAGAAATTTTGTAATACTTGATTCAATTTTTGATTGGAGAAAAGTACATCTTTTATTAAGAAATGAAACTTAAACATCATCATCAATTCAAGTATAATTAATTTGAAAAAAATCTAACAATTTTTTATTGGATGTGCACCAAGAATTAAATAAATTTCGAACGGAATAACAAATAAACGTTTTATAACTTTCGTGAATCAATGCACACTTTTCGTCACGCGTATAGCTCTAATGCGAATACTCGCAAATACATACATACTCGTATATATAGTACATAGATTGACTTTTCTCCAGTTGCCTGCGTCTGTCAGCAAACATTTTGGCCAACTCACTTGCGTATTGGCCTTTTTCCTTGCGTTTGAATGTCACGCTTCATAAATTATGCACAACGCCAGCACGCAACTTGACTTGGTCAAAAGCTGGCACACATACAAAGATAGGCAGACACACACATGAAAACATACATGCATACATATATGTACTCTTGCATGCGTTAAATGCCATCGCATTCATCGTTATGTGAGTGAATGAATGAATGAACGAGTGTGTGCAAACATCAAATGTTGTTGGAGGTAACAATCAGTTTTTGTTGTCCTCCTCCCTTCATGGCATATTTAAATTGGTAGTTTACACAAAACTCTATTATGCAAAAGGTTGCACAGATGATGAAGGATTTTCTAGTTGGGAAGCCAGCGCACGTTTGCTTAAGCAAAATCAATTTCAATCCCTTAGTGTCACAGTCGGCTGGTTTGTTTTTGGCCTGGCATATTAAAGCTAGCTAAATAGAATGATTTGTTTGGATGCCCAACTGGAAAATTTAACGAAGTCTAAATATATTAAATGTCTTTATTAAAGCCGTGAAACTTGCTCTCTCCAAATATTGGTTAACTAATATGATTATTGGCTAAGATAATCTACTTGTTTTCCGATATTTGATTCAATTTATATCGCAAATGTAAAAATACAGCTATTATGTTGTTTTAAGAAAATCTGCTCTGAATTTCAATCGACTGATTGGGCCAACAGCATCGGTGCTGGTTTGATTTCATGCTTGATTTTCATGAAAAATTTGGAATAATTTAAATTAAATGGAATTAATTTAAGAATTTCATTTTCAATGCTCAATAAATGCTCATATAAATATATGTAATAATTTCTTACTATTATTTGTAAGCAATAATATACATATTAAAGACAAAAAGCGAATCACAATGGAAATTGCACACAAATACCGGCGTCTCAGAGTGTAACATATTTCATCAGCTTAAACAGTTTTTATAAAAAGTGGAAAAATAATTCATTTACAAATCTTGAGCTTGAATATTGAAAATAAATTAGTTCTGCTCAGATCAAGACATCACAGTTAGCTGAAGAGTTTTCCTTTTTATTCAACAAAAAAATATTACTTAAAAATCTCTCTCATGTATTATGGTATTGATATTCAGCCAGGCCGAGTTCTTAGGCAATGCATAAATATTTTCTATTAAAATTGAAATCAGTTTATGATTGAAAAATTAATTTGTTAACAAAAATTTATGCAAATACTATTACTCAGAAACTTCTAAAATTAAATTTTGCTTTAAACTATTATTACATTTCAATAAAATTAAGTAAATAGATAAAAAAAATACAGGACAACGTAATAATTATGGTTCAAAAACGATATTTAAACATTTTTCCCAACAATATTTTGGTTGAATTTTAAATCAATTTAAACTATTTGTTTTGCTGTTGATTATTTTAATTGATTTAATATTTATTATTATTTTAATTATAAAAATGCTCGCCACAAGTTTTTTATAGAAAATGTTGCTTGTTTTCACTTTTTATATACGAATAACAACAACATATGTATTAATTGTAATGAGGAATTAAGTTATTAATACATCTTATAGCACAGAACCATTGAATTGACATGTTCTGGTAAAGTTTCGATTTGATTTTAAATTTGAGTTTAATTCATAGACTTAGCCGGTCGGAATTTCTAATTAATTTCCTCAATTTTATGAAAACTTTGCAAATAGCCTACGCGAATAACAATTAGGCAATATTCTTAATAAATTTATCATTTTTAAAAGAGCGCAGTAGGTAAATTTTAAAGACTGTTTCTTACAATTAATTAAATTCACTTCAATCAGAATCCAAGATATTAAATATATAGACACTGAAGATCAAGGCAGTGAAATCTGATGCAGATTCTGCCGCGACTCTTTCGAGATTTAGGAGTGAAAATATATGCATATATTCTGTGATTGCCCAATTGACCATTTGGAGACTTAAATGCTGCACGCGTTGGACTGCAACGCCAGCAGCAATCGAATCGATTTGTTGTTGACCAAATAAATTCTCTGCCTTGGGTCTGGCCCATAGATCACATTTCCCACAGCTTACTAGTCTCTGCTCACTTTCCACTGTTCACTGTTCAGTGCTCAGTGCTTGGAGCTGGGTGCTAGGTGTTGGTTGTTGGTTGTGGAATTGAAACGAAATGCGATTATCACGTACCTGTCAGTCTATTTACAGTGCGGCATGTGTAGCTTTTGTATGCATCATTGGGTCCCGCATTATTTATGTACAATTCACCGTTGGAGAGGACCGTGTACTTGCCGCCAATGTCCGTGTTCGGATACAAATGCATGCCCGTATCCTGCACCCAGGCGGTCACCATTACAAATTCCGACATGTAGCTTGGCACCTAACAGGAGGGTTAGAATTGAAATTTTAATAGTGATAGCAGTTGCAGTAGATAAGCAAATTTGATTATATGTTGCTGCTAGCGACAGAATGAAATTTGTTGTGTTACTATAAGTGAATTTCAGTATGTGTGGAGAGTGCAATGTTTGGCAGGAAAAGGATGTGGATGCAGATGGTCTCAGCTCCCGACCACTTTCACGTTCACTCTATCCCTATCATTACGCTCTCTCCTTCTATCGCTCGGGAAAAGTGAAATGCAGCCTCAAGCCATAAGCTGACACTGACAGCTTGATAGATATGGCAGTTAGTCGCAACTCAACCGTAGTGTAGTGATGTGGTCAGGGAGGGATCTGCGGGAGTATACGAGTGGCAGCTTACCTGACACTTCAGCACCGCCGTATTGCCCGTCATCACGTACTCGTCGTGCACCTGGACCGTGTACTTTTGGTTGACAACTGTAATGAAAACATGTATTGGAGTTTTTAAAAATTAAATACCATTTTTATGTTAGAGCTTAGCTTAATGAAATATTGCGCATACGGCACGTGGGATGGGTTGAAATTTCCACAACAGTTAGCAACAACAGCAACAGCAAAGTTCAAGGCTATAAAAACAGGCGGACAGAATCAATTTATATGTCCCAGCTACACTCAAAAAAAATGTAGTAAGTCGATCTTCAAATTGGATTGTATTTTAAATGCGAAATTACTTTTTTTAAATCAATGCTTGGCCTACATTTTGGAAAGAAAAACAGAGACATTTCTGTAGATTATATGAAAATTGGATAATAAATACGAACTTTATAAAATGTGCATGAAAGTTCATTTCACGAAGAATTGCTTAAATCGACATAGACATACATATAAAATAAATTTATAATTCCTTTAATTGTTACTCTAATTTTTGGAAAATTTGTCTTCTTTTTAATAAAATAAAAATTTATATTTGTATAGGAATGGTAGAGTAGCCCTGTTATACAGCAGCCCTGTTTAGGAAATGACAGTTGGCATAAGTAGAGAGACAAAGAGAATGACATGGAAATTAAACGAAGCAATAACATAAGTAGCATCAGATCAGTCAGTCGGGCCTGAGTTGTTGAGACGAAAAGAAGTATATAAGTGTGCTCGTGCAGAAAAGATCAGACAGAGCGAAACAAATGTTAAATAATAAATAAACTAACCAACTATTACAAAAAATAAAGATATTAAATAAACTGAAGTGAGTGTGTGCATTTACTCGGAGTAAGGCCCTCGACAACCCATGCCCTACATTTGTAAGAAACTTTTTTTATTTTCAGAACTAAAGCCACGTATTCCGATTATAGCTTGTACTTGTCAAATTGCCTTAGTCAACTAAATAGCTTTTTTTTCTGAGTGCACACTGACCTTTGTTTGCCTTTACAACTCCAAGCCTTTTGTATAATATTAAAAAAATTTAATGTTTACCTCTCATAAAAATGCAATCAAATAAAAAACCGGCCAACAACAAAAGATAAAAAAAATAAAAGAATAAAAGAAGGGTAGAGGTCAGCGTGGGTCGTGGCTGGTTTTGTTGACAGCCGAAATATGTCGCACATTAAACCCGGCTTTCTGTCACGCCTGACGCGACGTCCAACATACAAACAAACAAACCCCTGTGTACAAACATATATACAAACACGTCTGACACATTCTGACACTTTACAAAAGTGTCGCCGTTTGTCAGCAGCTGAGCAGCGGTGGCACGGGAGGACGGGGGCGCTCTGGAGTGGGGTGGAATGCTTAGCTGCCGACGAGCCTGTAAAATATTGGATTTGGCAATTTGAGTTAAAGATTTTTTCCATGTCGGCAGGCAGGCACGAGCACGAGGCAAAATTGAGAGTGACAAGGATTTCGGAAACAAGCATCGAAATGCACTATGGGGGTGATAATTAAACGAACTGCTAGCGTAGAATGATGTTTCTCTACATTTTTGTTTTTAATTTATTTAAATTGTTTTTTGAAATAAATAGAAATTGACTTTTTTCTCAGTTGATGAGTAAATTAATGATTCGAAAATAAAATAATACACTTTCTTAAATACAATTAGGAGAGTGCCAAATTACTTTTAAATGTAATATCAAGTGGCGATTAATACACCAATGTTAATGAAACGGATGTTGATTTCATTTTTCTTAATTGTTGATAGTAATGAATAAAATGAAATAATGAATATATTTGATTAATTTTCTATGGAATATACAAGTATTGGTTAGGAATCTTAAAAACCCGCCACCGAACAAAATCAAATTTTATTTCCGAAAGAACTGATTGGAATGGAAGCTAATTAAACAGATTCAACACATTTTTAGTAAAAACTATTAACAATAAACTTTTAACTTCCTCTTAATATACTTATACCAAGAAATGAATGGCTCTGAAGAAGACGTATTCACAGAAAATATCTCAGTGATAGTAATGTAAATAATTATACTGGTTTTAACTTTCTTTAAATATATTTAATATTCACTCTATGTTAAACATTAACTTTTGACACTTGCCCCACTGTCCTTGTTAGAAACAAAATGGCTGCGACGGCCTTTCTACTTCGGCTCTGGCATTTGTAAATTAATTAAGATGGACAAAGGCAATTTCCGTGCCATTGTTGGCGCTTTAAAGCGCTCGTCATTCCGCTTTGCTTGATTTGTTTGAGCTTATCTTTAATGCATTTCTCTCCATCACTCGATTTCGTTTTGTTTGCACGAAACTAACACACACACACACACAGAGACACACACACATACTCTCGCTTCATAATGCTGTACACGATTCGATTTGGTTTGTTGTTTCGCTTTTGTTTTTCTATATAATTTTTTCGTTGTTGTTTTGTTTGTCAACTTTAATATGCTAAAATTGGATAAAGTTTAATTTGAAAAGTTGTTGTTATTGTTTGGCATAGTCAAAGCAACAACAACAATAGCAACAAAAAGTCCGAAACTTTGTGACAACATTTTATTATAATTCCTTTTGCTGCCGTTGCCGTTACTGTTGTCGTTGCTTATTTAGACCCTAGTTTAGTGCATTTTTGTTTTTGTATCTTCATTATTTGTACTTCTGGCTGGCTGGTTGGCATTTCTTTTTTTGTTTTTGTTTTGTTTTTTTTGTATATATTTAGCAAAGGCAAAGTTGCATTTTTTCTCCCTCCGCTCGCTTCCTTTGCCGCGCTCTGTCGAAAGTTTTCATGTTGCATTTTGCATGAAAATTTTTACAAAACTACAACAATGTTGAATGGAAGACACATTCGGTGCGGAGGCTGGGAACGAACGAACGAGCTAGCCAGTCATAAGAGACAGCGGCAGGCAAGTATGTATGAAAGAAAAGTTTATAGCCGTTTGCTGCAGCAGCAGAAGCAGCAACAAAAGCAACAATGACAGCAACAGCCACAACAACAATAGGAGCAGCATTTGGTCCACAATGGTGACGTCCTTCCACGGCTACGTGCTGCACTCGGATTTTATGCGGAAATTCATTTCCGTTTTGTTTTGTGCGCCGCATCGCAAGAAAACCGTTTCATAAAACTTTTTGCACAAAATTTATGTTTATGATGTGCGCTAGGCATGGCCACCAATAATGCAACAATAAAAACAACAAAAACAACAGCAACACCAACAACAACATGAAATAAAAAAAGAGTAAGCCGGAAAGGTACTTTTCCCAGCACAAGTCTTTGGCTGATTTGCAGTTATTGTGGGATTTTGAGCTGAACGACTATTAAATTATAGTTTTATGTACAATGCTCTCTTACAAATGGCAGAAAATCTAGCTTTAGTACCGTCATAAGAAAAATATGGAGAAGAAGAGAGTGCTGTACGTGTGAGTATTTGCTGTAAATTCAATGAGAACGTGACGAGCGCAAAGCTCCTGGCGCTAGTCTGGGTGCATATTACGTGAAGGAATGCCATTTGATTGACTCGAGTGCTAAGCATATTAAAAATAAAAACGTTAAAAGCATTTACAGCCATGATACTGCGAAACGCTTGGTTAAAGGAATTTAATTAAAACATACATCATTGAATTATTACGATTTTTGCATGAGTTTAAATGCAACAACGAACGATCAAACTTAAGCGAATTTAAAAACCAACCATCAGATAAAGACTATCACCCTTCAGCTACTTGATTGCCCATTCGTGATAAGATAAAAAGGACGAATATCATATTCAAGCAACAATTTTTTAGCAGGGTAAGAAAAAAAAGGACCAATTTATCTCAGACCTTTTAAAAGTCTGTGCCAGCCCAAAGTTACATTTTTGAATATATATTTCACTTTTTTCTTATAAATTGTGGTAATGAATCTAAATAAATATATTCATTAAATGATTATGTATAATTGTCCATAATAATTTGTAGATGGAGAGCAATATTTCCAATTGGCAACCTGTTATAAATCTAGTTAAAACTTCGTAGACTACATTTTTTCAAATGTCTTTAAGCAGTTATCATAATTTGCATATGCATGCAACAAACTTGATCCCCGCACGAATGTGCACCTTAACTAATTACAAACAAATTACGCAGGTTTCATACAAAAGCAGCCCTACGACAACCTTTTGCCACAAACTTTCCAGCTCAATCAAAAACTTTTGCACAATGAACTGAGAGCGAGCAAAAGTAACGTCAGCAGCAGAAACAACAGACACAGCAGACTGAGCGCCAAGAAATGAATGCACGCGCAAGATGCGCTCAAATGTATGCTACATTTTCTTCTTTTTTTCTTGCTTAGTTTCTGTTTCTGATGAAATGCAAAAGTGCATGCCGAAGTCAAAACGTGAAATCATGTGAATGTGTACACGAGACTTTGTGGATGCAACTTAGGCACATTGTGCAACATCGTACGTCAATGTCACTACGCTTGGCCGGCGGTGGGTTAAATGGAGAAAGAAAACGAAGTAAAATTCTAAAAGTGGCGCAAATTTGTCAACCTTTTTTGCTCAGCTCGCTGTAGACATAAAAACTTTTGCTAATTACGCGCACTTAACAAAAGTAGCCTCCGTTTCTCTACAATGTACTCCTCTCCAGCTGCTCATTGAGGCGTGTGGTTGGCCCATCAAACTAAGCGCTAGCAATTAAATAACGCAACTGTTAAGCGCAAGTATATGTTAAGCTAGTCTCGTCGCTCTTGCTCTCTGGACCCAATGCTTAAGCCAAATAGTCACATTAGCAACAAAATTACAGCACGGCAGAGATGAAGTCTCAGGCGCTACTACTGACGCTGCCACTGCCGCTGCCCAACTGGCTGTTAACAAAAGCCAAGCCAAGCAACTTTTGCAAATTAGGCAAAACGTTTTTCGCAAATCTACGCGCTGTCAAATTGTTCAAGTGGAAAGCGTAGAGAAAGACAAGGAGAGAGAAAGAGAGAGAGAGAGAGAGAGAGAGAGTGAGAGGGGGGGGGGGGAGAGAGAGAGAGATAGGTGGAATGGGCGAAAAACAATTTCTACGCACACTAAATGCCAAAAATCAGGGATCCAAAGTGGTAGAAATGCAAATATTAATCCTAAGCATATTATATTTTTGGTTGTGAAAGCTTAAATTTTCTTTCCTTCATAATAAAATTTAACTAAAATTTAATTTGAAACACATCGTCTAGAATTAAAAGAACATTTTGAGAATTCTAAGGTTTTTGTTTTTAATAAAGAGCTCAGTGAATTAAATACTTGTATATCAAAACCACATATATCAAAATTAAGCACACATAAAACTTCATAGAAATAAATATATTCTCCAAACAGAAGTGGCATATTTGTGTTTTTTTTTTTAAGATTTTAATTTTCAATTAAAAACAAACATGTTACAAAAAATACAATTGTTTTTTCTAAAAATTTGCTAAATTTTTGCCTAAGAAGAAGCATAAAAATGACCGAATAAAGCAAAAATATAAAAGAAATTTCTATTAGAAGTTAAAAATTGAAATCTTGAAAATCTAGCGGTTTAAAAAAAATGTGTGGCATTTATTTGAGCTGGGCTTGCATATTATTGTGTGGTTTTATTTTAATTATTCAACACCGATTGCAGAACTTGATTCGGCTTGTTTTTGCAATCATTTTATTTTGGTTTCCAATTGCATCCCTAGTAAGTACAAAATCAAGAATGGATGGCCAAGCGACCGCAAATAAAACAATCGCGTGGTGTGCACAACATGGCGTATACGTAATGCCCACACACACATACACGCACGCATGTATATACCTATACAGACGCAGACAGACAAACATACACAGTTAGTTGCTGAAAAATAGCCGGCATACATAAAAACTTTCCATGGACTTGCGACACAGACTTGCGGCTAAGTTGAAGCTCCGTTAAGGTCCTTAACGCTCTTGCTGATGCCTTGTTGTCCTTGTTGTTTTTTTTTTTTTACTGCTGCTCTTGTTGTTGTGGTTCGTCTAGGGCCAAAAGCCAAACAAGCTCTCTGACCAAGTGCTTATGTGTGTGCGTGTGTGTGTGTGTGTTTGTGTGTGTGTGAGGCTGACCCTCTCTATAAGATCTTTGCGGTTGCTGTTTGTTTTTCTTTGACTGCGTGGACTATTTGCCCAGCTCCGTTTGCCTTTCGTCGTCTGCCGTTTGCCATTTGCCTTTTATCTTTTCTGCTGTGCGTTTTCGCTTGTTAATTAAACGCAGGCGAATGCCAGACGAGTGTACCCTTCTCGGAGAGCTCGCTTTAGGTTGATTCTGGGTTCGTATCTTTTATGGGTTTTATGTCATTTGTTAATTATTGTGTTTTGTTTGCGTAACGCTCGTATCCACATAACACAATATTGCGTATATTTTTTGGGCTCAATGAGCCATTTAATGAGCCATAGTATGCGACGTATCGCCACAATCGTTTCGATTGAGCAAAGTGGCCTCTGACTATGCACTTGGATGGAGCAGCTATAAGTTTATTGGCCCAACTTTCAGCATAACGTAGTTTTATTGCTCTGTATAATACAATGTTGAAATTGGCACAGATATAGAAAACAAATAACAAAATATTTGAGCATCTCTGCTTTATGTTAGAGATCTGCATGACTGCATTCCTTTGCTGTGACAAATTAAGGGTCCAAAACAAAACGTAACTTTGTAAGCAGAGCATAACTAGTATATTGTGTGTAAAAACGTTAAAGGACCAGGTGAACTGCTTCAAATATGCCATTCAGACCTCCCACAGCATTCAGAAATACTGACAACAACAATCGGTCACACACATAGTATATGCTTTTCAGATTGTAAGGGAAGGGCGATGAAGATAACCCAAGTGGTGCGACAAGCATTTAAATTTGTAATTCAATTGTTTCGATGCCTACTCAAGAAAAGAGTATTCATTCATTCAGATTCAATATAAATACTTATCGAATTTCATATGAATATCTTCAACTATTGTGAAAAGCATTAACGCAGACACTGATTTATGTTTATTTCTTTGGTCGTTTTGAGTTTCCAACGAGATACAGATATATAAAATGGATTCTATTAACCAATCAATAGCATTTAAGACTTAGCAAAGTCAATTTTAAAATTTTAGAGACGAATGAATCGAATTATGCCTAATTCTCTGCAGATTATATAAAATGTTTTCGAACTCGATACATGATCTGTCTAAAAATATATACTCCAATGTATACAAGGAACATTCAACGTAACAGTTATCCTTCGATTTTATCCATTAACTTGTTTAACTCCAAAAACACTTGATTCAAAACCAACTGAATCAATAATAAAAGTGTACTGCTTATATATTTCCCAAAGGCGATGCTATCTAATTGCCTATACGATATTCTTAATTCATTTGAGTACCCTACACAGAGCGCTGCCAATTCTCACATTCCACGCGTATATCGCCATATCATTCATTCATAGTCCTCAAATGTCTGGCGGTTGGGCCTGAGGACATCGCAGGAAGTCAGGCGAGTCTATATGTGCCAAATTAGCGCAAGCGGCGCGAATTTCTGTTGCTCAGTTCAGCGCCGCCAACATTTGGCATAGTAATTAAAACTTCTGCTGCCTGCTTTCGGGCCCTGACGCACAGACTTTCCAATTAAGCAAAGTTTCAGCGTCGCCATCGCTGTTTTTGCTTTTGTTACTGTGCTGTTGCTGCTGTTGTTGTTGCTTTCGCTGCTGGCATTGCTTTAGTCGTTTTTTCAGCAAATCAACTTTGTGTACAGCTATAAATTTTTGTAAATTAATTAAAATTTAGTCGACTTGGAAGACTCACCGCCGCGCACATGTACCTCCCGACTGAGCACAGAGCCCACCAAGTTGCGTAATTTGCATCTGCAAAACGAGAATAAAATTAAAATGACTTATAAATACGAATACTGGTACACACACAAAAAAGACCGTGGGTATAAATATTAAGTATACGTACCTGTATACCGTCGCATGCACCTCGTGCCGATATTTCTCGGCGGTAAAAGGATAGAACATCATGCTGCCATTCGAGAGCTGGAACACCATGTCCTGTTGCGGCGGTATGGGGGTCCATTCCACCTGCGCAAGAGGGACAAAATTAAATAAATAATTAAGGTGTGTTCAGGCAGGGAAATAGATTTTAAGCAAATCGGCGAGTCGACAAATAATATAGTGTTCTATTGTAAAGAAATATAAGCTAAGAAATTTCTCTGTCATTTCTCCTGTGAGGTCCGTCAACCTTTTCGGATGCCTGAAAAATCCCTTCACTTCCTCAATAGCTTGTTTTGTCAAAGCGAAGCAAAAAATCGAAAATTGTGCAAGCGACTACAAAATTGTGGTCATCGAGATTTTTTTAAAAACAATGATATCGCTTTTGCATTATCCTTATCCTTATTTGTTCTCTATTCTTGTAGAATAAAAACAAGTATTCGTAATATGAACATAAAAGCGAGAAAAATAAGATAAAATAATAAAAATAGGAAAAGATAAGATAATGTAACAAGAGATAACATCAATAAAGATAAGATAAAATAAAAAAATATAAGTAATATCACGAGTATCTAAAATCAAGAAACTAATTTTGAACCAAATATTTCTCAGAGGTATGGATTGTTTATCTTCTTCTCATTAGTTAACATATCTTTTCCATGATCAAGGCATCTATTATATTTAGTCTAGTAATTAGTGTATTATCATAAGCTTGTTACAAAAGGTATCAGGTAATGGCGCTCGACTTAACAAACGAACTCTACCGATTTTTTAACAAATACCCAATAAAAATGACCGTGATTCTAATAACTTGTGTTTCGAATATGTCAGATCATAACATAATAATAATATGATATATAAATCTGGCCTTTCAATAACAATTTTCCGTGCAAGCAAATTTCAGAAATATGGGTGAAATGAATATATTTTTTAAACAGGCAGACTTTTTTAACACAATTACTTTTACTTAAAAGCTTGGGTCTATCAGTCAGGTGTGCAAGGAAATAAATGACCAAAACGTGTCGATAACTTTTTGGAGTCCCATGAACTAACAATGCAGTAGAAATTTGTGGTTATTTGAAGTTTATTTTTGCGCAACTTGAACGTCGCCTAATAGGGTCAGGGACAGTCAATTAACTTAGGCCGAAGTAAAAAAAAAAAAGAAAGTGGCATGCATAATTAAGCAGGAAATCAAAAGAACTTTCGTCGTCGAAACCATTTTAGAATCTTGTTGTATATAATTAGTGTTTGGTAGACTTACCTCGGGCGGTGGACTGCCGTGGCCGGAACATTCTATAAGGCCGCCCGAATTGTTTGAGAATTCAACGCGATGCGGCGGCTCGTGAAGAAATATCGGTCCCTGCAGATCCAGTCCATTAACAATGTAGTGGGGCTCAGCTGCAAAAACAGAGAGGCAGAATAAGTGAGGTGTAAAGTTAAAGTGCGACATTCAACACAATGGCGTCAAGTTGAAAAATTTAAATTTTTAATTAAATGTAGCGCTGGTTTTTTGTGTGACGTTGCTGGCCCACTAAATGGAAATTTTTGAGCGCTCCAATTTTTCCCCAAACTGGAGCTGGAGATGAGTATGAGGACGACAATGGCCGTCGCCCATCCATGACGTGTAATGCACGAGCGACCAAAGTTAATTTCAATTTTAGTGTGGGACGAAAAAACTTTTTGCCAAATTAAGTAGCGGCCACGACAATGACGATGATGATGATTATGCTAATGATGATGAAGATGTCGGATGTTGGATGTTGGACGTTGGATGGTGGCTGGTGGCGACTGGTAGAGGTGACAGGCGCAGTACATTGGCTTGGCCTACATTTTAATGAGCGCCACACGATGCTACAACAAAGGCGGATGCTCAAAAATAGCAAGGCAGGCCAGTTGGCCAAAAACCCAACCAGTCGGGTTGGACGACAGGCTCGGGCAACAAAGCTGCACAAAAGACAATTGCTTTTTACCTGTTGTGGTTGTTATTATTGCCGTGGTTGTCGTTATTGTTGTTTTTGCTGTTCTGTTCGCTGTGGCTGGCAAGTCTAATTGCTGTGCCGGCATAAATGTATTGCATAATTTTTTGGGTCTAGCTTTTTATGAGCCACAATTTCATTCTTTTCATGTCTTATTTATTATTTACAGCAGAATTTTCGTTGCCCAGGCAACAAATTTCAAGCTTCACACACACACACACACACCTACACCCATGCCCCAGGTGGCATTGTGGGCATAATTTCAGAAATGTCTCAGCTTGTACTGCTGTTTGCTGTTGGGCTGTCTCTTAAGTTGGCTGAATGCATATATAGTAGAGCCCTCAGAAGTCAAAAAATACTTTTAATCTAATTTGCGGATTTCTACATACCTTGGTACGCCTAAGATGTTGATAATTTTATTATGAATTAATCAGGAAAGCGAGTATTTACAATTATCTACAACAAACAGTTTCCAGGTAATTGTTATAAAAAAATACCATTTTTATTCCAAACTAAATAGTTAACTTTTTAAAGTTATGTTTTGGGCCTAAAATAGTCCTTCTATTTATCTATCCTATCAACACTAAGTTATATTTATGGTTTTATATTTGTAGTCATCGAAAATATGTTTTAATTATTGGAAAGTTTCTCAGCTGAGGCTTAAGGTCTTACAAATTCATCTAAAATTGAGATCGAAACAAATGAATATTATATCTTATGATGTGAGCTTATAAAAATAAATATACACACAATTTTTAACTGCATATTTTAACGTTTATCAACGTTTTATTCGCCATTTAAATGATTAATATTTTTGATTTATTATTTTTAAGCAAATATGCATCAAAATAGTTAAATTTTACAACCGTTGACTAAAACCATAGCTAAGTTTCAGTAGCCACCATAAGCAGTTTCTACTGTATATGCATTTTAGCCAACAACTTAAGGCGCTGGTTTCATGCCTTGCTGTGGTTTGTGACAGTGCAGTGACCTGTTTTTCGAATACATATGTAGATATGTATGTATTTGTGTATAAATATGTGCTAGTACATAGTCGTCTGACTTATGCTTGGCTTAGTAGTGGGAGTGCTCATACATAATTTAATAAATTTCACAGCATTTTGGGCTTTGCCTTTATTTTACATTTTTTTCCTGTCGACTTGCAGCCACAACAAAGTTAGTTAACTTTAGTCTTAGTTTCATATTTTGTGGCTTTATTGCAGGTAACCACAGTAACCGACACAGAGACAGGCAGCCAGAGGGATGGGTTGTTGTGTTCTTAACTTCTGTGAAACAAAAAATATCTAAAATTTAAGGTATTTATATTGAGAATTCGTTTAGGCAAAATATATGTACACAAATTGTGAAATAAACAAAATTTACGATGCTGAAAAACCATTAAATGCATGGGGAATATGCATAAAATCGTGACTATATGTTTAAGCCTTAAACGAAATCAGACAAAACGTGCTTTCTTTAATGCGTAAAATATAATGTTCACTGTGCCTGCAAGTCTGAGATAACTAAAAAGTATATTATAATTTTCTTTAAATGCCATCCTAATGTAAGTTAAAATTTTCAACTTGTTTGAAAGCTTTTTACACAAATTCTTAGCTTCTAGCTAGACACTCTTTAGTTATATTGAATTATGGCTAGTGATCGTAGATGAGTTGTTCACGTTTGAGTTGATTTTTTAAATATGTTCCGTCAAAGTTCAAGAATAATTTAGGGTCGACATGTTAGATAACAGGATTTGGGAAATCAGACAAAAGTTGATTCCCAAATGAAAGATTGGGAAAATGTGTACACTTGGCTAAGTTTAAAGGTTTATATCTTCCATATAAGTTTTCATCGCTCATCCGCTGCCAATCTATGAGTGGAACATACAAAAAATGTATAATTTTTGCATTTTGCTCCCTTTGGAGCTGCGCATGAAATAAATTTATAAATCTTCCAGTGTCCAAAGTGCTTGCCACATTGATAAATGTTTTGAAGTCAAATCTGACGGGAAAAAGCCGACAGAGGACAGCACTGACAGCTGCAAAAGCAGCTCAGAGCAATTTTCGTTGCAACAATAATTTGTAAGCAATTTTCAAGCACCAGGCTGCAACAACAACAGCTGCTGCTGCAATAATAAAAAAATATTACGTTTTGTCAAAACGGCATTAAGCACAAGCAAATGTGCGTCCGAAGTATAGCTTTCGAGTGCGTGTGTGTGTGTGTGGTATGGTGTGGTGTGGGTGTGTCAACTTTGTGCCACTTTCCTTGTGGTTGTGTGTGTGTGTGGGGATAGAAAAAGCGAAAATGTTTGTGAAAAGTAAAATGTTTGCAGCAAGTTGCAAGTTGCTGCGTCAACCGGGGAGCGCATTAAATTTGCAGTTTTAGTTTTAGTTTTTAAGTCACTTACAATTAAGTTGGCGCTGAAAGTTTAGTTTACGCAGCAAAATGTCGAGCAGACAGTTTTCCACATGCGATGCGATGCGACGACGACGATAACGACAACGACGATGATTACGACGACTAATGAAAATTTAATTTTCCACTGAGTTTTGCAGTTTAATTGCAAAATTGACAGGGCATGCGTACGTGTATTTAAGCATATTAGTGTGCGAGAGTAAGTGGGTCGATGCGGTTTTTGTGTTTGACTTTGAGTCATCGGCACTTTTATGTGGATTTTCAGGTGAGATTTCAATTAAAAGTTTGCACATAGAGAGCAGGGGTTTAATTAGCAAGGCATGCGAATAAATTACAACGAATTACAAACTCGGCATAGTACAAATATTTTTGCTAAACCAAAAGCCACTTACAGCTTCATTTGTATTTCGATGAGAATCTTCAATAATTAATTGAAGAATATTTAAGCAGGGAATTACTTCGAGTGGAATTTTCTAAGTGACAGCCGTCGCCACAATTATTTCCTTTTTATTCAATTTTAATTGCGAATTAATTATGAATGAATGTTGTGAATAGCAATTAAGCTTCTGAATTCTTAATGTAAATAGTTCTAAATTTTTTTTTTTCCAGATTTCAACATTAAAATATTTTGACGAGTACTGCCCACACCACCACAATTGATTGCTCTTTTTTTTCTTTCAAAAAAAAAAGTCTTAAACTAATTAATGAACTTGATACCTTACAAATGAATAAATAACTTAGCAAGGGATCAAATCTTGAACGCTAAAATGTTCCACTCCAAAATCGGTTACTTCTGTGAATAAGCCATAAATATTGCAGTTATCTAACGAAAAGGCAAGCATAAAGTATTTGGCAGCCTCAAAAACTTTATATAACAAATGAAAGTTTAAAAAATATGAAAAACATGAAATAATTATAGTGAAAAGGAACAGAAAAATATAATTGCATTATATATTTTCAGTTTGGCTTCAAATTTAGACAATCGTCAAATTTGCGTCAATTTTGCTTGAAGTGTAAACGACTAGAAGTAATTGTAAATCGTAATTACATGTATTTAAAATATTTGGTAGCAAAAACAACTTTATATAACAAACCAAATTTAATAAACATTTTGAAAAGATCAATTAATCAGTGAATCCTAGAGTAAGATGTTTAATCAAGCATGATTCTTCTTAACTACTATGATACATCAGAAAACTGCTTAAATATTCTACGATTTACCAATAATATATTCAATAATCTAGCCGCTTCAATATATACCAAAGGGTGATTCAATGAAGTTATTTAGAAAACAACTTTTAACTTTCAACATCAGGATGCAAATTTATCATTTTAATCAAATTTAAAATCTTACGCTTTAGTATTTTGAACCAAATCGACATATTTGCGTAACAATATTCTTTCCATTTGCGCAGATTTTAAATGCCTTGTGATTAGCATCAACATGAAATGCGTATAAACTTTATGCAGATACTTCAGGCTTGGCGAAATCTTGCCTTATTTCATAATGCGCAAGCTCCTAAAAGGGGGAAAGTAAACAATGCGTTCAAAGCTGCCTTTACAGCAACCATGAGGAAGGGACTGACTAACCGACTAACTGGCATTTGGCGCTATCAAAATGTGACACGAGCAAGGCCCATATTTGTATGTTCTTTGTTAGTCCTGGGCCTGTCCTTACTTCCCATTTTCCTGTTGTCCTGATGGCTATGGTGGTCACCATGGTGACTGTGCCAACCAGCAGACTTTCAGACATTCAGGCAATGAACCTGCACTGCCTCTGACAATGGCACGCCATGCCACATAAGCAGAACACAATGCACGTTGATAGTCTCGATAAGGTTGCCCTTTGTTGTTGCTGCCACTGCTGCTGATGGATCACACACACATATACATACATAATTGAATACACACTAGCCGAACGGTGGCTGGTCGTTCTTCATTTGTCAGCGTTGTCAATCAAATGGCTTCCAATGCTGTTGTTGAAAGCTGGACAAGGCATAGAGCTTA